GAGGAGAGGAGAGGAGAGGAGAGGAGAGGAGAGGTAGAACAGGAGAGGAGAGGAGAGGAGAGGAGAGGAGAGGAGAGGAGAGGAGAGGAGAGGAGGAGAGAAGATCGCAACCTTGCGAGACATACAGTGGACAGGCCATACTCCTGTCCATCCGTTAGTGAGAAGATAGATGATGCAGTGGCAGAAGATGGTGACAGCAAACGAAGATGTAACTAGCGATGATGATGATAATGATGATGATAATGATGATGATGATGATGATGATTACAATGACGATTATTTACAATGACAATGACTAGGGAGAGTATGTGAGTGTATCAGAGTGAAAACCTTGTAGAAGACTCTCAATCTTCTTCGCAGCCTTCTGACTCACATCTTCGACGTAGACACAAGGAAGGAACCTTGACAAGACGGACTTCACTTGTCTCAATGTCACTTCACCACCTTCACAACCTCTCAAGGGTCCTGACGCTTTCGTTGAGCACTTTCATGGCTGCCATCTGATGCCGGACATCAGCTGGCCAAGAGACTAGGAATAGGAAGAGCAGACCTGGGTAGAGAAGTAGATCAAGGAGTTTTCCATCACATCGTAGGAATCCAAGCTGAAACAAGCCTCCTCCTGCCTCTCCGTCACTCTCTGACCTCCGAAGCGGCCAAGAACAACGAGGAAAGGATGTACGAGAGACATCAGCCGGTTCTTGACAAGGTTTGCTGCTTTCCTCTCAGTCCTCCCCGACCTCTCAACCACCTCCCCTCACCGCAGAGCAGCTGGAACAGAAACTGATCGCTCTCGAACACGACGAACTCCCTCGTACCTGTCACCCACTTCCTTCTTCTCCTCCTCCTCGACTCTGCGAGCGCAAGAGTCCGACCGCCAAACTTGGCACCAACTTCAACCACTTGATCAACAGCATCGACGAGGTCAGCGAGAAAAGCTGTCTCTCCATTACACCACTCTCCTGCATGTGACGTCACAATCGGTGCACCAAGGGCACTTTGACTCTTGCCGTACAGACTGAGGGGAAGACCGATCTCTCTGTCCTCGACAGGGACCAGAAGCTTGCCAAATCTTCCTGCACTGATCAGAAAGGCGCTTCTTCCATCCTTGCAGCACCTGCTCTCGATCTCTTCAACCTGCCCATCTCGCAGCGTCTTCGTCTCACTTGCGTTCATCACATGCCGCCTCGTGCAACTTCTCATGCTCTGCTTCTTCTGAGGTCATACGTCAATCAAACTTCCCACGGTAGCTCGTCTTGCCTTTTCTGTCTCCATGCACAAACTTGCGAGGGTCCTCGGAGCTTCTCCTTCAGTCGCCTTGTCAGCCAACAGCGTCAAGACAAGGTCATGGACGTGTTGGCCTGCACACTCTGACAGCTTGAGATGGTTCTCCTCCTGCAAGCTGTGTAGATTTCTCCGCCATCTTCTGATCTTCATCTTGCTACAAATCGCCTTATGACTGACAGCGACGATGAAGAGCGGAGGGTAAGGCACCTGATGTTGCAAGTAAGCGACTCGAGCCTTGAAAGACGAGGCTCGTTGGGCAATCTGGAAGAGAGAACATTCAGACTGAGGAGCCGGCATCAAACAGGACGGAGTACCCGAAAGTTTAGCTCCTTGTCTCCGTTCTCCAGCCTTGTAAGGCCCCATATGAAGCACAGGCACACGAGGACAAGCTTGTAGATGGATTCTTCCATCAGAAAGTTGCTCCTGCCAACTCTGACGATCCTCCCCTACATCACGTCTCCCCTCCCCCTGGAACTTTCAACAGCTACCCCGCGTTCACAGCAAGTACACTCGGCTCGCTTTGTTCCCTGCTCCTCTCCTCTCCCCTCCTCTCCTTCCTCTCCTTCCTCCTTCCTCCCGTTATGCTTTGTTCGTTCGGCTATCCTCTCCTCCTTTCCTCTCCTCTCCTCTCCTCTCCTCTCCTCTCCTCTCCTCTCCTCCTCTCCTCTCCTCTCCTCTCCTCTCCTCTCCTCTCCTCTCCTCTCCTCCTCTCCTCTCCTCTCCTCTCCCCTCCCCTCCTTCGTCCCCTTCTCCTTCACAATGTTTGTCGTCGCTCATCAGTTTGAAATCTTTTTTCAATTGCACAATTTGTGCAGCACAAAACTCTGAATTTTTCAAATTTTGGACAATAGATCAAATTTCAAATTCAGATTTGGCGGGACATTTTTTTCCCGAATCAGAACTTCGAACGATCACCTGCATTTCAGAGGGAGAGGCGAAGGCGATGGCGGTGCGATGAACAGGAAGACAGGAAGACAGGACGGGACACAAGAGAGAGGAGAAAGGAGAGGAGAGGAGAGGAGACAGGAAGAGAGAAGAGAAGAGGAGACAGGAACAGAGAAGAGGGAGAGAGGAGGAGGGGAGAGAAGAGGAGAAAGGAGGAGGGGAGGGGAGGAGAGAGGAGGGGTGGGGAAAAGATCCAGGCAACAGGATAGTTGAGAGGTAGAAATCGAGGTCACTATATCATACGATCCCCGCAACGTCTTCTCCTACCTTGGAGATCACTCTCTATCTCTCTATCCTCCAACACCATGAACGTCTTGTTCGACGTGAAGCGCGATGCTCTCCTCAACAACTTCATCTTCCCATCGCCACAAGGTGAACTTGATGTTGGTCTACTTGTTGTACCTGCTAACATCGTCCTCCCTCAGCCTCCTACAAGTGGGATTCATTCCCTGGTCGGCTGCTCTGCGTCGCTGGGCTCGAAGGAAACGTCTTCCCTTGCGTTAGTGTACCGTCAGCCACCATCCATGAGCTCACATGGCTAGCAGCTGCTTATCACGAGGAATCCGGAGAAGCAGGAGGAGGAGGAGGAGGAGACGGGTGAAGAGCGAAAGGGTGTGCAGGATGAGACGTTTGACGATAGGCAGACTTTTCGTCCTACCTTGCGATCTACTGCCATGCAAACGCTGAGGTCACAAACTTGCGCCATGGTGGACCCGCCTCACACTTCACTTGCCTTGCAGGACTTGGGAGCACTACATGACGTGAGGAGTTTCTCTGTATCCTGTCGTGCTCCACTCTCTTTGACGCACAGCTTGAAGCTCATCTGCTGGTTCTCTACCGCCATGCGGATGCACGTCCTTGTGCCAGAGTACCCTGGTGAGAAGAGTCGTGAAGGTGTCGAAGGCGTTGACCTGCGCTTGTCACTTCAGGGTATGGGATGGCCGGCGGCAGGTTGAACTGCGAGGACGAGGACGATGGTGCTGTGATGGAGTTGCCAGAGCAAACGAGGAGAGCGTGTTAGCAAACGTGAGATCTGCGTATCACTTTGCTCTTCATGGTCTGTGCTGGAAGCCGGAAAAGGTGAGAGGAGGAGGAGGGTTGTGAAGATCGCGTGACAGGCTCCTAGATCCTGCTGGTGGGGCGATCTGTGGGAACAGGAGTTGCAATTAGACTCGGTGAGAGCATTGGGCGGAAAAGGATGGGCGGGGAGAGGATGGGAGAGGGAGAGGGAGAGAGCAGGGAAGAGAAATGGAGACAAGGAGGGTAGGGGAGGGAGACAAGGAAGGTAGTAGGGGAGGGAGACAAGGAGGGTAGGAAAGCGAGAGGAGGAAGGGAGAGGGGTGCGAGGGGAGAGGAGAAATTGAGGCTGCAAGTGTGATGCTAGCTTGGTAGCCTCGGAGTTGCCCATCGGGGGTCTCGCGCTGTTGAGCCCTTTCACGAGCGTGAAGGTGACGAGAAGTCCAGCTGACGACTAGCTGACGGCCACTCAGGATCTCGTCCGGGAGCACGCGGGACAGGCAGAGAAGGAGGAGAGGAAGAGGACATAAGGCTGACTTGTGCGGTCAGATCACGGCATGGTTGCTAGCTGAGGGGCCGGACATTTTCCCTTCCGACCAGGTCGTGTCTGAGTCGACTCTTCCTCCTTCTACTGACCGGACTGAGTGCGTCAGTTCATTGACAAGGTGATCTGCCCGACGCTGATCATTCATGGATCCAAGGACAACGTGATTACGAGGTTGTTTGAGATGTACCTGAGACATGGTTGTTGTGCAGTCCCTGTTGAATGATGTCTGGAGGTGGAGAGAGTAGATGACTGCTGATGGGCGCTTGTACCGCATGCTGTGCGATTTCTACTTTTGTCCTGATGTCAATGGCGATGTTTTCATCGCTACTGAATTCTTCTTAGTACTGACGGCTCTCCCTCCCTCCCTCCCTCTCTCCCTCCCTCCCTCCCTTCTTCCCTCTCTCCCTCCCTCCCTCCCTTCTTCCCTCTCTCGTTCCCTCCCTCGTTCCCTCCCTTCCTTCTTCCCTCCCTCCACATGCAGCGATCACTCGATAAAACTCTTCGACTGTCTCAACGCCAGGCCAAAAGTTCTTCACGTCTTGCAGGACGTGAGCGGGAAGAGCTTCTATACCCCACCCCGCTGATTGTTGTCTTGCCTGCTAGCTCGGACATGGCAACGTGGAACTCTTCTTCATGGCAGTGAGCTTCGTCTACTCTCACCATCTCTTCTACCTGTCGTTCACCTCTGTGGCAGGCGAAAGAAATCCCCCGCGTCTTTGGGCTGGCCAAGGGGAGCAGATCGCTCAGTCTGGAAATGTTTCTCAACGATCCGTATTTGCAAGTGAGATGATGATGATCATGACATCAGATCAGATGATGTTGAGACGGAAGTTATGATGATGATGGAGACTGTGATGGAAAAGACAAGAACAATTACGAAAAGTCTGACGATGACGATGCTGCTGTTGTTGGTTTCGTCGTGATGGATGTCGCTGTTACTGATGATGGTCACATCGATTACGATGATGACGATGATGATGAGGAGGAGGAGGAGGAGGAGAGGGTTGTGGCGGTACTGATGAAGGAGGAGGAGGAGGAGGAGGAGGAGGAAGAGCAAGGTCTGCAGCATGACGCCTTCTCTCAGGGGGACACAGTTGCTTCTCCCATTCCAGCGTTCGACTGCAAGTCAAAGGTTGTCAAGTGCGACGACTGCGGGTCAAACGGCTGACGAGTTGACAAGTCCTGGTCAAGACCGACTCTCTCCTCCCATCATCCTCCATACATCCGCCATCCTCCTCAAGGTCTGCAGATTTCACGAATCCTCTTTTGCCTGCTTTCCCCCGGCTCCTGCCTTCCCTTCCTCATCTCACCTGCTCCTTTTTCCTTCTTTCCTTTCCTCCTCCCCTTTGTCCTTCCTTTCCCGCTCTTCTCCTTCCTCCCTCGTCCCTTTCTTCATCCTCTTGCTTGCCTCTTACCTGTCTGCTCTTCGGCTTATGCTGTATCTCCCTTCTCTTGTATCTGAACTGCTTTTGCACTCAGGGAGCAGGGCACATACCCTCCAGCAAGACTGGGATTTTCCTCCATTAAATGAGGTCAGCGGAGGAGGAAGAGGTGTACAAGAAAATGCAGAGTGAAGGAGTAGAGGAGATGAAAGAAGAGAGCAGAACTGGAAGGCAGCAGCAGCAGCAGCAGCAGCAGCAGCAGCAGCAGCAGCAGCAGCAGCAGCAGCAGCAGCAGCAGGGATCTCACGCGTGATTCAGGATCGTTTGCGGTTCGCAGGAGTTGCCATCACCGACGAGACCTTTATGGCTCAATCGCATCAGGTCGGCGTCTTCTCTCCTCCTTCCCTTGTGCGTCTCCTCCTACCTCCCATACCTCCCCCCCCCGGCCCCCCCTCCTTCAGCCCCACTCTCGTCATGGCTCCCTTGCCTATACTGTCGCTCTCTAAACTTCCCACCCATGGATCCATGCGCCCTTCCTGTCCCAACCTGCTTGCCGCCCTCCTTTCCCCCTCCTCCTCACTTCCTCCCTCCCTCCTCTCTTCCTCCTCGCCTCTTCCCACTCTCCTTGGTTCCCTCCTCATCATCTGAATCGCTCCCTCAGGGCCCACGTACAACTTCCTCCGACACCTTGGATCCAGCAGTCTGTTGATCATAAGGGAGAAAGCTTTCTCATGCTGCTGGCAGGTGCCACACAATCCCAACGGCATCAAGAGCGGAGGTCCCAGCCTTACCTCCTCCACCTCCTCTCCTCCTCCTTGTCCTCCTCCTCCTTCTCCTCCTCCTCTTGCTTGCCATGCCCCATTCTCCTCTTTATCTCATCCTGTTCTCCTGCTCACCCTTCACGACTGGAACGAGCAGTCGACGAGGACGCGTCCTCGGGCTCGAACGTGCAGGAAACAGGTGGAGGAGAAAGCGGGAAGGGACCTCTGTGCATCTTGAACTTCCTAGCAGGGAATCCTGTCCTGTCCCCTCGGCCGACAAGGACTCCCATCGTCTCCTGGGGCCGCCCCGTCACGGAGAAGGAGGAGAGCGGAGCAGCAGACTTCTTCTGCTGGCTGCAGGAGACAGGTGTGCAGGAGCAGGAGAGGTATCCCAGCTCCTTGACCCCAGCTGCAGCTCTGCTGGAAGAGAGCTCCCAGCTCACGGAGCATCGGAAGCGTCCACTCTTTCCGGGTGATGACGTGTCGGAGGGATGGGGCAGGGCTGAGCGAAAGAGGGCAGGGATGCAGGAAGTCGTCGTGGTGGAAGCCGCCACCTCCTCTATGGCCTCCGACTTCTCCCCCGACAAATTTTCAAACCCCATGCGAAAGCCGCACGATGGGCAGGTACGATCGGTCTCCCCCGCACTGCTAGGCCTCTCTTCTACAGTCCTCGATTGCCTGACTCTCTTTCTTCCTCCTCCCTCCCCTCCTCCCTCCCCTCCTTTCACACAGTGACGCCTCGTCCCTTCAGGCTATTCTACTCAAGCACAGCTGAGGAGTTTTTCTTCGCCTCGTCCTGTAACATAGAGTGCTGTCCTCCTCCCTTGCTTCACTTTCCGTCCAGCACCTCGCAGATGTCTCTGATTGAAAGTTCCATGCTGTCCACAAACGCCTGACCGTCTCTGCAAAGTCGTCAGTTGGCAAAACAAAATGTCAAAGTCCACGTCAGTCCTTCTCGCATGTAGTCGTGGCCGTTTCACCACCACCACCACCATCATCATCATCACCACCACCACCACCACCATCATCATCATCATCATCATACTCATACTCATACTCATACTCATATCTCGAGACGTACCTCTCATTCTTGTACGTCATCACAGAGGAAGCAAACCCGTCCACGCTCGCATTCTTTCCCCCACCGAAGGGATTGGCCCCGTCGATTCCTCTGAGCTTCCCAGTGGTGTACCTTTACCCACAGTGAGCCGCACGCCATCCCACGCTCCTCTCACCCAATCCCGTAGCACTTGGGCCCGACGGGTCCGAACCCTCCTCCTTGGATGTTGGGAGACGTCAAGGTGGAGGTGGAGAGGATGATCTCCGACAGGCGGGTGTATGCCTCATCTTGGAAGATGGCGGGAGTTTTCAAACCGCTCTTGAGGGCCTCGTGCTTCAGGGCGAACATGTGTCTGTCCCACCCTTTTCCTGATGGCCTGCAAGTCAGCGACGTGGCAGCCCGGGGGCAACGGACCCATAAGAGCGTTGCGGGTGATGACGCCATGCTGCTTGACAGCCTTGCGGAGAGCTGCCGCGCGGCTGTCAGAGGCGAGAGAGAGAGAGGAGACATGGGACCTTCTTCCTTCTCTGGCCTCGTCGAAGACTTGGAGAAAAAGGTCTTGCACATCGCATCAGACTCGGGAGTGGCCGAGCGGATAGTTTCCGTCCTCCTGCTCGAGAGTCAGCTGGAGTTTTCCCATCTCCCAGCAAGAACCTACCCGTGCTTGAACGCAGATTGGTTTGCGCTCTCGTACGTTGAGGCGGAATGTCCGAAGAGCTTGTCAAAAAGTGAGTGACTTCTCGGAGGACGAGACAGGAGCTCACCCTGAAGTAGGCGAGCTGAAACGACATCTGTAGAGTCCCGTCTAGCCCCAGACCTTTCTGCGAGATGTACGATGAGGTGAAACCTGCATTCAGATGCTCAGAGTACGCAGATGGCGCTGGAGGGTCCTCGACAGACCTGGGACTTCCAGCAGGTGAGTAGCGACTGAGGAGCGAGTGTTATCGAAGTCCTTCTCCGCCTGAATGTTTATCTCATCGGACCCATCGTGCTCGGAGCGTGCTCATTCAAACCTTGTCAATGATCGCTCTGACTTCATTGGAAATCTTAAACTCCAGCTTTCTCGGGGCCTTCCATGTGATAAGCAGACGACATTGACAAGGTGTCATATGAAATGAAACCTTTGGGTGGGTTTGGGGCTGCGGGCACGGGGCCTTTGAGCTATCGTCATAGATCTGTGAACCCAATCAACCGACCACATCAGCCGAAGGTTTTTATCGTCACCTCATTGAAATATCGTAGGACTGCAACACCGTCACCCCAGGAGTGCTCGAAATTGATTCCAGCCCTTCCACTGCCATGTGATGGTCAAAAGCCGAGGAAACGAAACTATTCCGAGCTCACTTGGGCTGAACGATCATCTGAAAGCTCTTGTCGAACCATCTTAAGAGCAATCAGCACAGGGTCAAAAGTATGGTGATACAGGAGACCTGTTCTTCGCAGAACCGTGCAGGAAAGAGTTCTGCTGATCGACGTAATCGACTGGTACGTGGTCCTCCAAGCAGATCACAAACATGGCGCTGTCAATCGCCTGGGCTCTCAACTTTAGCTCAGGAGATTCGAAGCTCGGCAAATAGACCTCGAGACTCTCTGCATTAGCGCTGGACTCTATTATCTTGCTTCTGGCCTGCGATGGTACTTCAACGAGCTCCTTCTTCATTCACAGCTTACCGCAGCCCATTCATTCCTGTCCATCGTGGTCAAGATCCCAACACTGGGGTTCTCATACTTGACGGGCGTAGAGAGGATGTGCTGTATTCCACTGAGAATTTGATCTGCTGATATCACATTGCCATTCTCGTCCAAAACATCCAGAGACCAAAACTCAGTCCCTCGCTGGATCACGACATGCCTGGACTTATCATACTTGATCAGCTTGTCTTTTCCTGGCATTGGAACGCGAGTGGACTGAAACAAGTTCTGATACTGCGACATGTCCAACGGGTAAGTCCCATAGATGTAGGCAGCGTAGAATGCTAGATTTCTCGGAGTCATCGCACAGACTGTTTCAAATTGGGGACTACCACCCTTGCCGTTCAAGAACTGGAAGAAACCCGTGCCGGTTCCCCCCATACACTTCTGCGTGTGGAACATGTCAGGCATCAGGTGCCCATCCATGAGAGTGCGGAAGAATCGAGCAGACGACCACGTGAGGATCGCAGCTCTGCACGCCTGATCGTTCTTGTCGGGCAAGGGATCGTCCAAGAGAGTGAGCTGAGGGTTGATGTTGAGGGGGAGGGGAGATCTGTTCTCAAGGTACATGTCGAACCATGGCTGCGTGATGAAGCTCGAGTATCGCTTCTTCTCTCTCTCCACTATGGCATCTTGCAGCTGCTTCCCTGCCCCGCCAACAAACTCATTCAGCACTTTCTGAGTGACGTTCAGCTCGCTGGGACTGACGAGCGGCCGCGCGGACTCGAGGAACCGATGTGACGTGTCCTTCAACTCGGGAATGGGCAGCCGAGGGAGCGAATCCTGAAAGTGATAGGTAGGGATCTTGGTGGTCTGCAGGTACTCCTTGCTCGCCACTGGGCACAAGCAGGTCTGGTCAGAGATACAAAACTCATCCCTTCTGCTCATTCGCTCGAGGGAGCCACTTTTCGCGCAGCTCTGCTCCCTCACTCGTCCTTCATCCCGTCTCTCATCGTCTCCTACACTGGACCCTCCCTTTCTTGCCCTGGTTTGTGTAACCGAGCCTACCTCCCTGATTCCCCCCTCGCTCCTGTACAGGGCCTTTCCCTAGCTATCAACCTGCCTCTCTCTCTCTGGAGAGAACCAAGAGTGCGTAGGAGAGGCTGGGATACTTTCTCCTCTCTCTTGTCTCTTGTTTGCTGCTCGTCTTCTCTCCTCTTCTCCTCTTCCATCTCCTCACCTGCTGCTCGTCGCAGGGCAGCCATTGCGCCTCTTGATGCACCTGATGTACTACCCCTGCTTAGCTCTTATAAAAAGGGGGTGCAACGGGACCCGTGGGGTACTCCCGAGACTGCCCAGTAAAATGGGTCAGGTTGATTCAAGCAGGTCGGGGGAGTGGGAGGACGAAGACGAGGAGGCTTCGGTGTAGGAGGAGGAGGATCAGAGAGAGAAGGTTATGGAGAGGAGGGAGGGGGGAGTGAGTAGTGGGCCCGGACGAGAGGACGAGAGCCACGAGAGCTTCTTCAGAGGGATCGGGTGGAGCACTCGCAAGGAAGCAACGGCCTACATCAAGGGAGTCAACTTTCAGCATGGAGGAAAGAGGGTGCATTGCGATCGGCAAGGGGTAGCCATGTCAGGGAGTCATGGGTATGTGATGCGATGTGGATCGGAGCGTTGCAGGCAAGCTAGCAGGAGCATCTTGTCTTGCTCGCCCCTCACCTGCATCACCAGGTACAGGATCGTTGTCAGGAGGAGCGCTGCCACCATGTACAGGACCAGAGCGCCCGCGTCCTTCTGGGTGGACATCCGGTCGAGCTGCCTCGTCCACGAGCGAGGATGTGAAGCTCAAGGTGCCGCTTCCTCCCAGTTCTTGTCCACCAGCTGCCCGGTTTTCCGCCAGGCTGTCCTTCCAGCTGAAGGCAGTCCGACGGTGAAGCAGCTCAAGGAAGTGCTGAGGGAGACAGCTGGGATATCTGCCACCACGAATGCTGTCTACATGGCGAGGAAGAAGGTGGAGAGAAGCTGTAGGAGCAGGTACGAGGCTTCTTTCAGGGCCCTGAGCCCGTGGATCCGCGACTTCTGCATCAGCAACGCTGGGAGCGGGGGAGATGTGGAGGAGGAGGTGGAGGGGACGTGGAAGGGGACGTTCAAGCGCGCATGTCTTGTCAGCGGAGCAATGGCCCACATGGTCCGACACTGCGGGCTGAGGGTCCTGGGGCAGGTGAGACTGCTGCGAGTTTTGCTGCTGCTCAGGTTGCTGACCAAGCTCGTCGCTCGCAGAGTTTCTTCCGGGTCTCGAACAGGTCAGGAACCCCTCATGAGCCTCTAGGGAACCTGACGCTGGGATTGTCGAGGTGGTTCCAAGGGCAGGTGATGGTTGTGGAGAGCTGGCTCAGTGATGGGTCAAACATCCCCATCGCAGCAGGTGACACCCTTTGTGCCCTTCATGCTCCCATGACGTGGCGCCATGAAGGGGTTTTTGCGGAACTCCCGGAGGGCGGAGGAGCGGAGACGGAGGAGAACGCGAGGTACCTGTGGGGCCATGTGAAGGGCTCGGAGCTGGGCGACTGGATGAGCGAGAGTCGAGGGAAACTCACGGTACTGACGGACCGTCGTTCGGCAACCCTCCCAGCTGTAGAAGAGAGTCTATCGCACGCAGACATCCTCTTTTGCTGCTCTCGGTTGCTAGAGCGCGTCAACGCTCATTGCAGGAGTACGACCTTATCCCTGCCACCAGCTTCTTTGTGCCCGTTGTGACCGATGGGAGCAGGTAGGGGAGCGCCAGAGCTGTTCCGAAGTTGTGAGCCTGGACGCGATGGGACGGAAGACTTGTTCTGGAAGGCGCAGGTGATTTGGAAATATTCCTTAATCTGTTTCACATTCTTTCGCGCGATTTTCATCTCCCTTCCTTCCCCTGTTTGTCTCCCTTTCCTTTCCTCTGCCACCTTCCACTTCATGTTTTCCTTCCCTCTCCAATTTCCCTATCCCTGTCCACTTGCTCCCCCCCTGCTCCATCAGGCGGCAACCTCATGGAAGGAGTGGGACAGCTGCATGACAGAGCTTGCGGGCAAGAATGGTGTAGCCCACGAGTTCTTGGAGGAGGTCGACCCAGCGCACTGGGCAAGTGACATAACCTGTTGTCAATGGTTTGTTCTCAACTGTTCTCAGGCATCTCACGCTCACCAACGGCCCTCCCGCCATGCAGGAGACGTTGACTTCGTTCGAAGCTATGGGATTAGGTGAGAGTCTGAACCCTCTCAGTGAGTTCCGACCGTTAGTCACTCTCGCTATCCCAGCAAGTTGGCTGGCAAGAGTCTGTTCGACCTCGACGTTTCTCCCCTCGACCTCTTCCAACAGCTCACTAGGAGCTGGTCCAAGATAGTTAGGGAGGAGCTGAAGAGGAAGGATCAGCTGCTCAGCCCTGATTCACCTGCCACCGGGATCAGCCGACTCTTCATAACTCAAGAGGTCAGCGAGAGGTACGCCAAGAATGTCCGCAGGAGCGCCATGTGCAGGATACGAGCAGGGAGCACGAGCGAGTACGCCATGACGGTGATGGAGGAAGTCAAAGACGATCCTGAGGCCAGCGCGAAGCCCCTCCTCCACTCCGTCTCGCTCGTTCACAAGACCTGCAGCCCCTGCGGCTTCTGGCACCAGATGCAACAGCCGTGCGAGCATGCAATCTGTGCAGCGAGAGCGATGGGATGGGCGGATGGAGGGGAAGCGCAACTCATCCGCAGGCTCTTTGCTCCTCAATGGCTCGCAGACGATTTCATCCTCGCCGCCTCCTCCTCCAGGTTCAGGGTCGTCATCCCTCGCACTGCGAGCGTCGAGCAGGCAGCGCATGGGCCTCGCCCTCCTCCGTCCCCTTCCAACGCGTCGAAGCTCGAGACACGACCGACACGAAAGAAACGAAGAGAAGCAGCGAGCGAGCCGAGAGAGCTGCTTGCTTGCCAACCTGGTCAGAGGAAGAGGCCACGCGTTGCGTCTACCAATGACGAGTGAGTCTACGTCTCCGACAATGGACTGGGATAGATGTATATGTAGATGCTGAGAGGTTTGTAAGTGAGGTCAACTTGTCTAATAGTGAACGTCAAGCCAGTGAGCTTGCCTTCTATTCCTGTACGAAGTACCACGCTAGGTAGACACGATGGGAAGGAATCGTAAGGGTAAGTACAAACAATTTCTATTCAACAGCGCTACACTACATCTACTTTACAATAAAAAATGCTTCTCACACAGCACAGGTGCAACCTAAACAGACGCACTGCTGGCCAAACCCTGCACATCTCGCCGCATGTCCCGATTGGAGGTCACAGTTTGAAGTAAAATATCCAGTGTTCCCTCCCCAAACGGAGCCCAACGACTCTGTCGCTTCCCCCGAGCCTTCAGTGCCCTCGTCCCACAACCGTTGAATGGATCGCGGAGAGAGGGGCGACTGAAACATGTTTGATGACTCACTTTCTCCCGCCCCCACCATGTCCTTGGTAGCTGGTTCGTTCGATTCGGACTCATCTGGAAGCCCTCGGTGTACCCAAGTCAGTGCATCGCCAGTCAAGCATGACTCCGCAACCATCGGTGCTAGCTTTCCGTACAGCTTGTCGTTCGCTTGCCCCTCAGCAATCGCTTTGCACTTGATGAGCAGGTCATAGCAGATCTCCTCAGACACAACGCTGTCGAACTTGTACGCTTCATGGGAGAGCACTTCCTGCCTCAGCCATTCGGCCGTGGTTGGGATCTTGCCGCTGGCCCTGAGGGAGATGAAGTCCAAGTACAGTTCGATACGTGAGAGAGTTTCCTTGGTTCCAGGCCTTTCGTTCACGTAGTCACGAACGAGGCCGACAAGGCCCTTCATCCCCAGAGTCGAATCGCCGTTAACAATTTGATCCATGGTGAATTCCTTCACGCAAGGGCGCGAGTCAAGCTTCTCGTCCCTATAAGCAAGATTAGTGGCTGGTAGGATCCAGACTAAGAATACACGTACCTAAGGTGACAATCCACACACTGTCTGAAATAAAACTTCTGGTTCTCAACCGCATTCCTCTTATGAGCACGATCCATGTTCTCATCGACTTTAGAGATTGGCATGTACAGATCCAGCTTCTTTGCAGCTGTAACAAGATGATAAGTTTCCCATCTGCTTCAGCCTAGAATATCTCACCGATTGTTTGCGCAAGGAGGATCATAAAGCTCGAGAAAGCGGCATTCTCAAAATCCGTTAAGCCCAGCTCCATGGTTCGGAATTCCACACGCCATTGGATCCTGCTTTGGGGTAAGCAAACTCAACCACAGACTGCGGTAATCTCACCCATGCGGGTTTGTCAAAGGAGGAGGCTTGAATCGCACGGAATTCCAGTTGGTGCTCCAGAGATTCTCCATGTGGTCTGTTTGAGTCTCGTTGTTGACGGAGAGTTTGTCTTCAAAGATGACCAACGGGTCCCTTACGAACAGGTGAGCAACGTGCCTAGCCATCTGGAGCAAACTTTCAGCATCGAGAAGAGGATTCAGAGCAGGAACACATACCCGGGAATCAATTCCTTGCGAGAGGAGATCTTCATAAGAGGTTTCGTCCATGGGAATCGCAACGTCGTTGAAGTGCTCCCGGTTCATGTCCGACTCAGAGATGTAGCAATCAATCGTGGAGTAACGTGACTTGGGAAGCACTTTGTTCTCCGAGGATTCTTTTGGTCCTCTTTCTTCGCGGGGACGATCATCTACAGATGCCGAGATGATATTCCACCTATCATGACACATCAGACAACAACAAAGAGCGTCATGCCATTCACTTCACCTTGCATCAATGTCGGCCAAAATTCCTTTCCAGATGGGACTTGCTGCGGTCATAGCCAACATGATAGGTCCAAGAACCGCTAGCTGGTCGTAAAGCAATCGGGCCTGAGAGACATCCGCGGATTGGAAAGTAACCTGCAGGCATCCTGCCCCCATACCGAACGCCATGGCATCCATGTAAATAGAGTTGTCCCCAAGCTGTGCAAGGATCTCATTGCCTCCCTCGTTATCAAGAATCTTCTTGGCTTGTGTTTCCATCGTTGACGCAGTATTCTTGTCCTGGAACGCAGGGACTGATATCAGGACCTTCTCTCCTCTGCGCTCCCTAATGTTCCTCGTGAGAGTTGGAAACCTCGGATGAGGCTGAATGGAAGCATCAGGAATGTACATCGACTTGGAAACTTCTCCATTGGGATCTGGTTTCACGTCCTCCACTGTGAACGATTCGCATCCCAACCTCGGGAAGACGGGGAGGGTAAACACTTCTTGACCGTCGGTGAGCACGCTCAACAAAAGCTTCCTCCTGTTGGCCATGTTGTCCTGTACCCGCACGATCCCATCCAACGTTCCGTCATATGGAGCAGCTGGAGTTGCTTCAATCATCCAGTTTGCATACTCGGGATGCCAGATAGCCAGCTTTTCCTTGGCCATTACCTCTCCCTCGGAGTCATCCAGCGCCTCCTCGGAGATCGATTCCAGCTTCGCAATGACTTCTGGAGCAGAGAATGGCAATCTCGCACGCTTCTCGGTCTCTTCCATCTGGCAAACAAAAAATTCGACCTAAAAGAAGCATCGTTAGCGGAAACCTGGACGAACAACAAATCCACACCTCATCACCCCAAAGGAAGGGTGCATTGCTGTTATCCTTATACTTGTTGTAAGAGTTCACGAATTGGATTATTCCGTGTTGACGGATGTACTCAGCTTTCGATTTAGTGCTGCTCCAGGATAAGGGTTGTCCGACTGTCAAGAGACCCATGATGGGATACGTGAAAACTCAAGTAGTCCGAGCGAAAGAGATGAGCGAGAAAGCGAGGAAAGCGAGGAGGAGAGGAAATGAAGAGTGAGCTATTGAATAGAAAATAGATTTAAGGAGGGAAAGAACAGAGAGGAGAGGAGAGGAGGACGAGGAGAGGTGTCCGCAACGAAAGGAGGGAGGGAGGGAGCAGGAGCCTGGTTTGGCAGGCGAAAGACTTATACCCGCGTACAGTCGGGGGATGATGTGAAGGGGGTGGGGGGTGGAGGCTTGCATGAAAGTACACGGTGGGGTAAATGATTGCAGTTATTTGTAGGGTAGGGTGGTCTCTTAATGGATACTCCGGTACTTTTACGTTGAAATGCTGGTCTTAAAGAGGGTGGGGTGAAAGGTCAATCGGATACAAAATCAGAACTTGTGTGGGTAGGGGTACGGATGATAGGGGTGCTGGAGGGTAAGGGTTGTAAAATGATCGGGACAGGTAGGTAGTGTATTACTTGGGTAGGGTAGTAGAAGGTCTTCATTTCGTGATCCAAAAGCAACCAAAGTAGCAGCATGCCTGAGGGTAGGGTACAAACGAAGGGTGAACATACAAAAGAAGGGGTAGTTTCCGGAGCCAATAGGCTGTCGAGGAGGGGTAGCAATTGCGATGGGCTGGGTACAATTTGACCAGGGAGTCTGTAAAGGGGGTAGTGGTGGCTAAGGATTTTGAGTTTCATCAGCACCGAAGATTGCGATGAGCAAATGAAGGGGTGGGGTGTTGGATGTTTGTTGGGACCGGGTATACTTGAAGGCTTCAAGGGGGGTTCTAAAAGTAAAACTTCAGACCCATGGGATGCTTGCTGGGGAAAGAAGGGGTAGACCGTTCTGTACCTTTTAACACGTGTGGGGGGAGCAGTTTAATAATATGTGGGGTAGGGGGTGGCAATTATTTGAGTTAAGTCTTGAAAATATTGGGAATATTTTCATAATCTATGATCAAATTCACCTGATTTTCAAGTTGGATGTTTCCAGGTTCCAACGGGGGTGGAGGGTCATCTGAAAGGATAGGATTCGCGGGGGTCCCACACGTGACCTTCAACTAGCCCTATCTGTAAAGTACCTCGGGTAGGGTACTTCAAACGAGGTATCCGGGGGTAGGGGTGTAAATATAAAACATTGTTCTAGAGTCCCGTGCTGATGTAAAGAGGTCGCATTGGGGGGTCCTGACTGCTCTGTGACTCTAAATTTAGATACTTTTTTGGCTCTCGAGAGGGAGCTGACAAACCGTGATGTGGGGAATCACACAAATTTTAAAACTTTAAAAGTTCACTTTACCACACTCTCCCACGATCACGGACCGCAACAATCATCGCCCATCACTACCCCTTGATTCCTCTCAGTCAACGATCATCCTGAATGGTTCCATATTATAACGGTTTGTGCAAATTTGAGATACTTTCCCGAATTGTCACGGTGAATTGTTGAAATGATAAGTGAATAATTCCAACAGTTCATGAAATTAGGGTAACGGATTTCACAATCTAAGCATGGCAGGTACGACAGAAAGGGATGGTTGAGGATGCGAAGGGTGGGGTAGCTCTCTCATGCAGAGAACCTGGAAGATATGTTGTTTATTGGCATGCAAATGTGTTCTTTCTATGTGAACTCCCTTCAGTCCATCTTCCTCTTTGTAATACTGAGCCTTACCATCAGATCAGAGTCCAAGTAATGCACCATCGAACGATCTTCATCCTCCTACAAATGAGGTGGTTGATATTTTACTTACAACGCTTCTACACTAAAAGTTTGTCACGACCAGGAAACGAAGCCGCCTTCCAAGAAGAAGAGTGGGAGGGAAATATGGGAGGAATCCCAGAGACTAGAGGCGCAAGCAGCGCCTGTGCTGACCATGGGCAAGAAACCCATGTGCTCTGTGGGAGGATGCGGCTACTTTTCAGACGACGACAAATGACGCCGTCTGCTGGAAGCTTCGGGCCATGCTATGGTTCATTCTGGGGCACGAGTAGATGCAGCGGATAGCGCCTTGACATGTGCAGCAACGCTGGGAGAGGGATTATCATGCAGCCTCCTCCTCGCTCTCGTTCACACACCTGGTGGCCAGGGCCCCTGGCAGAGGGCTAACTGCAGATGCCATCACAGCGGAAGCTCGCCTCCGACTGTTACGTGGTGGGAGGGGAGCGGGCCTCTCCTGTAAACGAGTTCACAGGATGGAGCAGGAGAGCACTGGGACGGTATCACCACGTGGTAACCTCCTTCAAGAACCGAGACAAGCCGCCCGCTAGCACATCGCGCTGCCACTTTGCAGAGCTCTTCAGTGATCCAGGTGTAGTCTGCACGACGAGGACCCGTCAGACACCTCTGGCATGATTCAGTCTCTGCATAATGGTGCTCACCTTCTTCAGTCAGATGGGACATCCCAGAGTTTCCCTGTGCAAGGGTAAGCGTGCTCACCTTCTTCAGTCAGATGGGACATCCCAGAGTTTCCCTGTGCAAGGGTAAGCGTGTCAAGTCCCGTCAGGAGATCAGGAGAGGGATGCCTTGACGTCCTCCCAGTGACCATCGAAACCGGCCGAGACCATGACCAACTCCGGCGCGAACTGAGATAAAAGTTTCACAGCCGACAAGGCAGCGGAGGGGGGGGGCACCTGGACTAGCTGGGGGATCAGCTTCTCTGTGATGAGGGTGCGGAACTGGTGAGAGCTCTCCTCCTGCTGAGCTTTAGGGCCCTCGAAGCCGCAGGGTCAGCAGACCTTGCTCGAGGTCTTCTTGAGCGGAATGTTGACGATGTTGGGATAGCTATCGTCCTGTATGCAAACTCGTCACGCTGCTTGTATCCTTCCTCGCTGAGATTTTCACCTGACAGCCTCCGCTAGTATACAGCTCAAAGCTCGGGTTCGAGCCCATGAAGTAGTCATGGCTAGCAGAAGATTAAAGTCAGCACACTCCACACGATTCCTAGTCGTGTACTCACCTTGCCATACGAGGATAAAAATTTTCCGCGCAGAGATGTATGGAACAGAAGAACTGAGGGTCATTCAGTTGTCAGTAGTCAAACGTGAAGCAAGGAGCAATCATCGGATGCTTACCACGTTATCTGAGTCGCTATCGTCCAGCCATGGCTGAATACAAAGGTTAGGGAAGATGCTGCAAGCAGAAAGCAGTTGTGACGTCACCTTGTAGGATGGAAGGTCAATCTTCGACATAGGTCCGATCCTCTGGGCTGAAAGCAGGCGCAGGGATCACCAGGCAAGCGATCAAGGCAGAGAGACGATACAAAGGACTTGTGGCTTCAGCGATCTGATGATGGCGGCTGTGCCATCTCCGTTATGAATGTCAAAGTCGATGATCGCGATCTTCTTGATCTGATCCCTGTGTATTCCTCTCACTTCGACCCCTCCAAGATACTGTTGCAGCCCCACCTGTAGTTGTATTTGGCGTACGCTGCACCGATTGCGATTGAGTTCATAAGGCAGAAGCCCTGAGAAAGAGAAGGTCTGCCGTCCGGCGTGTATACCAGACCGCGTGGACCCGCGTGATGCCCAGGGGGTCGTGCTGCTCGTGGCAGGAAAGGGCCCAACCATAGTGTAAAGGAAGAGGAGGAGGAGGAGAGGTGGGTGGCGGGGGGGGAAGAGGAAGAAGAGGAGGAGAGGAGGAGAGGAGGAGGGGTGGAAGGGAGGAGGAGGAGGAGGAGGAGTGAGAAGGTCTCAACATGAAACAGGAATCATTCACCTGCAACGAATGCATTCTTGCAATGTCCCTGCATCACCCTGTCGATGGCCTTGCAAACAGCCCCGGCTGAACATCGCATCACAAGGAGTGTATACGACTACACGTGAGTCATACACACCTGCCATGGCTGCAACCTGATACGACTGCTGAGAGAAGGAGGTGTCCGAAGGATGTCCCGGGGGCTCAAGGGTCCTGCTGAGAAGGTCTCGGTCCTTGTGGGCGTTCGCTTCGCCTTTCAAAGCGCAAAGTTTGCGGAGTTGGCAGATGTATTCCCATTCATGTACTCGCAGAATGTCGGAGATGGAAGCTTCCTGTACGTGCTCCTCAAAGTGAATCTCGTCCGCGTCTTCACTGCCAGTCCGAAGAACTCCCTTCTGTCCCATGAGACTCTCCACCCGCTCGGGACACTCTTGGCACCCCTTAGCAGTTTGATGCTTGTAGAAAACTTGATCGAAAACAATCAGAGTGGCTTTTCCACCAGAATCATTGACATTCTGCTCAGTCTTGACCTTGATGTCATCATCAACCTTAAGCCTCTGATGGCTCGACTCTTCCTCACACAGTTGTGCTGTTGCCTGCTCAGTTGGTCTGCACAACGATCCTTGATGAAAATCGTTGTCGAGCTCTTTGCTGATGCACAATGTGTTTTCTTCACTAATTGCATTGAGAAATTGTTTTGTGACATCTCTTCCTCTGTAGAAATCTTCGTCCTCTCGTGCCAACTGACCTTGATGGTTGACTTCAATTTCATCTTGCACGTTTGTCGCGGGAACAATTGCCGGCTCGTCGGGAGGAAACAAACAGTTGACATTAATCTTGTTCTGACTATCTTGAACAGGACTTTGATAGTTCTCATCCAAGAATACAAGGCTGTCAGAGCTCACATCTTGCGGGGACTTAGAGTTGGCGAGCTTTGGTATGACTATCCCATTCATCACTCTGAGGGGTTCTCTTTCATCTGACGACCCTGTACATGTTCATCATAAAAGAAATCATGGTAGTTTGATGAGTCAATGATGCGACGCACCTTTCTCATGCTTCGTCCCCTCATCGTCGTTCTCGACTCGCATGCTTCCAAAGAACTCACTGATCGAATCTATGCTCCAACCTTTCGGCATTCTGTTGAGAGCGATCAAGCTAGAGAGATATCAGATTGTCCTGTCAAACAAATCTCGTTAGAAGTCACTTCCACTCCTCCCCTTCACCTCCTACACCCTCCTTGAACGCACCTCGCACCCGCGGCACCGTTCCCTTGCGCTGTGCGAGGAAAGGCGTGTAGGAATCAAATTCAAAACGGTTCACAGCTTTTACTGAATTGCTCGGGCCCGGCGCACCGAATTGCTCGGGCCCGGCGCCGCACCGGCCCGGCGGGCCCCGGCGCCGCGGGCCTCGGACGGTGACGAGAGTTTCACTCAGGCCAACTTCCAGACTCAGACCAGCGACGGTTTCCTCCATCTGGGACAGGCCAACTCTTTCAGTGAAATAGTAGAATTTGAAGTTGAAACAGAAGTGTATGAGGGGAAAGAGTCACATCAAGATTTTCTCAGGTCCTCATTAGACTTCGAGCAGTCCAAACCACAAATAAGTTCCGAGGCAGTAGAAGTTCACGATCGGACTATCGCATGTTAGCTTGCCTTTATCAAGTAGAATTGACGGTTTCAATAAACTCTCAGTAAACTTGAAGCACCCTAAAGATCCCGCTTCAACTGGGTTAGATCAGCGATGTACTTTCTGACATGGGACCCCCTATCTCTCCCAAGTACTTCAGCGCCTCTACATGCTCCCCTTGGCTCGCCAAGAGCGCGCATGTCCTCCCGTCCTTGTCCGTCCGAGCAAATAGCTCCGAGCCCCCTACCTCCCTCAGATATCGAAGAGCCTCGACATGCCCTCCTTGGCTCGCCTCATGTGCGCATGTCGTCCCGTTGTTGTCCGACTTCGTCAGCAGCTCCCGGCCCCCTACCTCCTTCAAGTACCTCAGCACCTCTACATGCCCTCCCGCACTCGCCCAGTGCGCGCATGTTCTACCCTCGTTATCCGTTTGAGCAAGCAGCTCCGGGCCCCCTACCTCTCCCAAGTACCGTAGAGCCTCTACATGCCCTGCCATGGTGATAAAGTGCGCGCATGTCCTCCCGTCCTTGTCCGTCTGCGCCAGCAGCTCCCGGCCCCCTACCTCCCCCAAGTAACGTAGAGCCGCTACATCCCACACTCCGCTCGCCATGTGCGCGCATGTCGTCCCGTCCTTGTCCGTCTGCGCCAGCAGCTCCCTGCCCCCTGCCTCCCCCAAGTACCGTAGAGCCGCTACATGCCCTCCCACGCTCGCCATGTGCGCGCATGTCGTCCCGTCCTTGTCTGTCTGCGCCAGCAGCTCCCGGCCCCCTACCTCCCCCAAGTACCGTAGAGCCTCTACATGCCCTCCCACGCTCGCCCAGTGCGCGCATGTCGTCCCGTTGTTATCTGTCTGTATCAGAAGCTCCCGGCCCCCTGCCTCCTTCAGATACCGTAGAGCCTCTACATGCCCTCCTCCACTTGCCATGTGCGCGCATGTCATGCCGTTGTTGTCCGTTTGCGCAAGCAGCTCCGGGCCCCCTACCTCCCCCAAGTACCTCAGCGCCTCGACATGGCCCCCTTGGCTCGCCAAGAGCGAGCATGTCCAGCTGTCGTTGTCTGTTTGCGACAGTAGCTCCCGGCCCCCTACTTCCCCCAAGTACCTCAGCGCTTCTACATGCCCCCCTTGGCTTGCCGCATGCGCGCATGTCGTCCCGTTGCTGTCGGGCTGAGCCAGCAGCTCCGGCCCCCCTACCTCTTCCAAGTACCTCAGCGCCTCTACATCTCCTGCTGCGCTTGCCGCATGCGCGCAGGTCCTCCCGTCGTTGTCTGTCTGCGCCAGCAGCTCCCGGCCCCCTACCTCCCCCAAGTACCTCAGCGCTTCTACATGCCCTCCTTGGCTCGCCTCATGTGCGCATGTTCTCCCCTCGTTGTCGGGCTGCGCCAGCAGCTCCCTGCCCCCTGCCTCCCCTAGATACCGTAGAGCCTCTACATGCCCTCCCTCGCCCGCCGCATGCGCGCAGGTCCTCCCGTCGTTGTCTGTCTGTGCAAGCAGCTCCGGGCCCCCTACCTCCCCCAAGTACCTCAGCGCCTCTACATGCCCCCCTTGGCTTGCCTCGTGTGCACATGTTATGCCCTCGTTGTCAGGCTGCGCCAATAGCTCTGAGCCCCCTACCTCCCCCAAGTACCGTAGAGCCTCTACATGGCCCCCTTGGCTCGCCGAGTGCGCGCATGTCGTCCCGTTGTTGTCAGGCTGAGCGAGTAGCTCCGGGCCCCCTACCTCCTTCAGATACCTCAGCGCCTCTACATGCCCTCCTCCACTCGCCGAGTGCGCGCATGTCCTCCCGTTGTTGTCTGGTTGTGCAAGCAGCTCCCTCCCGCCTACCTCTCCCAGATACCGTAGCGCCGCGACATGCCCTCCTCTACTCGCCGCATGCGCGCTTGTGTTTCCATTACAGTTTCCGGCCGACAAATTGGCGTCAAGTCTGATCAGAACTTCCATGCAATGTATGTATCCTTGTCGAGCTGCCACGTGTAATGGCGTGTCTCCGTTGCTCAAGGTCTCCGTCACTTTCCCTCCTGCCCGGCAGATCATCGGGATCATGTCTGCCTGCCCTTTCCTCACGGCAGTGAAGATCGGAGACTCCACCTCCGAGTCTTGTTGACCTCGCCAGATCCCTTGCATCTTGCAGAACTGCTCCGCAAGCCTCCGCCCGTCTTGTTCACTTGGATCGCTCTGAGCTCTGCAATGCAAATCTGATATCTTCCTCATGTACAGATCTTTCATCTTCTCTGCTGCTAGAGCATCACACATGAAGTCTCCGGTACCATCAAGCCAGTAGTTTATCTTGTTCATCGCCATCTCCTTCAGTCTTGTCGCTTCTCCCATGGCTTGTACGTAGTTGTCGTCGTCATTGTACCAAGCCTCGGCTCGCTCCTTGTATCCCCTTACGACTTCTTCACACTCTCGTTCGATAGACTCGTGCAGTCCATGATGACGATTCAACATTACATCTAATGGCGCGTTTGCCATCCTGTCTTTCACTCGCTGCGACTGCATCATATCCTCCAGGTCTCGCCCGATCTCTTCCTCCACGTTCTCCAGCAGCGCCATGAACAGCTGCTTCCGCTTCCCCAGAGTCTCCTCTATCGTCGAGCACGTCAAGTTCGCGTTGATCTTCAGCGGCACCACTTGCACCAGCATCCCGTCTATCTCTTCCACCCGCGGCTGCTTCATCACCTCCAGGTACGACAGCGGCGGATACAAGATCTCCTTCTCCTCGGGGTACTGCGACAGCAGCTCCACATCCGCTCCCCGGTCGATGGCCCCGCAGCTGATCTCGAAAAGCGTCGGCAGCGAGCCCTCCTTGGCGTACTGCAGCGCCACCTGCCTGTCTGTCGACGTGCTGAGCATCCCGTACTCCACCCCCCCTGACACCCCTCGCGCGTCCTCTTCCACGAACCTCGCCGGCATCCGCACGCCCTTGAGCCCCCGGTACACAACCCTCGACGAGGGCAGCCTCGTGGTCTTGGACAGCTTGATCACCCCGCTCACAACGCAGTGGAGGGTCGTGACGTACTTGTTGACCTTGTGCGACTGCGGAAGTCGAAGAACCGCATTGTACTTGTAGTACATGGGGCCTGTCAATGTGTCTGTCAGCTCACGTCGCACGTTCAAAGCTCTAAAAGCGTCCCATGCTGTACCTGTGTAGAGCAGCAGCGCGACGACTTCCTCCTTCCTTAGCCCTGCTTCCTTGACTCGCTCCTCTGCCATCACGCACTCCACGTCGCGGATGCGTCTGTTTTCCTTCGAGAGCTGCTGCCGCATGCTCGGGTTTGTCACGGCCTCCCACTCACGTTTAGGGTTCGTGACCTCGTTGTGGTTGGGCGGAGTGAACGGCTCCTCCGAGTCCTTCCTATGGCAGTGCTCGTCCTCTAGCCCCTTCCATAGGTCTGTGCTGGGCAGCCCGATACGCTCGATGAGGCCCCCGTGAAACTCCTCCAGCCTCCCGAAGATAGCTTCCTCCCCTTCCTCCATTGAGAACTTCGCGTTCCCTCCCTCTGACCTCCTCCATGACCTGCTCGCCACTGCTACTCCTCCTCCTCTTGCTCCTCTCGCTCCTGTTGCTGTCGGTACCTGGACGCCTTCTAGCACGTCTGCTATGCGTCTACCGCACGCCTCTTTCGTCTCCCTCTCTAGCAGCCCTGACAAGGGAGAGCTCTGGCTGCCCCCACTGATCTGCTCTGCGATCCTCCGCAGCACTTTAGGACGAGCGAGCATGTCCTGCTTGCACGCGAGCTCCCACTCTCTCGCGATCTTTCTCTCGTACTCGTCGACACTACTGCACGTCTCAGCAAGACGCATAAGGAGTTCGGCCGGCAGGTTAAGACCCCGGCAGAGCTCGCTCGCTTCCGCGTGACCTGCCGTCATGTCCGAGTCTTGGGAGTGATTGTGGTAGAAGACTTGAAGCGTGTCGCGCATGTCAGGAGGAAGCGTCCACCGACATAAGTCCAACGATGGCAAGTCCTCGCCTTCCTTCGCGTTGCCTGACTCCGGGATTGAAACTTTTTCAAGTTCATGCAGCAGCTGTAAATCGATCTCAACGTCTGTTTCAGCCTTTTCCGTTTGACTGCTCCCAGCTTCTTTCCCTTGTTTTCCTTCACTTTCAGTTCTCTCCTTCAGCTCGTCGATCTCATCCGACTGTTGTAGTGGTTGCTTTGCTTCTTGTCGCACCTCCCCTCCCTCGAGCCTTCCCACTACCATCCTCTTCTCGTGATGTAGCGTAGCTGCCTCTTCTTCCTCTGGCTTTCGCTTCTCCTGATTTTCTCTGTTGGCGGTCAGCAGGCTGTCTGGGGTAAGAGTCTCCTGCAGCGTTTTGTGATCATCCCCTTCATGTGCATGTCCATGCTCTATCTGATGCTCTATCGTTTCTTGTGCTGACGTCATCATTTCTTCTTCACTGGCCTTCTTGTGCCGACGCTTCCTCCTTTCATCTAGAATATCCAATCCCACCTGCCCTGATAGGTCACACACTCATAGCTCACAGCAACACAATACATCCAGCCCTAGACTAGAAGAAGCCGAAGCTACAGACGAGTCACCGGTCGTCAGTCTTCTTCGCTTCTTGCTCTCACCTGCGCATGGCTTAAAGGATAGTCTGTTTCTCTAGTGTACCTCTACCTTCCTGCAAAAACGCCTCGAAGCTTCGAAAACCTCCAGGTCTCTCATACTCCTGCACCCGTCGGAAGCCGTTTCTCAGCTCTTCGCTCCAGTGCTCCTCGCACTCCATCCAGTCTGTCCTGTACCCGTCGCTCCTCACGACCCAGCCAGTGCTGCTGATCCATGTCCTCCAGCCCTCAAGCTCGTGTCTGTGTTTCCCTTGCTTGCTGTGATAGTACTCGAGTAGACAACAGTGCAAGAATACGCTGCTCAGCTTGGTCATCTTCAGCATCATGACATAGCTTCCGACCTCCACGGCTTTTTCCAGCACATAGAAGTAGAACGAAGGATACTGACCCTCTCCAGGCATTATCTCTTCTCGAAGATGCTCCTCTATTTTATCCATCGCATCCTCCCATGATACCATCGAGTCAAAGCATCTATCGACCACCTTGCTCCAGATCTCCAATGCTTCATCTAGCTCATCTGGGTCCGTTATCACTTTGCGTATTTCCTTGCTAATCGTGTATTCCAGAATTGCAATGAGCAGTTTGTCGTCAGATATGCTGCGACCTGTCTGATTTGCCTTCCATGCATCGAAGGACGGCGACGAGATCTTGTTTCGACCAATGTACTCCAGCACAAGCTCAACAAGCTCGGGCCCTACTAGGTTTTTGTTCACCTTTGTCAGAAAATTCCCCAGCAGCCTCCGGGTAGAGAACCTCGTGTCTTCATATCGCAGGAAGTACATCAGAACGATTGAGCACACCCTCCACCGCGGACTATCCGCTCGCTGCTCTCTAAGGAAATACTTCACCGCCTTGATGGTCCTTTCTCTGAAAGACTTGGCGTCTTCAGGGCTGTAAGCCAACACATAAGTATCCGCCTTTGACGTGTCTGTATGGGTAGGAGTGCTTGATGCCAAGTCCTTCGCAGCTTGAAGCAGCCCAGCTGTACTGCTCTTGATGTCTCTCAAGGGCTCGCCATCTCTCACCAGGTAGAAACCATCCGGGATGGCTTGGATTTGCATAAAAACACAAGGTTGTTTCCCTTCACAACTTCTTGCACAAGATAGCAAAACATTGTCAAGAGGCCTATTGCAAGCAAACATCCCCAAGTCAGGATCGAGGAGCGACTGAAACAAGATTGAGTCATCGCTTGCTGTCTTGCCCTTGCCGCATGTCAGCAAGAGAGTCCAATGCTCAGGAAGCGCTTTCACTTCCGGATCCTGCGGCACACCCTCTTTCACTCCCTCGATCTTGTCTCGACACGCGTCAATCACAACGAGCACCCTCGGATGAAACGTAGATATATCTCGTTCAAAGTCCCTGAAGACCTTGAAAACCTCCTTCAAGGACAGCATCTCATCATGTATCTGGCGATAAGATAACCCTCTCACTTCCTCAACCTCCGTTGGTACCAACATCTGGTCATGGCTCACCGGCTCATAGAGCCCATGTCCCGCATAGAAGAAGATCAACAGCTCCGGACACGCTTGCTCGAGCTGTTTGAGACTCCTCCTCAAGTACTTCTTCATGTCAGACGGATTCCTGGGGTTTGAGCTCAACACAGAGTGTGACTGCGGGAGTGAGCAGAGCTTGTCATGCAGCTCCTTCGCATCCTGCACGGCCTTCGCAAGCGGCTTGAGCTCACCCTGGTAGTCGTTGAGCCCCATGCACAGCCCGTACACCCGAGGATGCTCCAGGAAGATCAAGTCTGCCTCGAATCTCCGCTCCGTCCGACTATCCACGAAGCTCTGGGAGCGATACCTCGACTGACCTGACAGAGCGCTAGCAACATCTCAAGTCACTTCCATGCTCTCCTCTCAAACCCTCTTCATCAGTCTATGCCTCTACCTGTTTCGCTTGGAGAAGCTTTCGTCGGCTCTCCCTCCCTCAAGAGCAAGCTCCATGACGCACTTGACTTGCTCCCGTGCGTGCTCGTCTTCATCGCCTCCTCCCTCACCAAACAAGACGGCATCATCGGACTTTCGTATCTCTTGTCTCATGTTGCTGTGAGGGCTTGTCATTCGTCTCCTCTCCACCGCTTTCATCCTAGCACAAGTCAAGCTCCGGCCTTTCGCCCGGCCTGAGGCAGCCTCGTCCTCGCTACGATCTCCCCACCTCTCTGAGGTCATGACGTGTAGGCAGAGCTCGTCTTCCGGCCGCTCCTCCTCTCTGAAGCAGAAGAGCCGCTGCAGGAATGAGTCTTGGCCCTCCAGGTCGATGATGCTGATGAGGCGGATGCTCTTTCGTTCCATGCCCGTAGAGAGCTTGTCTAGTAAGCGCTCGCTCGGAGAGACGGAACTGCTGCTCCATGCTTGGATGTCTGAGAAGTTGTTGACAAGAGAATCAAACCTCTTCTGCACGTACTCCTGCATTCGACTTTTCTTTCTTCCCCTCTGTACAGTTGTTATCCTACTTTCCTTCTTCTTCTTCTGCCTTCTTCCCACCTGAGAGGGGAGAGAGGAGCATCCTCCCTATCATCCTTCACCTGTTGCTTTCCTCTCCTCTCTCTCCGCTCTCTCGCCTCCCTCCTCTCCCTATCCTCTCGCCTCCCCTCCCCTCCCCTCTCCTTCGCTCCCAGCTACTCTGCGCTTTGCTGTCCTGCAGGCACTAGCCAGGCCATCCTGGTGTCCAAGTTGCTGTCTTCAGATATTTATTATTCATTTCCCGAGGCGAGCTCAGTACACTATCACTCGAGTGTACTGACCGGCCATGATAACTGATTTCTTGCTACTACTTCATTCATTCATTGATCTTTAACTTAACTTTGAGTAAAAGATTATGGTGTAAGGTATCCGTGCGAATTTGACCTTGCAACTACAACTTGACTGACAGCGGCAGAGCTTGAACGCAGCAGATGATTGCAAGTTTGAACTCTGACTATTACCGATGTCACTGACTTGCAGCAGCATAAAGTTTTCCAGTGTTGATGAGCAGGTGCGTTTCGTGATGGTTGTAGTGTACGACATCGTTCAGCAACTGCATTATACATAGCACATACCATAAAATGATAAGGATAAGTTTCAAGGTTCTGTCGTAGGATGTTTTCAACAAGTTTGACGCCTCAAAAACACAAACATCTTCACCCTTTGAAAGGAGAGTTGCTGGTTCCTCAATCGTATCGCTCCTCTGAACAAGTTTCCTGCTCAGGAGTTTCTCCACAGCAGCACATGTTTCTTGGAGCATCAGACCAAACTATCAACGTGAAGAACAGGTACTCGTCTTCCTTCCTGATGGCAGGACGGCCTGAGGCGTCTGACCTTGCCCAATCGAGTACCAAGTTATCTAAGAGAAATTTCGTGAACTTGCAGCATCCCATGCCTACCAAGAGGAAGTAGACGGGTGCGAGCAGCATGCTGTAGATATATGATGATAAATTTCCAATGAAGTAATTGATGATGTACTGGATCAGCAACGTCTCGACCAGAGTTTTCGTCTCTGTTGTGCAGCGGCAATTGTCAAGTTCAGCTGCAAAGCTAGGGGCCCGATCCACAAGACATCCGAACTGTAGCAATGTCGAGCAATTTTGATTGTTGATGAGCGTAGGCTTTGTCGTGGCACTGTTCCATGTCGCAGTCATGCAAGTTAAGCGTCCAGCTCCTGGCTGACCCCCAGCTGCCCAGGCGTTTAGCCCAAAGGTCGCGATGCCAAAGCGGGGAAGATGCTGATTCATGATCTTGGTAGCCATCTGGTACTCAGAGCTTTGGTTGTAGAGGGGCAGGCGACCTCCCAGCTTCGCGCAGAAGTTCGCAGCTTCCATCTGAGTTTTTGATTCACACACGAAGATGATGGTGCCTTTGGAAGACCCAGCTGGAGCGAGCATCTGACTCGACATGGCCTGCGCAACTAGTTGGGGCTGAGAGAACACATATTGTTTGCAATAAAATGCATCTGCGATAAAGGTCACTCCAAAGAAGCATGAGATCGCCCACAGAGCAACCGCCAGCAAGTTTCCGCTCTTCCTCAGACATCGCATACAGCATCCCCCTTCGTCTGCCTTCGCTTTGAAGATCCTCTTCAAGAGCTCGGTCAGCATGAGAGCCTTGAGAATTGGGTTCAACAACGCGCCCATCATTTTCTTGGCGTACCACTCGGTTGGCAATTGGACCGTCATCAGAAACGCGGAATTGGTCAGAGAAACCAGGACTACATTGACCAGAACCATTAATCGTTCCCTCCTAGAGTACGCGTCGCACACCTCAGGGCGAGCAAAGAAAGGAGAGTACTCGTCGCTATCCTGTAAGTGACGGTGAATTCCCCTTAAGATGTTGATCGGGCTGTAAAACTGCCCTAGGAAGGTGCACAGTCCTATTGGACGCTCGTCGTCAGCATTGCTGTAGCTGGACATCCCTCCTGCCTCCTTCTGGAACTTTGAATTTTGTGAGATGCTGTTCGCCCGTTGTGACTTGAACGAGTTCATCTCTTGCTCCTGGGGTAGGTCCTGGGGAAAGTCCTGGGGCAGGTCCTCAGGAAAGTCCGTGGGCTGCCGTTGAATCCATGAATTATCAACATGATGGTTCGCAGAGTAGCCCATCACGAGCTCAGAACCACCATCCTGACAATACAACGACATCTCTTGCTCGATATCTGCTGAGTATTGTGGTACAACCCTTGAGGATCTCTTATTCTGTGACGTGTGATGTGGAAACATCGCAAGATTCAGTAGAAAGATGGTGATGTGCCGATATTCCTCCTGCTCGATAGATTTGTGCACTGCAAGGTTCAGCTGGCGGGGTACTACCCTACAACTTAACTCTTGCGAGAAGGCCAAGCAGGGGGCCCAATGATCACCCAGTCCGTGGTTAAAATGACCCTACCCTCTCATGATGTCTTTTTTACGAGTCTGTACCGGTCAAGTTACCTCAGTGGGGTCGCCTACTACTACCCTACCGGAGGCTGGCTGCACTGCTGAATGTCGCTGCTAGGCTACCGTACCGATCTGCCCGGCTCACCCCCGGGAGCCTCGGAGTCCCCACCTGGATTAGACCAGGGGGGGGCACGGTGGGTGGGTACGGTAGTATCTTTATTTGTGCAGGGGCCTGGGGGCCGCGACGTGTAGTAACGAGCGCCGTGAGGAGTCACGGCGACCGTCCGACAACTTTTACAGAACAAGAATAAGGTATCAGTTAAGTTTGGGGGACTCCGGGACAGCAGTTGGCAGGATTAGGTTTGGTTCTCGCTGTCTTTTCTCTCAGTCTCGCCGTATGGCCTGTGCGACAGTAGGGTCAACTCATGATTGTCCTGGTACTGATTTTTGAGTTAACTTTGAGTAAAGGGGTCAAGAACAAGGCCCGTTAAAAGCCTCCGACCGCGACGGTTCCGAGTTCCTAGCTCACAGAGCCGCTGAATACCTTGAAAAGAATTTGATATTTTCAAGTTAAATTGCAAACAGTAAGAGTATTTTTGGAGGAAGATACCGAATCTTCATTTCAAATCATGGCAGGGCATGCGCTGGGGATGGGATCGTCAGACTCTGACGCACTTTTAAAGCGGCGCGAACCCGAATGTGTAGGCAACATCTAAGCATCGAGAAACATCTCTCAATCTCGCGGAGTATAACCGCCACTCTGCTTGCGTGAGTGCTTTGTTGGAGAGTTGTGTAGCAGTTGGGGGCGTTCAGATGTTATTTAATGATGACGGAAAATACTCTGAAAACCCAATCAACAATCAACTAAGATGGATAGAAAATACGGATGGAAAAAATTACGTTGATATGTTGCGTATGGTGCATGCTGAGTTGAAAGGCATGCAAGTATGCGAGATGTTGTCTTTCTTGAAGACCTACAAATCAAGAATGTCAACATTTGGCACATACATTCAGCTATCGGAGCCAACCTTCACCGATCAACTACGGGAATTTAGACGCAAAATAAAAATGTCGAAAGGGATCTTGGACAATTTCAATTCGCGAAGTTCAGAAGCAGTCATTATCGAAGAATATGGGACAATGGTGATTACAGCTGGCAAAAGCCAGTTGAAAGACGGTCTGCAACCAGGAGACCGTGTTCAGTTTGAAATAGAAGAGATTGATGGAAGGTTAACGGCTCTCAAGGTCACGAAGGCTCATGAAAGCGACCATTCGTCCGATGAAGTTTTGCTATGCACCCGGGGTCACTATCGCCCTCGTTATGGCCTTCATAAGCCTGAGATTGTCCCTCCTGAATTGCTCATGATGAGTAAAGATGAAGCTGAGAAAGTTATCGAGCTCACAAATCAAATCAAGCAGTCGACACATCAACCATATCAAAATCAACAAGATTTTGAGATTCCGTTTATGGACAAGTCCTATGCAGTCAAGAGAGTAAAAGACAAGCTTCCTCCACCTGATTCTTTCTTCAAAACCTCAAGATTTCATTCATCAAATGTGCTTGAAGCTTCAGGAGAGCTCCAACAGATGAGGTTTTCCCTCCATATAACAACCCAGCATCAAAGACCGTCTGATTTCTGTGCAGGCAGCAGATGGCAGAAAAGGCTGTCAAGGTAAGTCAGTTGACGGACTTCGCATGATCGTCGTCACGTTTGCTATGCGCAGGGTTGGAGAGCTCACACAGCAAAGACTGCCCTGACCTCAACAGTCATCCCCGCCCTCCGAGATAAGGTCAAGCCAGAGATGTGCTCAGTAGAATTCGCCAAGATGTACGAGATGCTTTCCGCTTACCAACTCATTCGTAGCCCAGCAGACCATGGAAAGTTTGTCTCGTTGCATCTTTGTGAAGCTCCAGGAGCATTTGTCTCAGCAACACATCATTATATTCAAAGCAAACTCACAGGGACCCGATGGGATTGGGTCGCTTCTTCTCTTAATCCTCACTTCGAAGGGAACGGCACGAAAGACATGGTATCCAACAAGCCTTATTGGCGATCATTGCTGACATGTGTTACATTCTAGATCACCGAGGACATCTTGATCAACGAGACGGGACATCACTGGTACTTCGGCCCTGACAACAGCGGCGACGTGCGGCTTCGTGAGAATATTGAAGGGATATGGGAGATGCTGAGTCGCAGAGGCACGGTAATGCTGGTGACTGCTGATGGCTGCAGTGGCGACACGTTAGAACTCGAGGAGCATCAGGACATTGACCACCAGCTGCAGTTCTGTGAAGCTGTGACAGCGATGGGATCGTTAAGCGAGGGAGGACACTTTGTCCTCAAGATGTCAAACCTCTGCGATCACGCGAGCGTCTGTCTGGTTTATCTTCTCTCCTCCTTCTTCAAGCAGACGTCTATCTGCAAGCCAACCATGAGCGACTCGAGCGGCTGCGAGACTTACCTGGTGTGCCAGGGGTTTGAGGGCATACCAGCAGAATACTTGTATGCTCTGCTAGCTCGTACCGGCGAGTCCTGGCCGTGCGGTGAAGATGGGTCAGAGCTTGCAATGATGGCGAAGGATGACATGGATGCCTCGTGGATCGATCACTTCATGCTCGGTGCGAAATATTTCACTGAGCTTCAAGCGGCTGATATCAGAAGAAACCTGAGACTGTTTGAATACTTCCCTGACAGCGAGTCTTGCCGTATTGATCTAGCAAGGAAACTGATCGCACATGAGTGGATGCGAAGGTTCGGCATATCTGCCATCGATGAAAGGGAGCGACTCATGAGGATGGGAAACGTCAATCTCCTGGTAGACTTTATTATGAACGTCCAGCTTCCAAAATATCGGACCCCTCCTCACAGCGTCACATTGTTGGGCACCAACGTGCCGGTTGAAAGATGCCACCTGAAAATTTTCATCAAAGCAAGGGTTCAGGGTTCGGACAGTTTTGCTCCTGTCATCGTTGTCGATGGGTCGAATCTCAAGTCCCTTCACTCACAAGTGGATCATGAAAGAGCCTATCAAGACTGTTATCGCCTTTTCCTGAGGCTCTGGAAGGACCTTCTAGTTGGATGCGGCCATGATCAACAAGCGAAGATCATCTTTGTCTTTGATGGTGTTCCAGATGCAGAAGATGCCGGTCAAGAAAAACATTTCTGTAAGTTCAAATACATCCAAGAGCTGTCTCAGAATGTCAAAGTTACTTCGACGGCACAAAAAAACAGGGAAAGCCTGTTGGAATCATTGAGTATCGGTGACACAAAAGCTGATGTGATGATGAAGAAACGAGTGATGGTAGGAGCCATTGAAAGTCTCAGAAGGAAGACTGGAGCTCGATTGGAAATGTATCACTCAGGCTCTAGAGAACTTCAGAATGCCGACAACGTAGTTTTGTTGTTCGCCCACAAGCACAATGCTGCACTCATATGGTCTGGAGATAAAGACTTCTTGTTCATGGACGTCGCTGTTATGACCGACTTTGACTGTTCAGGAGCTGCTGCCATCGTCTTACCTAGTACCGTCAAGACCACATTCAACGTTCAGCACAGGAATCATCTCTATGCTCTAGGAAATATCCAAGGGAACGACAGTTACATGTTGAAGCATACAAGGAAAAAGAAGCAAGAAGAAGCTACATATTGGAACACACGTAGCCTCGATCTTTTTGAAGATGCGTTCAAAACTTCAGTACCTTGGTCGCAAGTGCAGAGCAAATATGATGAAATACTGAACTCCCTTCGAGAAAAGGTGAAGTCTCTGGCAAAAATTTGGCAAGGAATCGGAGAAAAACTTCATCTTGATCGTTGCCTGTCAGAGGAAAAAGACAGCCCCACCTCTCACAACAGGTTTCTTGCCGACATCATTCAGCGCCATGCTTCAAGGAACGATGATCAACACGATGATTATCGACAGTTGGAGCTCGCAGTCGCTGAGCTGAGCCTACTGGTGAATGAAGTCGCGCTGGCTCGAACAGCGCGAGGGCTCTTGCCCGATGACTCAAGCGACATGCCACTGACTCCTCACGTGCTTACGAGCAAGTGTAGTGGAGATGTATTTGAGATCTTGAAAGAGAACATGAAACAGTCTTATTGTCTTAAGCTTCAGAAAGTCTTTGTTATCAGTTCTTCAAGTGATACGAACCTTGCAAGCGAGCGAGCAATCACGAACTTCATAGAGGCTTTTCTTAGGTATGGTATTGAGAATCGTCTTTTCAGCTTGGCATCGGCTCGTCACTTCTGGTGGCCCACCAACAGCTTTCAGCCGATTGAAAGAGAAGAGAGTCAAAGTTTCCTAGGCTGGACATTCTCAATCAGGACGAGACTGTACGCTTGGATGTTCAGGCACGCTGAAGACGACCTTTACATCGAGGAGGAGCGTTTCTGTGGTAAGAAGAAGTTCAACATACAAGGCATACGGGAAGATAGTCGCAAGTTTCTTGATCTCGTCGACAGTCATCGTCTTCCTTCAGTCACCGACGTATGGAGCAGCGACGATTGGACGCTGAAAGAAAGACTGACAGTCGCACATCTGATCCTTACAGGCGAATACCCGCAGAAAGACCTGAATGTTTACATTGCCGCCGCCGATGATCTATGGCTCTACTGGCATGACGTGGCGAAGGAGCTCACGACAAGTATGCTGGAAGATCATCCAAAGGTGACTCACACTGCTAGTTGTTTTGATCTGCCTGTGATGTTGTCACGCTCTGCTGCTAGTGATCCTTTCGATGACTAATTGTTCTCTTTACACGCAGAAGGAATCCATCATCAGGGAGATCGATTGTTTCATTTCATCAACATCCTCCTTGTCCAAGGCTTACAGCACTGAGGCACTAGTCGACACATATTCCTGGCTGCAAGTCATACTTTACCATGTCTTCTTTTTCGTGTCGGGGATGTGCAGAATTGAAATGCCTGAGCAGATCAGGTTGCACATCCCAACCTTCAATCACAGAAAAGTCAAACGTCTGCATGAGAGGTCAAGCTTGGTGAATTTTCCTTACGATGAAGGAAATGATGTCAATTGGGAGTGGTATGAGGTTGATGAACAACCATCAAAGCGACACAAGGCTGAAGTTAAGTACAAGATGGAGGACACGAGCATGTCTATTTGCCAGAAAGCATCTAGACATGGTGGCAAGAGAGGAAGGCTTCAAGCCAAACCAGTCGAAGCTTTCCCGGGATCATTCAAGCAATCAAAAGCGAATACAGGGAGGTCGCAGAGGGATTAAAAAGGTATGAACAAGGTAGGCGAGCGAGCTTGGAGAAAAGTTAGCGCCAGGATTTCCTTCTGAACCTTTCAAGTCCAGACCTCGCAAGTGAACCTCGTAGTCCATCGAGTCTGATGGAAGTGTCAAGTATGTCATTATGGGAGGGTGTGCAAGCAAGACATGGCGAGCGAAAGGACAATTGATTGACTGGGTTGTGCTTGTCAAGAACATTTATTAGCTAAACGACACAAAACATAAAATTTCAAAATTCTAAATTTTCCGTCGAAATTATGGATCATTGAAGACCCACACGCCAATATTTCCTTGTGTCTGACTCGTACTTCATCCTTTCTATGAAGAACAGGTTGAAGTATAACCAGACCCATGTGTGATTCAAGGCCGTTTCAGAAAATCTGGTCGTGCTGGTAGAGACATGTAGCACAATAGAATATTCATAGCAGCATTGACATCACGAGACTTGATACGGTTTTGAACACAATTGGTGGATCTGCACCATTTCAAACCCCGCACCACTGACACTTCGTCAGCAAGTATACCATTCTTGTTGATTTGTTTGCGTCTCAAATCATACAATTCTTGATGACATTGATTGCAACATTTTGTCGTTCTGTATTCATCAACTGCCGTCACCTCGAAGAAGTTCTGACATCGCCTTTTGATCCATTTTACAGGCACTGACTTCTCTCCACGCCCAGTACAACCGAATGATGCATCACCGTATGCAATTATTGGATTTTGATCTGTCCCATTACCTTTCATCTTCTTGAAGAACGTATCAATCGCCTTGTGTTTGTGGATGTAGTTATCCATCTTCAGGCGTGCGAACTTGTTTTGACAATTGTGTTCGAACAGGATCTCGCTTAGTCTCACCACGGTGTCGATGTATCTTTCAAAGTGATCCAACCGAGACGTTTTTGCTGACACTCTTGCAATATCGTTTGATTCTTCTGTTATGCCTTGTCTCCATTTTTCTAACTTGGCGTTATTCCGAGTAATATGAGACTCATGATAGTACTGCCTTCGAGTATATCGATACTGCTTTGGTTTTTCTTGACCAGGTATTTGCTCGACACCGCATATCAGTACATTGCGACCAGGATCGATTGCAATAACTCGTCTTGATGACACATCACAATCTCTTGTTTTGCTTTTCTTTGTAGTAGTATTGTCTGTCTCATTGTGTATTCTCTTCTTGAACGTCACACAGAGTGCGACTCCGTCAGTCTGTATGCTATCAACTGTCCCTTTCTTTCTCAAATTTGATTGTAGCTTCAACACCGACAAGAATCGCTTATGTTTTTGTTGTATGAACTTTTTCATGCATTTGCTTTTCCCACCCTTTGAATATTGCAACAGACCAGATTGATCCATAATGTAGAATAAACCCCAAATGTCTACGCGAATAAATTGTTTGCGTATCTGAAAAATCGGAGCGATCGTGTATCGATCAGATATATCATGAATCTCCAAAAACCTCAGAACCGAAAAATGGTACTTGACAAGATTTGGCATGTGTAATTGCATCCATTTTTGCTGTTCAGGGTTTTTCTTGATTTTGTCACGGGCCCATGACAAGTTATAATGATTGTCCCATCCAATGATCTCTTTTTGTTCCCTTATGAAATCAATGACATCCTGTCTTTCGAGAACACGAGTTTTTGGTGGAAAGCTCCATCCGTTTACTGTATTCCGTATATCCTGTATCTCCTTTTCTGAAGAAATCCCATTGAGCTTTCCCCATTCCTTTATGTATCTAGTCTGTTTTGTCCCATCGTATAGAATATGTAATTTTGGAAATTTGTTGCATATTGATCAGCAGAATAGTACAGTACTCGAATATCCCCTTCTTTCCTGCGTTGTATTGGTAGATACTTGTTCCCTTTTTCTTGCCAAAACTCGTCTAAAATATCAAACTGAATTGCATTACCTCTGCGTTTTTCACCCATCAGAAAACAGGTCCGAAAGAAAACTTTCTCTCCACCATTGGTCTTGACCGTTTCTTCTTGCATCCCTTCTTCTTTTTCTTTGTCTGTTACTTTTCTAGTACGATTGTATATCTGATCAAACAGCCTTGTAATGTACGTATCATCACCTTGCATTGAATCCTTCTCAAAACACCATAACAATAGATGATTGAAGATGATGCTACCTCGATGGCTTATTTTGCTTATGTGTTTCACCCAATCATCAATCACACCGATCATTGTGTGATGTTTGAGATGTTTTTTCAAACACATCTTGACAGTCGTCTGTGAATCAGAACAAGACTTTCTTTGTTTTCCTCTTTTCCTTTTCCCCATATTTGATCAGGGTGAACGCGGGAGCTTCGGAAGGCGGGAATGAGGGAGGGAGGGAGGGAGGGCGGGAAGAAGGGAGTGATGGAAGGCGGGAGGGAGGATGGGAGGGAGGGAGAGAAGGCGGGAGGGCGGGGAAATCTTTACAGAGCCACAAACCTGGTACCCACCCCTACTCAAGTTCGACAGATAACAAACGGGTAGTTAGACTTCGGATGAAGGCGGGAAGGCGGGAAGGCCACAAACCTGGTACCCACCCCTACTCAAGTTCGACAGATAAACAAACGGGTAGTTAGACTTCGGATGAAGGCGGGAAGGCGGGAAGGCGGGAAATATTCGAAGTTTGTTGAGCCACAAACCTGGTACCCACCCCTACTTCTACTTTGATAGATAAACAGACGGGTGTTTAGACTTCGGAAGAATTGATTTGTACCGGTGGATTTGCAGGGATGTTCTTTTTTTTTAATCACAACATTCTATATTCTCGTTGCTCCTTTGTTGTTTTACCGTTCGGGGTTTGCACCACACCGCGATTTCGACTTTTTTTTTGAGATTCTAATTTTTGGGTCACCATTGGTCATAGTGTGTCACTTAACCATTATATTAAAATCTGAATAAACTCGTGCCAATGCTTTCTGATGAGGGCTGCTTTCATACAAGTCCGCCTCAACATTTTTATCTTTTGAATGACGTTTTTTTAGTCCAGAAATAGAGCTTTCATCAAGGCGACATGTTCAGCCACCTGGCGGAGTGCGCGGACTTCATGGGGCATCACATCTGCAAGAGGGCAGTGAGGGTGGCGAGCGCCAAGCAGGTGAGCTGGGAAGATCAGATGCAGCGGTAAGCCTTCCTTCCCCTCCTTCCTCTTGAGTTGAGCCTAGGGAGGCGACCGGCTCCTACATCCGCAACGGGAGGCTGAGGGCAGACGAGAGCGCGTACTTGAGAGGAGACGATTCAGACTGCGCGGCAAACCCTTCTTACCCCGCGGTAAGGAAGACCTAACGTTGTTTAGAGCATAACCTCTTTCGCAGTGTGCCAATCCCTTCAAGGGACTGTTGGGTTCGGAGTGAACTCTACGTTGGGGCAGGAATTTGTAGATTTGGTATCAAAGAGGGAAGAAAGCTTCTATCAATCAACAATGAATAACATACTTACATCTATGTGCATGGATTCGATTCACTTGCTCAATGAGAAACCGAAGAACTCTGATCGACGTGTCAACAAGACAAGGCATTGACAACACTTGTGCTCTCGTACCTCCACCTTTGTCATGCCCGGGAATGAGAGATTCGAGAGGGTTGAAAGGAGCCTTCTTCACAGAGCCAAGAGGGTCAAATTGAAACCAGCTGAAAAGAACGTCAAGGAATGAACATTCCATCCATATCATGAGTGTCGCACCTGTTCGACGTGACGGTGCCCTTGGTTTCTTCAAATCGATGGTTTCAAACAACGAGAACAGATGGTCTCAGATTCACCTGAATCCTGTACAACAGTCGTCAGAGTTTGGAGCACTCAAGACTCAACAAGAGCAACCCACCAAGGGCAGCGGAGGTCTGCCTTCGACCTTGGGAGTGAAGAGATCTGCGTTGTTGGCGCTCAGCCCGATATCTCAACCCTGCTGATAGACCTGTCGACGGTGACGGCAGTCTCTTGGCCAGTTGCGGGTTCATGTTAGATCTGAAGGGGATGTTCAATGATCGGAGGATTGCGGCGTCTTGTTACCTTGTTGACGAAGGCGCATTTGACATGGCTCGTTGACTTGCCGCTGTGAAAGATCAGCCAAGGAGTGAAGGAAGCAACTGCATTCTAACCCGCTTCTTCCACCTGTGCATTCTTTTCCCTTGAGGTCATCGTCACAACCAAAGATTCGATGTGTCACAGTTGAGACCTTATTGCCTGTTGCAGGCGGGCAACTTTTTCCTACGAGAAGAACTTCAGCTTTGTCTCGTTGCTTGAGACTCTACCTGTAGGTGGGAGATCGTTCTTCCATCGTTGACGGCTTCCTGATTCCTCTTACGGAGTTGATACTTCGTAACCGTCACTAAGGAAAGGAAGTCGAAAGTCAAAACCACCTCTGCATCTTTGAAGAGCTGCCTGGCTATCGCCAATTCTTTCAAGAGGACATCCTTTTCCTTTGGGAACACCATAATCCACGTAAGATCTTGAGCGTTATGCTACCAAATATGATTAGACCTTTTTCAGCCTCACGTTTTGATCTGCGATCGACTCCTAAAAGAAGGTTTCAAACTTGGGGACCTGACAAGCCTAGACTCACCGTTTTTCCTTCATCAAATTTCTCAACTGAATCGGGCATCTCAACATTCAGAGCTGCGTGCATCATTCTGTCCAGCTCTTCCTTGAAACGCTTCGCATTTCGTTCAGCCTGCGAGTTGTACTCAGCTCACCACGTCGTCAGGGGCGAAATCCAACCTCATCACGAGCCTTAGATTCGTCGTGGAGTTGTCGTTTCAAGGCTGCTACTTGAACCTATTGCGGCAACGTGAACTTCATGATCGTCCCTTTCAAACTCGCGTCAAGTGAAGCAACCTGTAACTCTATCCGCGAAGCTCCTCCATATCGCATCATCTGACTCAGCTCCTTGTCCTCCTCGTGCGCGTTTGCGTCTTCCTCCTTCGCTTCCTTCTCATGCTCTACTGCTCCATCCACATTCTTGGCCAACTTTGGCTGAGGCGACTTCTTTGCGCGGGAAGGACTGCCTGCCCCTATGGCCGTTTTGTCTCCCCTAACTCTCCTCCTGGCAAACGCCACCTCCTCGTCCGACGCAGTCCTCCAGAACTCAATCTCCTTGAGATCATCCCTGACCCTCATGTCAACTTGGAAGAGGAAGGCAGGAGACAGACCTGACTCTGTCGATGATCGTCACCAGATCATACTCTATCCACCTCAGAGTCTCCACTTTCATGTCGCATTCCCGCACCGCCCATCTCAGCTTCTGGTCTGCTGCATGAGGGATGGGCGATTCTCGGGGCAATTCCAAGTCATCTTGTGCGAGCTTGTCATGGGATAGGTCATTGAGGAAGCGATCTATCATGGTCAGATGTTCTTGTTCGCTGACTGCATGCTGATTTCAAACCAACGACATCGCCAGAGTCACATACCTTGCGCGCTGCTGATCTGCTTCGAGCCAGCCGACTCTAAGAGAGAAGAGCCCGAGACCTGAGGTCTTTGCGAAGACGGATCACTGCGCCAAGCACGTGAGTTCATGGGATGTGAAGCCTTGCATTACTTGTTCGCCATGAAGCTTACTGGACCTGAGTTTTCACTCTCTTCCGTTCTCCGCGCTTCTTTCATTGATGTCTGAACACCTCCTCATCCATCTTCGTGGTGATCCATCCTGGCATGACCAGTCACTGATGCACTTCCCTGCAAATCCCTCCACACTTCACCCTCCGACTCTGAGGCTCCACCATTCCTGCGGCTGTCACCTATGAGATAGTCCTCCTCCGTTTCTCTCCTTATCTCCCCCCGACCCCTGCTCCTGATCCTACTACCTCTGCTGCTCCTGCTTCTCCTGCTGCTCCTGCTTCTCCTGCTGCTCCTGCTGCTCCTGCTCCTGCTGCTCCTGCTGCTCCTGCTCCTGCTGCTCCTGCTTCTGCTCCTGCTCCTCCCACATTGTCCCTGTTCCCGCTACACGCCATTCCTTGTTTAAGTTACTGCCCCCTGACCCCTACCTAGCCAACATCTTCACCCCACCCCTACTGGGAAAGTCCACCCAACCTGGGGCAGGCTTGCAAATGAGTTTTACACTTCACAATGCGCCCAGTGAGAGTCGGTGACGAGTTCAAGAAGCGAGGGGGAGGGGGAGGGGGGGGGGGGGAGGGAAGAAGCAGGAGCAGGAGCAGGAGCAGGAGCAGGAGGAGCAGGATAAGGAGATGGAGATGGAGGTGACTGTTGTGATGATGACTGTAATCAAGATGATGCATTGACACTCAAGGGATTCTCTTTCATACCAGATTAAAGTATGGATGTTTGTGAAGTTTTGGGAGGCAAAATCGACAATTGATCGGTAAGTTCTTCGAATGTTCGAATCCAGACATTTTACCAAGATCTGAAGATGTGGAAGCCTTACGATTATCCATGTCATGTGCTTTTCTGCACATTTTGGGGTATGCGATCTTCATTCGTGGAAAATGCTCATCAATCTTTCAGTTTGCATTTTGGGCATGCAGATACAATGTACAGAAGTAGAGACAAATGTTGTAATGATGTTCACTTGTTGCTCTAATCTGAGAGTCCTCTGATTAGTTCAAGATTCTACACAAATGCAGGGAGGAGCTGGTGAAGGTGAGAAGGAGCAAGTCTCTGCGATTGCTCTGATCGGTCATCAGGGAGGCGATGCCTTTCGTTTCGTCCTTGGCATCGGGAGGGAGGGCTGTAAGTGCGATGCTCAACTGCCGCTTGCCTGAGTCTTGGAGAAGATTCAAATCAGTTGCCGGTATTGAATCCGACGCTTCTTGACTCTGAGGAGGTGGAAGAGGATGCGTTGGGTAGACAGATGCGGTATGGGGGATGTCGGGGAGGGTTGAAGTCTCTGAACCTTGCATGTAGGGCGTACGAAAGGTTCAGACAAGGAGAGCTGGGATGTTTTGAGGACACCAGCAGGTTTGATTGTGTGATGTCTCCGATAGGCATGAAACTTTCGCTGTGGTCAGCAACACCCTGGGGTCACACGAGGGGAATGAGGATGACATTGCGCGAAAGTACCCGAGCGAAGGTGACCAGGTCGATGCGTTAGTTGCTCTCTGGAAGAAGGTGAAGGTTTTCATGGGCAGGACCCGCTAGCAAGCAAGTATGAAGTTGTTCAAGGTCAAAACACACTTAGTGCACATTATGATCATTCTGAGGAAGTGCTGAGCAGGCGAAAGATTGTTTAAGTACACGACAAAGGTCGTGATGCGTACCTTATCATCTAGAAGAAATGATAGAAAATCAGAATCGAAACGATATCTACGACGAAGCAGTCAAAAAAAGAGCGAAGTTGGAGGTTGTTGGGAATTGAAGGCGGCGTGTGCTGATTTCATTGCGTGGGATTCAGGGAGCAAGCAGCGAGGAGGTAGACAATTCAAACGAAACATCCTTTCGAGGAAAGAGGGATAATGACTGGACTGTAGTACTCATCCGGAGGCTCCCAAAGTGCAGTGAGTTCAGACGGAGCTCTTACGCGGGATCGGGACAGAAAGTTAGTGGAGGGGCTAACGAGTCACAAGAGGATCACTGACCGATGAGCTTACAGCACAACACAGGGAGAGAAGGATTTGCAGGAGCATGATTCAGAGACAGGCCTCATCAAGAACTTGTACTCAGTACTCCACCGGGGTATAAGGCAGGCCGAACGCGAAGCCAGGACAAAGTTTCCCGGCAACGACTCGGAGTGGAGAAAGATGGTGGGCCCGACACATTGCATGGATGATGAACTCGAAAAAAACAGCACGGAATCGGAGGAAGACATGAGCGATGAAATGCAAGGACAACCTAAGCTTCCGAAGTCAGGCAAGTGAAATGAGAGTTTCTTTGATCGCAATTCAATCAGATCACTGCCTACCTCCTTTTCCTTCCGCCTTGGTCTGACATTCAAACTTCCCCTCCTCTCACTTCTCTCTGCCTCTCCTTGTATCGGGATCATCCATGATAGCCGATCAAAAATGTCGATGGACGCTCTTCGCTGAATTTACTCGCTCCCTGCAGATGACGACAAATTGGGATTGACTGAGTCGTCGATCGACAAGTACTTGCCGCAGGTCAAACTCCAGTCTGTGAGGCCCCGATGACAAGGATTGTAGAACTACATCCCTTGCGCTGATGACGGGCATGGTGCGCATGTGCTGTTGAGGTCAGCTCCTCACACTCCTCCGCTCTTACTGACGCGACTGTCAGAGACGCTCCTCGACTGCAAGTCCAACTGTCTTTGAATCATCAGCTCTGGCGGGCAAGCACGGAAGGTTCGCAGACGCAGAGCAGGAGCGTCTGCCATTGCTGTGACCCTTGTTTGTGTGCTCCTGCTGCAGGCGACATCGATGAGGCTGAACGACTGCTCAACTTGGGCGCTGAGGTTGTGAAGGCAGAGAGATGGAGGGCATGACGTAGACCAGGTCAACATAGATTTCTGGTTCTCCGAGAAAGCAGAGACCGATTCCTCCAACGCCGAGCTTGAAATCTACTGGCAGAATACAATGGAGGAGGATTGGGGGAGGTAATGTGGCGGAGCGTTGCCCTGGGTTTGACTTTGCATGGCAGATCGACACTAGATAGGCTGGCTAAGTGATTTCGTTGCTCGTCAAGAGCAATCATTGACCTGATGCTTCACAAGGTTCGGAGATGCGAACCAAGTACGAAAGGTAGCAGAGGTCTTGTGTACCATCAGGAAGTATGGGGTCAGAAGCAGCCCGTCGCAAAATCAGACCCCCAAGAAGAGACTTCAGTGGATATCATCGGCCCTCCGCATCGTCCAGGAGCTGAAGATGCAATCTTGGTTTCTCTACTTGCACCATTAATTCCTTCATCCTGACAACCCGCAGCTCGACTGGCTTTCTGAGGCCTCAAGTGGACAAGGAAGGACCAGGAATCGTTTCATCCCGCCACGCGCCTTCCTTCCCACCCTCCCTATCATTTTCCTCCCTTTTCCTTGCTTTCCTTCTCTTTCCTCTTTTTTGCTGCCGATTTTATCCTTCTCATTGCGTGAACAGAGTATCTCCTGAAGATCAAGATGCCTCTCGATTTAAATCTCGTCCGTTCGAAGCTCGAGAGGGTATCTAACTGACTGAACTGCCTCCCTCGTGAGATCATGCCTGCCAGCGAGCGTATACAACGCCTTCAGATTGGATCATCGACATGAAAGGAATCGGTTAAAGATCGCTTTACGACGTGATGGTGCATAATGTGCACAACTGCAGTTGCCAACGGCCTCAAGTACTTTCATCCAGAGAGCAAGATGTATCATTCCGCTATCGAGCTTGGTTCGGCACCCACAAGTCATCTATGATATGAATCATCGTTCCTCTAGGTCAACAGTTCGAGGAGATGTTGGAGAACGATGAAATCTTCCAAGAAAACAAGTAACACTTCGTTCCCCTCCTTGCATCCTCTTATGTGTACTCTTCTGTCAGCCTGGATTTCGACGCTCCTCGTTCGGCTCGTGGCTGGTTTATAATGAAACCCATCAACTATACCCAGGCTAGTACTTTTCTATCCGCAGTCTCATCTCACGTCTGTTTCTCAGATGAGACTGGCAAGAACAGTTTTCCCGAGCTCTCCTGGTTCTACATCAATCAGCCGGCCAAGAGGTAGTTTTTTGCGTCAGATTCAAATTCTAGCGCGATGATCTGGAATTGATGTTGCTTTTTACAGTTGAAGCGAAAGAGAAGAAACTGATTGAAGTGAAGTCATTGCATGGTACCGCATCCATCTCAAGTGGTGACAGGTGAAGCAACGAACAAACAAATCCGCTCCAAAGACTGGGAAGAAAGCAAAAGAGGTCAGATGGTTTTTCATTCATTCTCAGCTAGAAAAATAACCACGGGATTATAGGATGAGGAGAAATGGAAGAAAGAGTGCGCGCGGACACTCATGCGAATGTGGAAGCACAAGGACTCGTGGCCTTTCCTGGAGCCTGTCAGAGCAGCTCCTAGCCGCGTCTCACCTCACAATCACTACAGGTTGATCCCATCGCCCTGGACATCCCAACCTACTTCGAGATCATCAAACATCCCATGGACCTGGGAACTGTTCGCTCGAAGCTCATCAGCGGTCTCTGCCCGCTACTCCACGCCTCTTGATTGAAATGTGTGCAGGATCCTACAAAGACATCAACGCGTTTGCTGCTGACGTCCGGCTGACTTTTGGTTCTCAAGTGGCATTTATCGTTGTCGCGTTGACTAGTGTTGCAGATAACGCGATGCTGTTCAATCCTGTCGGCCACTGGGTGCATGAGATGGCGAAGAACCTGAAGAGCTTTTTTGAGAGCAACTTCCAGGAGCACCTCAGTCGCACCGGGAAGAAACAGTCATGAAGCCAACGACGATCATCTGGCCGATGATGACTCCTTCCTGAACGATAAATGCACGGAGGGGCTTGCAGGAGCATACAGCTCTCCTGCTACCGACAGACTGTCGTTCGTCTCACAGTCGGAGGAGTACTGCAACCTTGATCGCAGGAGGAAGCCTTCTTCGCCTTCCTCCCTCGCTCCAGCTTCTGCCTCTCGCAATTCCTGTGCCTTGCAAATCTTCTCGATGTCTTCGATCAGATCGTCGATCGCGTCCGACGTCCGCATTCTGGCGTAACAGCTCTCTGCTCTGCGGATCAAGAAGCCGGCTGCTCTGCTGGGACTGTTCGAAACTTGCACGGCAGAAAAGGAGGAAAGTTGCAGTTTCCAAACATCGAAGAATGGACGGAGATCGTCTTTCACGGGGCCAGTATCGTTCCATACTGTCGGCCTTGCCAGATTCTGTTCCTGAACCCTCGGTAACAGCCAACAGAAAGTTTTCATCTTGGAGAAGTAGGTGAACAGAAGCCCTTTGTAAACGTATTCTTCAATGATGGAACGATTCTGGTGTGAAAGCAAAAACGTCAGAAAGCATTGGTAGCAGTGAAGTACAAACCTTTGAAGTCTTGCAGAAGATGCCCCACGCGTAAAAACACAATCGGATGGATGCAAGAACATGTGCTCGCTCCATTCGATTCAATTTGAAGTTGAAAAATTTGTTTCTCAAGAAGAGTTCTTGTAAAACTCTTGAATCCTGATTCGAACTTTGTGACAGAACAAGATACCGAGCCTGTGGAGCTATAGTAAGATCAGTGTCATTGCAGGGATAGTCTTGCACAACTGTTTCAATGATATTACACATTTCCTTCAACTCCATCACTTCATCCAAAAACCGCACGATGCTTGTTTGCATTCTTAAACTTTCAGAGTTTTTACAATCTCTTAAACGTTCGTATTGATCCTGATAGTACTCGAGTTCTGTCTCAGCGGCTTGTTTGAGGATTTGTTCTTGATTCAAACTGTAGCTCAAACGACCATGATCCTGTTTCATTCTGTAGAGCTTGGAAGATGCCTTCAACCTTTTGATCATAAAATGTCTCACTTCACCATATAACCTTTTACGGAACAGAACAGAAAACATCCATTTCCATGACAACTGGCTGCGCTTGTGTCTTTCTAATTCGATCCTGGACTTGAGATCATGATTCTGAATTGCCTCTTGATGTTCTTGATGTAGATCGGTCAAGATATCTTGGTAGATTCCAAGAATATTGGAACATTCATGCAATATCATATTGCACATTGTTGCAACCTGCAGATTTTTTTGTTTCATCTGTTTTGAAACAATGCACATTGTATCAGTTGATGAATCCAACAAGCCAAAGCAGCCAAGCAAGATATCTTCATGCAGGCTGTCAGTAATCTTCTGAAATTGTAGGAGGTCGCTTGTGGTATTAAGGATGAAATCTTTCAAAAGAGAGATTCCCCTCATTTGCAAAACTTTTTGACGCTGCAATTCTGCCTTGCTGCCTTCATAATCTTTGCTCAGCCTTTCAACTTCCATTCCCCTGTCACCGAGTTCTCTTATCAAAGTGGCAATCTGAGCTCCTTTCCATAATTCTTTGACCGCAAAATCAGCCTTAGCCGTAGTCACCGAAGAGCTACAACGTTCTTCTGTCCACCGCAATTTATCAGTCAGAGCAATCACTTGACCCTGCAGGTCGTGGATCATCCTGGTCTTCTCTTCGTCTTCGAGCAAGATGTATGGGATTTCCATGAGAGTCTCATCCAGAATTGATGCAATGTAAACAACTGGTTCAATGGTGGATAGAACGTAATTTTCTTTCTCTTGCTGAAATCCACATCTCGTCTGATAAAACAACAAGCACAAGTCAGACATCGTGAGCTGCATCTTGTCACAATACGACTCAAGTAGAGATATAGCGCTTTTGCTCTGACGATCTTGAGTTGCCCACGTTTCACGCTCTGCCATTAGTTCATCATTCAATTTCTTCTGACTGCAGTAGGAGGCTTCCGAAGTTGAATGAGCTACAGACAGTAGTCTCGAGTTCTGATAGATTTCTTCGATCATGCCGCTTGTTTCCATGGTGCAGTCTGATACCTCTGTCATCAAGGCTGACAGATCGTTTATCAGACGCGTTGACAAGACCGATGCCATAGCTAAGTTCTGCTCAAACAAGTGGATTGTTTCCTCCTGGACCTCACTCTTTGTAAACGAACCGTTCAAATCGGCTTCAAGTTTGATAACATCAAAACTCAAATGAGCCACCTTCTGCTTGAGATGCTCTGCATACTCCTCCAGGTCCACCTGAGTAGCAGCACAATGAGATATTTGACTGAGACAGTTCTCCACGTGTACAGCTGCTATCGCGCACTGCGATGTATGCCTCTCCATCAGCCTCTCGTACTCCACCAGCTGTTGCCGACCAGCCTCAAGATCGGCAATGCATGACTCCGTCGCGTCCACAGTCCGTCCTAGCCTCCCGAGCTCCTCCTCCACCCTCCGCATCTCCTCTCCTGCCGCGTCGAGATCCCCTCGCACCTCCTCGCTCGCCCTCGCTACCGCAGCCAGCTCGGCTAGCAGCTGCTGAGCCCCTGCCGCTGCCGCCGCCGCCATGTGGGTCACCTGCTGGTCGGCTTGGCTTGCTTGCGACGAGACCCTGCGGACCTCAAGCTCGAGCTCGCGTACCCGGTCTCGCTCAGCCTCTAGCTCAGCCCGCTGGCAAGCCTGGCTCTGCTCAGCCGAGGCAAGTAACGCCTCTACCTCCTGCCGCCGGGCCCTCTCGCGTTCCAAAGATTTTGTCATCTCCTTCATTGTTTCCTCAGAGGATTGGATGCTTTTGCTCAATTTCATTGTTATTCCCTCACTATTCTCAATGCTTTTTGAGCATTGTTTTGTGTATGCCATCATCGTATTGAATTCAAACAATATTGCCCTGTAGTCCTTTGTTTTTTGTTTGCAGTCTTCCTGTAAGAAATTAATTTTGAAATTGTTTGTGATCAGAATTTCATTCAAGCTCCTTAATTCCTTCATCACTGTTGTTACCTCATGCAAGAGCAATTCGATTTCATCTCGTACGATCTGTTGTTTAATCCCGAGCTCTTCAGTTTTCTTCTCGCCTTTCTCAATCAAAAGAAGACAATTGAAAATTTCCGTCTCTTGCGAAAGGCATTTTCTAGAGATCATTTCTAATTGCTGATTCAAGGTATCTTTGCTTGTTTTCAATGACAAAATGTACCCTTCGTAAATTTTGACCCATTTCAAAATATCTTTATACAAACCTGGAAAGGATTTGGAATACGGGAAAGCCTCTTGGTCCAAGACTTGATGTTCAATTTCTTCTGGGCAAAACAAGTGAATTTGGCCAATAGATCCTGTGAAAACTTGTTCGACAGAAAACAGAAAATTCAGCATATCATTTTGTTTTGATCCTTCTTCTTGTTCTAGGTTTTCTAGCACAGAATGTATTTCTCTCTTGAGATACATTACCTCTGTCACAATCTGCCTTGTGAAGAATCTGTATTGATCCACGTCCATGGATAATGTGATGGAATGATGTTCTGAATGTTTCAAAGTGAATTCCAAACTCTGAATTCGGGTTTCAAAAAAAGTGCATTTGTTGGCCAAAGATACATATTCATGACAAAATTCAGGGGAAATTCTGGGATACCGACGCCATTCTCGTTTGCGTAACAAAAAACGTAGGACTAAGTTGACCCATTGTATTCTCCTGAACTGAGAACGCTTTTCTTCTAGAGCTGCGAGAAAGCCTTGATGATTGACAAGAGCTGATTGAGATGAAGTGTATGCATTTCGATAAATCTGACATTCCTTGAACAAAGCATCAAGCTCTGACGAAACATCATGAGTTACACTGTGGTACACGTCATCCGTCGTGAGTAATTCTTCGGTCAACCTTTGAATCAACTCCATTACATTCATTCGCTCATTCTGATTCATCAAAAAGACTTCTTGAAATCGGCTATTTTCCTTTGCAAGCTCCTCAGCAAGAGTACGAGAAGACAAAGCCTTAGACCTCTCGTCTTCAACCGCTTGCTTGAGATACTCCGCATACTCCTCCAGGTCCACCTGAGTAGCAGCACAATGAGATATTTGACTGAGACAGTTCTCCACGTGTACAGCTGCTATCGCGCACTGCGATGTATGCCTCTCCATCAGCCTCTCGTACTCCACCAGCTGTTGCCGACCAGCCTCAAGATCGGCAATGCATGACTCCGTCGCGTCCACAGTCCGTCCTAGCCTCCCGAGCTCCTCCTCCACCCTCCGCATCTCCTCTCCTGCCGCGTCGAGATCCCCTCGCACCTCCTCGCTCGCCCTCGCTACCGCAGCCAGCTCGGCTAGCAGCTGCTGAGCCCCTGACGCCGCCGCCGCCGCCATGTCGGTCACCTGCTGGTCGGCTTGGCTTGCTTGCGACGAGACCCTGCGGACCTCAAGCTCGAGCTCGCGTACCCGGTCTCGCTCAGCCTCTAGCTCAGCCCGCTGGCAAGCCTGGCTCTGCTCAGCCGAGGCAAGTAACGCCTCTACCTCCTGCCGCCGGGCCTTCTCCCTCTCGACCGTGAGCAAGATCCCCTCCGTACCCTGCGCCAGGGATGACTCCGTCGCGTCCACAGTCCGTCCTAGCCTCCCGAGCTCCTCCTCCACCCTCCGCATCTCCTCTCCTGCCGCGTCGAGATCCCCTCGCACCTCCTCGCTCGCCCTCGCTACCGCAGCCAGCTCGGCTAGCAGCTGCTGAGCCCCTGACGCCGCCGCCGCCGCCATGTGGGTCACCTGCTGGTCGGCTTGGCATGCTTGCGACGAGACCCTGCGGACCTCAAGCTCGAGCTCGCGTACCCGGTCTCGCTCAGCCTCTAGCTCAGCCCGCTGGCAAGCCTGGCTCTGCTCAGCCGAGGCAAGTAACGCCTCTACCTCCTGCCGCCGGGCCTTCTCACTTGTAAAGGAATTTTTTTCATGTTGGATTTGAATCTGCGCTGCGTTCAAGCAGAGAAGGATCCTATTTGTGTCAGCAATTCCAATAATAAATGAAGCATTGAGGTTTACAAGCAATTTGTCCAGGTCTGAAACAATCTGATTTATCGTCCCTTCTACAGATTCGATCTGAATATCCCAGTTGCCTAACAATGATAGAAACTCCACCTCCCGAACAGAAAACAAATGAACTTGATCCTGGTTGTCAAACAGTTCTTTCAAGCAACATTCAAGATCCATTGACTGGGAGGAAAAATTCTCAACATAATGACAAAGAACAAACTCAACATCACGCCGCCGGGCCTTCTCCCTCTCGACCGTGAGCAAGATCCCCTCCGTACCCTGCGCCAGGGATGACTCCGTCGCGTCCACAGTCCGTCCTAGCCTCCCGAGCTCCTCCTCCACCCTCCGCATCTCCTCTCCTGCCGCGTCGAGACCCCCTCGCACCTCCTCGCTCGCCCTCGCTACCGCAGCCAGCTCGGCTAGCAGCTGCTGAGCCCCTGACGCTGCCGCCGCCGCCATGTGGGTCACCTGCTGGTCGGCTTGGCTTGCTTGCGACGAGACCCTGCGGACCTCAAGCTCGAGCTCGCGTACCCGGTCTCGCTCAGCCTCTAGCTCAGCCCGCTGGCAAGCCTGGCTCTGCTCAGCCGAGGCAAGTAACGCCTCTACCTCCTGCCGCCGGGCCTTCTCCCTCTCGACCGTGAGCAAGATCCCCTCCGTACCCTGCGCCAGGGATGACTCCGTCGCGTCCACAGTCCGTCCTAGCCTCCCGAGCTCCTCCTCCACCCTCCGCATCTCCTCTCCTGCCGCGTCGAGATCCCCTCGCACCTCCTCGCTCGCCCTCGCTACCGCAGCCAGCTCGGCTAGCAGCTGCTGAGCCCCTGCCGCCGCCGCCGCCGCCATGTGGGTCACCTGCTGGTCGGCTTGGCTTGCTTGCGACGAGACCCTGCGGACCTCAAGCTCGAGCTCGCGTACCCGGTCTCGCTCAGCCTCTAGCTCAGCCCGCTGGCAAGCCTGGCTCTGCTCAGCCGATGCAAGTAACGCCTCTACCTCCTGCCGCCGGGCCTTCTCCCTCTCGACCGTGAGCAAGATCCCCTCCGTACCCTGCGCCAGGGATGACTCCGTCGCGTCCACAGTCCGTCCTAGCCTCCCGAGCTCCTCCTCCACCCTCCGCATCTCCTCTCCTGCCGCGTCGAGATCCCCTCGCACCTCCTCGCTCGCCCTCGCTACCGCAGCCAGCTCGGCTAGCAGCTGCTGAGCCCCAGCCGCCGCCGCCGCCATGTGGGTCACCTGCTGGTCGGCTTGGCTTGCTTGCGACGAGACCCTGCGGACCTCAAGCTCGAGCTCGCGTACCCGGTCTCGCTCAGCCTCTAGCTCAGCCCGCTGGCAAGCCTGGCTTTGTTCAATGTAACAGATTGTTTCTGCCAGTGTCCTTTGGCTTGGAGCAATGTTCAACAACTTTGAAATGTTTCCTTCAAGATTTCTCAATCCATCAATCAGAAGGCGATTTGTGGTTTCTGCGACCATTTGTATTGCAATCAATGCATTGGTCGCTTGTTCCTCGTGTTCGGTTCTTTTTTGTAACTCAAATTCGTTCTTCCTCATACACATTTGGAGTTCTTCAATTTGAATGCTTTGATTTTGGCAGTCAAAGATGCTTTTTTCATAATATACGGCCATTTGTTTTGTTTCAGAGTGTATGATCTGTAGGTCATGAATCATCAATGCAATATCTGAGCGGCTCATGGCTAACAGATAATTTGCTTCAGCATCGACTTTCAACATGTTTTGGTTTGAATTTCTGTTCAGATTCAATTTCATGGCATGTTTTCTGATGGCTTTTATCCGCAAATCATACATATTATTTCTGGGTCTCGCTGGATTTGTGTTGCTCAGCTGTGCGTTTGCATTGAGGGTTATTGGATCTTCGGGTAGAGTTTCGATTGATTCAGTCTGAATGGCACTGTGCCATGCAAAATAAACTCTTTTCGTTGAGTTCCAAAGAGCTCGTCGACGATAAGATTCTGAACGTAAGATTGTCAACCAAATGCTGTAATATCGCTTCTTGTGAATAGTGTCTCTGTCTTTTATACGCCCCTCCAGTAACTTAACGATTTGTCTTGAGTACCGCATATGGCAAAGCAATCGAACAAAAAATATTTTGATAATTCCTTGATATACAAGTCGAGTTACAACTTGATTTGTCTTTCGAATCGATGTGGCGGCCTTGTGCCAAGCTCGTAGGCGAGAGCTGACTAAGATTTTATCTTTTGTTGACAAAACTCTGTCCTGTCTCGAAGAGAAATTACGAGAACTATGCCTTTGTTGAAAAAACTCATTTTGTATCGATGAAGAAACGTTGCTTTCAAAAATTGTCCTCATGTTTTCATAAAGTAATCGTTTGGTATGAATCGCCTTCTCCAAAATTTCGCGAGTCTGTTTGAGACATTTTTGATCATTAGACTTCTGTTCTTTGTGCAGAGCAGCTTCAAGAATAGATTTCCCATCTGTGACTAGCGACTTGAAATCTCTGCTCCTCCATAAATCACTCTGCGAGAATCTTTTCGGACTTTCTGTGCCCTTCGGACTTTCCATCTTGTTTCGCGACCCCGAAGCGCTCTGCAGCATGTTTAAACCAGCACGGCTGTCTGATTGACGACCAGCCTGAGACCACCGACAAAGCTTATCTCATCGGCAAGGCATCAACTGCTTCATCTTTCCAGTGAACATCTCTGCGCTGAAAGAGCACTCAAGCCGACCCCATCACGATATCCCATAGAGCGTCCTCCCGATCTAGTAGTATTTATTGAAGAGGGCCCAGCGGCTAGGTGGGGTCTTGAGGTATTGGGGGGTGAAAGGAAACTGGGGTAGTACTGAGAGTAAAACCAAGGAAAAATGAGGGGTGGTGAAATGGAAGGGGATGGAACAGGGGGTGGGTTGCGGAGTAGATGAACATACCTGGGGGGTGAGGGGGCACTCCCTACCGTTACGACTCTAGTCTCTGAGGCGGGTTCGTTGATGACTCCGGGGCCCGGCCCGGTCCGGGCCCGCCGCGCGCGAACTGTGGAAGTCCACCCGGTGACCGGCAGTGCAGGATGACTCACCGTCCGGCGTTGCGCTTCCCGGTCCTGTGGACGGTGTCAGACGGTGGCCGGCCCGGATCGCTCGGCGAACCGTCACTGTGAAGGAAACGGCAATGGTTGGGCTCGCTGTCTTTTCTCTTCTCGCCGTTTAGCCTGTGCGACAGTGTCAGGGTCAAGCCTCCTCGACTCTCCTGAGTCTCAGGTGATCCAAACTCCGTTTGGTCATCATGCCGCCGGGCCATTCCGGCTCAGCGGCCACCCGGCGTCCTTGACCGCTGATACTGAGAGGTTAGGCCTCTGGCAGGCTGTCTATCTCGGCCGGTCCTTGCCCGCAGGCCCTACTACTGAAGACGCAAGCGGCGCAGGAACTGAGAGGTGGATAATTGAAAACTCCAACTTGGTACTGCTTCAAATAAATGACTGATTATTTTGTACGTGGTAGGAGAGCATGATAGTTGAAGAATGCGAGGATTATGGTGGAAAACAACCCCCCGGCGAGATATGACTGTTCGACATCAAGCGATCCCGACCGCTGGGCATTTTATGGAGGATTGGCGCCAATAAGTAGATGGCGCTACATGGCAACAGAGGGACGGAGCAAGTTGAAATCATCAAGGCAGAGGTTGATCCTTACATGCTCTCTGTGAAAACAGCGAAATCACAAAAGGTCTGATACTCTAATATGAGTCGCGTGCTGCAAGACATGACCCCAAGAAAATGACATGCACCACTCTGTGAGAATAAGCTTGAGACATTTCATGCACGTCCGACTCAGATATTGGATATCGCTCTGGTTTTTCCTGTCAATTTGTGCAACTTCGTCATCCGAGATCACATCAACAGTGACATGGAGTGCTCAAAATTTGAATACGTGCGCTGAATACCAGGTAAACCGCCTGGTCAATGCATCACCATGTTGATCGTTGAATTTGACAGGCGTCATCAACTGCATGCAAATGTTATTCGTTTGATGCATACTCAAATGCGTGTATAAGCTCTCCTCCAAGTCCTGCTCTAGTATCAAGTAGCACTGCTCAAACGCCAGTCGCCTGTACATCCAAGCCTTTCCAGTATCGCATTAACGACAAGCATGTATAACTCTTACTGTTACCGCAGGCAATTCGCATGCACAAGTGGCACCCTAAATGATCCAAACTGCAATTGTCAGAGCACATGCCAACAGATCGATACAGGGTAACAAATAAACTTATGCCTACCCATTTCCCAGTTTTGAGAATGTTAACAGATGGGGTGCTTCAGCTCAAAACAACGATGCACGCTGCATGTTTTCAATGTTGGCTTTAGAAGATACTTGGGTCTCACTCAACTTCAACTTTGAACTGAAAGATGGGTAAATTTAACATTTTCATTTTGTTTGAGATTCTTACTCATGCATACCTTTTAGATCTGGCAACCCGATAGCAACATCTACCTCAGCTCAAAATGCATTGTTGAAATGCCCAGACGGTTTGCAGCAGACGTTCAAAGTAACAATAAGGTCGTATTACGGAATGTTTGAACTTTACGGATTACGAGCTCTCTGCAAATTTTCGACTCAGACTTGCACATATCAAGCTTCAGAGATTCAGAAATTGGTGTCATCTCTGCAAAGTGGTTCCATCCCTCAGATTTTGAACTTTAGCAAATATTCTAACTATGAAGACATTGAGGTGCTTGGAACATATGAGGAAGTTTACAATTCAATCTCGAACATATTATATCGGTCAAATCTCAATCAAAATTCGTTGAGGCTGAAAAACAAATATTACAATCCCTTAGCGTCTCAGCAACGACCATATGAAGAACTTGAATATAAAATTTTGTCAACCAACTGTTCGAGCAATAACCTTGTATTGATTAACATATCGGTACTTGTAGGAATCGTGGACATTGATGATGCTCCAGCCATTGTGAATCCCAGTTCGACCTATACCACACCAAAAACATGTACATCAAATGATCTAACATACGAATGTAATTTTGGACAATTTTACGCATTTGAAGATTCATCTCAGATAACAAGAGTCGGTGGCTTTACGATCGCAGATGTTGATTTGTTTGAAAGCTGCACTTCTGTCGACCAATTTTGTAATGCTTTGGATGTAAATGTGGAGACATACATTGGATTTATTTCGCTAAACTCTGTTTCGGGTCTGACGATATACCAGGATACTTCAACAAAGCAAGGATTTATAGGATCCATAACAGCTAGTCAGTTGGCGATAAATCCGATCCAATATCAAACAAGGTTGCAAGGACTTGGCCCAGGGGTCCAGATGACATATTACAATACACAGAACGGTCAGAATTCACAATTTGTAACTCTAAAAGTTTCTGACCAAGGATCCACTGGGTTTACGGGAAATCCACAGACAACCTCCTCTTCGGTCAATGTAACGATAGTAGCGGTAAACAATGCACCAACGATCACGATAAATTTGTACAAAAACCTTTTCAATGCCGTCGAAAACGTTCCAATACTGTTTACAGGAATCTTAATTCAAGATGTTGACGTCAGTGAAAAGTTAAATTCATCGTTGGCACACAAAACGTGGATGAAATCTCGCCAGGCTCAAACTACACTGAATCAACTCAAGCTGACTCTTCAATTCATTCATGGGACTGCGAAATTCCTTTATTCCAGAAATCTAAGAATTATTCAAGCTCAAGGGATGGAGCTTCTCACTATCAAGCCCAATTTCTATGGTGACGATGTTTGTAGAACCTTGCCGATCTTATACAGCTTGCATGATTTGACATCAAGTGGAGTGAAAACAATGGTGACATACGATAAAGTCTGTGCTTATTCGAATGCAGGGACTTCGCAGTGCTTGACAGGGCAAGAATTGACTTGCTCCTGTCTCATAGACAATTTCTGCAATTCAGAATCTTACATAACATTGTACTTGAATACGTCAAAGCAGCTGATGTTCACAGATTCATCTGGATCGTTTCACAAATGGGGTGATGTACTTGCAGACATATTAGAGAACTCGAACAAGACGTGTGGGGGTCTTCCTTTCTTTGCTCATCCAAACGATTTCAGTTATGGTATACCTTGCAAAGCGGATTCCGATTGCTATGCGGTTGAGGCATGCGTTCCTGGGCAAACTTGTCGATGCTGTGCCGATCTAGCAACAGTGTGCACTTCGAACGCTGATTGTAATACTTTGAGCCCTGGATCTTTGTGCGGTTGCATGCGAGACAATCAAGGAACAGGTCTCTGTGGACAGTATTGCTTAGATGCTGGTCTGACAATGGGCTGTACCAGTAACATTGTACAAATTGGATCCGTGTTGCCACGATATTATGGGTCAAAGTGTAGCTATCGCGCACCGTTCCCGAACTCACTTCTGTATGGTTCCAACACACCAGAACTACGAAGCTGTCTGTCACCCTCATTTGTGGTCAATGGTTCTGTGCATGCCAACGCTCTGAATCTTGTCTCAGCTGAGGTTGCAACAGAAGGAAGCACCAAGGTATCGATCACAGCTGATCTTGTTGATATGCAAAGGGTTTTATCAAACATTCAATATACAACAATTCAACACTTCAATCGTTTATGGCGACCTCCTGCTTCAAGTCAAGGACTGGACTTTGACCCTGCAGCAAACATATTTGACAGGATGACTGTGGAGGTTGAAGATTTGGGCAATTCTGGAGGGACTGAATTAGTCAACAATCGTGTAAGTTCCACGGTGGATATTCTTGTTGCTGCAGTGAACAACAAACCCAGCGCAAACGGCCCCGCAAAAATTTTTGCAACAGAAGATAATCCATATCATTTCAATGGAACCTTGAACATTTCAGATCCCGATTATCTGGATTATGGATTTTCAAGCAGAATACTGTACGTCAATTTATCTTGCAGTCACTGCCGTCTGTATTTGAACGAGACGTTTTTACGTTCTGCTCTTGTACAGAAAAAAATTCAAATGAAGTTTTGGAATGGAGTTGAACAGAGAGGGTACTATTGGATGTTTTCAAATGGTGGACCTCCGAAATTTGGGGATGGTTGTCAATTCATTCCCCAGTGCTCAGACAATTCAACTTTTCGAAGTCCTGATAGTCCATGGGGATTTTTTAAGTCAGCCAAGTATGGCGTTGTCTATTCTCCTCTTACTTCAGGAGGTCCCTCAGTTGGGTGCGGAGTTTGCCCAGCAGATACAGGGAATAGATTCATATCGATTGAAGGAACATTTGAAAACATAAATCGTGCCCTGTCGCTTGTGACATATCTTCCAGATCCAAACTTCAACACCGAAACCGGTATTCAAGAGAGGTTGATATTACAAGTGGACGATAATGGCGCTATTGGAGACAATGTGAATGCTCCAGCTTTGACGGATGAATTGCAGATTGTAGTTGACATCAAAGCTGTTAACGATCGGCCAATCATTGGAAGGAAGGTATCTTCTCCAAGACAAATTTTTCCATACGATGGTGGAAGAACTCTTCCAACCTCTGTGTTTCAGGACAAGATACTACCGATCAACCAATCTATGTATAGTTTGTGCATGAATCTGCCTCCAGCAAGTCAACAATATTATAGCCTTTGTGGGCCAACACAAAGAGAATACATTGATGTCGACGAGGACACTCCGTTCATAATCCTTTCAGATGTGCTTTACATCGATGATGTAGATTCTGGAGATGCACTGTTGGTTTCATCACCGAGACAATTCTGTTGTGCAGCTGATGGGCCAAATGGCTGTGTATGTGGTGAACCTTGTACCTGTAACCAACCTCCGGTTTGTCTCAAAGGGTCGATCGCAGGGACTTTGCTGATTCAATTGAAGGTGATCAATGGCATGCTTACCTTCCTTCCTCCACCTGGACGGCAATTCATTCCTGGGATAGAGATCTTAACTAATTCTACCGCAACATCGATGCCAAAAGGCGGTTCGATGGTGCCATGCTCCAACATCGTGGCATGCACAGTAAATGTTTCAGAGATCAATTTTCGCACGACGGTCGCAAATTTTCAGCAAGCGATGGACTGGAATTTTTTGTCTTACCAAGGAAAGCCAAATTTCTTCGGCCGTGATTTTCTCAGTATTTGGGTGTCTGATGAGGGTTTTACAGATAATTGCTACACTCCCCCGCTTGCACAAGAGCTAGTGTTGGACATTCGTGTCGTTGGAATCAATGACCCACCAGTTATATCTGCGACAAACCAAGTCTTGGTCTATGACAAGGGCCGTAGATGCTATTCTGACTTCATGCTCTTTCCTGTCAATCCGGATGGAATGTCCACTAATTGCGTCAATGCCAGTTCAAGCTTGGTTCCTCCCCGAATCTTTGGGAGCAGTGTGTACATCACTGATGTGGATATGAACTACTTGTCATACGCTAATATGACGCTAACGCTGAAGATCGGAGACAATCCTGCACTGCACCAGAACGCTGGCCAATTTTTCTTCCCTGAAGTTACAATCACGGCAAACAATTGGTATGAAATGTACAGGGACTCGACAGGCATTCTGACCATGGTCATACAAGGCAAGATGGAGAGCATAAATCAACTCCTTGCGGAAATGAGATATGATGCCAGTCCTTCTTTTCAAGGATATGTTCCATTCCAAATCATCGCAGACGATATGAAAAACTATGGAGAATGTAGTGGTAACCATATTTGCGGTGCAGATTTTCCATGTATCAATCACAACTTGGCTGGGAGCCACGTTCCAGTCTTGGTTGGTTTGACAACGACAGTACTTGATGCAACTGTGGTGACACCGGGGAGTTGTGTATCTACCACCTGTCGTGCTTGTAATCAAGAGCCCGGTTGTGGTTGGTGTCCAAGCATCTGTTCGTTCCAGGGAGGAAAGTGCATTGCCCGATCGAATTCCGGTCCTAAGTTCGAATCTTGCCCTGTAGATCCTGTCACAGGACGCAAATTTATGGAGTGTCAGGTCCCTGGATCCAATTGGTTGGTACCCACTGTTGCTGTCCTAGTTTCTGTCTTCTTGCTGGCATTTGGGTCTTTCTGTTTTATGCAGTGGATTCGAAAGAGACATGGATCCTTCATGCAGTACATTCGTCGGAAGCAAGCTGATCTACAAAGAGCTGGTAGGAAAGCACACATCTTACCGCCTGAAACTGCAAATTACAACAAATTCTTTTTCCTCATTTTGATCATTGTCATTACAATTACAGCATTCATGTTGATCTATGAACCGCAATTACGATGCCAGTTTGACCAGAGCTTCACACTCGACAGAGCTTCATCCTTGTACCTTTCTATGGATAACTGCATGGTAATTTTTCTTGTTCCTGCGACGATTAACGGTTGGACTGACTTGAAAATTTGCAGGTTCGATTCATCCCTTCATACAATCAACCTTACCCTGACAATCAGTTGACGTCGTTGAAGGTCCAAATAGCTCTGACCAAGGATCCGCTGATAAAACTTGCGACCGACAATTGCAACTACAATTCAACGATTTCGATTTCAAACGAAAGGGAGATTTCCAAGAGATACTCGAACTACATCTGCAATATGCAGATCATTGTGCCGAATAGGTTTGTCCTACCACAGACTACGATTTATGCCAATGGACAGAACGTAACAAAGGTGAGAGCAGGTCCCATGGACCAGGACACCCAAAATTTCGGCCTTGATTTTGGACCTAACACGTTCAGTCTGGTTGGCAATTACTTAGAAGCGAGGGTGCAGAACTTAAGTTGTAAGTCGCTCGTCTACTCAGTTACTCATGGGTCTCTCCTTGGTGTTGATGTTCGAGCGACACAAGGATCTTTCTCAAGCGATGATGCGGATTTAATCCTTACATCACAAGTGATGACTTCGGTGCAATTCTGGCAAAAGTCTTCGAATGCGGTATGTTTGTCGGCAGCTAATGGATCACTCTACGTTGACAACTCCTGTAAACGAGTTTGCAAATACAGGAATCTTGCAGAGAACATTCAGCCGGTCATCCCGAACAGACGGAGGTTACTTGGCTCTTTCTCAAGTTTGCCATGGATATGTTCACCTCTGGCGAATGGAACGCTAAATTGCACGCATTACGATCCTGTTGCAGCAGCAATCGCTGACGAATGTCCTGTCGGAGCGATGTACAAATTCAAGTCCCAGGTTCCACAAATTCCAGGCTGCTATGACTTGCAAACATGTACGCTGAATCAATCCGCACAATGCCTGTGCAAGCCTGAATGCGATATGAAAAATCTCAACCCACCTGGTCTTTGCGACACATCTGGACGGTGCTGTCAAACTGTGTGTGGTGGTTACTCAGGTGCTGACATGTTTCCGAATGAAAACATGCCGCGGTGTGGCATCCTTGTGGACAAGGTCAAGTACCCCTACTGCAACGGTACTCTGACTCAACAATGGAAATTCACCTCCAACTCTGGTCAAATAGCAGTGACAGTCTCGGCGAACTCTACGGGGAGCAACAACACGGTCTCTTCATATCAGGGCTCGCAGCCTTCCCCAACGCTGCCGGTGACGATTGACATCCCAACCTCGGACAAGAAGACTCTCAACCAGCTCTTCCACCCTGGTGGGTCTGTCGTTCCCAACTACGACCGGTTTCAATTTCAAATGTCTGGTCCAGGTGCGCCAGAACCCTCTGTTGGAATATTCGTGTGGTTGTCAAACGTAAGGTATCTGGCAATTCCAAGTTGGATATACAGCCTGCTGTCCCTGAACCTCCTCACTCCTACAACCGGCTCCGTGCTCCTTCATCTCTCCCCAGCATTTTGTCCAGCATTCGTCTCTAGCACCAGCGAAGCGTTTTATTCTAGATTGGTCCAGATCGAGAAGCTTTTGGTTTCAACGTTACAAACATATCCAGCTTCATCATCATCAAAACCGCTTCCTGTGAGCAGCCTGATCATGTTCCACCGAGTAGGCGCCCACCCCATTCTATTTGCGACTGATCCAAACACAAACGTTGCAAGTGCAAAAGAAGTCAAGCCACTTGACTACAACCTCATCATTTCGATTGTCCTTATCGCTGTCATTTTCCCTGCGGTGGTGTCTTTTATTGCAGCACTGCTAGCTTTTCGATTTGGATCCAAGTATCTCAAAGATTTTCGGTCGCTCAAGGTCAAGGAAGAGTACATGATCTCAAATGTGAAACAATTGTTCATCGGCATCGAAGAGTATTTTGACGAAGGGTTGATTGAATACAAGATGAAATACGAAGAGATGGTGGGAAGGAGCAATTGGTTCTACATGTTTGAGACCTTCGTGTGGGGAGCAGATGCGCAGAGATCTTTGCTGGCAGAGTTATGGATTGTGTTTGTTGAAATCTTGGCCTTCATGCTGCCAGCCATCCTTATCTACGTTGTCGCTGAAATGACCTCCGCGGAATATCTCGCGTTCAGGTGCGACCTGAGGGCAGACTACTGTAATTGCATGGGAGAGAAAGACTCCATCCTGTACGCGTTCATCGCTGTAGAGTACATCGCCATCTCCTACGTTTGCATCGGATTTCTTGAGCTGGTCTTGTATTACCTCAGTCTCCCATTCGATTCATTCCGAAAGTTAATCAGATATGTATTTTACTCTCTACTGTTTTTCATGGGCTGGTTTGTTCTCTCAGTGTTTTCTATGGTGGTTCTCTTCATATTTCTAGGAGTTTTGTTCAAACCTGCCTTTGTTATCCCGTATGGCATCGCCATTGTTGGCACATTCTCAGCCTCGGCTTCCTTGCATGCCAAGCTCATGAAACTTCGGATCAGAGTGCAAACAGGGATTATCAAGAAGGTCGAGCTGGAACGAAAGAAGCTCAACAACATTCCTCCTGCTCTTTCGGAGCTTCTCATCAGAAAGAACTTTGAACAGGCGCTTCATGACAATGGTCTCTCGATATCAAGGATAACTCTCACAGTATTTGGATTTGTGTGCTTGATTGCAAGCATTTACGCTTTCGTGTTCATCGGCTTTAATGCCTTCACATCTCCAGGAGATGTCATCGCAAGCTACGTCAACAGCGCGATCTCGATCGGAATCTCATTAGTCACTCAGCAAGTCCTTGCAAGCGAGGGTGAGGAGGAAGACGTCCGGAACAAGGTAGATGACGTGCAGGACAAGATCATGAAATCGCTCAAGGGTGTGCTAAGGATGGTGTCGAAACAGATCCACCTCGCCATGAAGCTGTACACGAGATTGAAGGTCTCAGGGAATCTGGAAGTAGCCAAGGCCGAGTGATCAGCGTTTTATTGAAACCTCTCAGACGAGACGATAGGTTGCTACCTGGTGTCTGGACAGGATCTTCACCAGGAGTGAACAGTGCCGTCACCTGTGAACTGGTCAAGGGAGGAGACGGAAGGTTGTATTGTTGTCAAAGAAGCGAAGAAGGTCCAAGAGGATGGGACGGGACAGGAAGGAGAAAGGATCAAAGACAAGATCCAAGATGGTTAGGGGAATGCTCAGCAGGCTAACTTACAGTCGACGGTGTCAAGCCCGTAGCTGTCAGAAGACACCCCGAAGCTGGACATACGTCACATGACATGGGACGAGGCAAGGCATAAAGATTCGCTCACCCGCCGTTGGTTGACTGGCAGATCATGGTGCCTCCAAAGTCGCTCTTGCCGTTTCCGCCGGTCATGGTGGTGTTGGTGGTGTTGCAACCATGGTTGCCATTGGTGGTTCCTGGAAAGAAGAGATCAATGGTCTCAGATTTTTCATCTGTTCAGCGTTGAGGCTCTGTTGCAACAGGGAATATTGAAAGTTCACATAGCGCATCTTAATAAGACTAGGGTTGTGAAATAGCAAGAAGCTTTCTTTAAGATGTTGCAAACAAAGACTATTCAACTGACACTTGCTGGCGTCAGTTTCTTCCATGTCTGATGTTTTTTTGCAACACCCTTTCGTCATCTCTCTTCACTTTCCTTCTCGGATGTCTCAGGATTCTCGTCCTGTATCTCATCATCTTCTCCTTATCATCGTCATGATTGCCTCTCCTCTTCTTCTTCACCTTATCATCCTCATCATAGTCTCTCCTCGCTCATCATCATCATCATCATCATCATCATCTCCCTCTTACCGCAATTCGCGAAGGTGGCGAGCTCGACAAACTGCTGCACGTCGCTGAACATGTTGCTGCTCTCTGCGGTCTTCCTGTTCCTCTGCTCAACCCCCCTACCCCAACCTCCTCTGTTTCTCAATTGCTGCTCTAATGCCAAACGCCCCCCGTTCCCTCTCTTGCCCTCCAACCAGAAATAGCCTCCGTACTTGAGTACCAAACCTGACTGCCAAACTTGAAGCACCGCAGTCTTGTCAAAAGTACCCTCCTGATTGTCATCGTACTGATTTTTAACTTAACTTTGAGTAAAGAGTCAAGTTGTATTCGCCCATGCCGCGCTCTGTAGTCTGACGAGTCTCTTAAAAACTCACACTCATCAGTCAGTCAGATCATCGGATCGAGCCGCACTGATCCTACTATCATCCGGCGGCGACAAGCTGGCGGCACTGGACCAGCCGGCGACCCGCGTGTCAGTGACCGGGCCTGAGCAAAAAGAAGTGAAGCGGTGGGAAACATGAGCCTAAAAGAGATTCGAACTTAATAATTTACAATCACAAGTAAGGTGACAAGTACTAGCAACAAACGGCGGCCGGGGCCATTCTACAGATTACGAAACTGCCGGTGGCTAGTCCGACTTTACCATGATCAGTGTCCTTGCCCGACCCAACCATAGGTTCGCCTCTTTTGATAGGGCGAAACAATACTTGTCCTGCCAAGTGACTGCATCAATGCACTGATGCTTCATTGTGTTCCTCCCTTTGAAAACCTCCAGGTCAAACCATTTCCATGATGAAATACGATTGCGATCCGAGCAACTCTCGATTCCCGACATATCAAAGTTGTACTGCACCAGAGGCACAACGAGGAAGCTTACAAAAAGAATCAGCAAAGAAAGGAGCAACAGCTTCCAAACAGCAGTAAACCATCTCCAAGGGACCCTTGTAGGCACCTCAGGCATTTGGGCCTGTAACAAGATCGGCTTTCTCGCTGGGACCTCACGTTGTTTCATACCATCCACATTGCCCGCAAGTTCCACCTGAGATGCGCTCATGATCTTGAACCGCGAGGAGGAAGGAGAGGGTAAGTCGTAGACTTGGTGCGAATTCCCAAGGTCCATGAGCGGCGACGGGAGCGAGCTGAGGTGGTACACTGGAGTTAGACTCGTCGGTGTGGACATGGCGGACGCGATCGAGTCTTGATCCGCTTCTCTTGTCAGCACCGCCAACTCATGGAGAAACCTTAGTTCGCTCGAAGAGCGAGGCGTGGGAGACATCGTCTCATGAAGAGTGCACTTGTACGAGCCATAATCGTAGGGTTCCGGAGCGCAGATGGCACCGTCTTGTGTTGTTGATGTTTCCGTTGATGCTGACGTCTTGAGGATTGCATTCTCTTTCCTCGGTGTCATATTCTCGGATTGTTTCGTCATGTGTTCTCTGATCTTGTCGCCAGCATTGAGAAAAATCATTCGCGTCGTAATGTCGGCGTACACGTCGCATTCTTGTGCCTCCGAACAAGGCATGCTTGCGTCGTTCGATGGAGATCAGCGAGAACAGTCGAGGTGTAAAGGGAATGCTGAAAAATCAGGTGAAAAATGAAGAAGAGATTGAAAGAGGTTGAAGTAGCAGAGATAGCCGAGGTGTTGAAGAAGTGGATGATAACAGAAAACCAGAGAGGATAACGTTGATATGATGAATACAGAGCAGCTTGCAGGTGGAGAGAGACTGGAATAGCCCACGAAAGGCAGACTAGAGACTGAAAGAGGTTGAAGTGGAAGGAATAGCTATACGAGACAGGAAGAGATGACTTTCTGTGCAGCGAGGAGAGGAGGGAAAGGAGGAGAGAGAAGAGGGTAGGGCAGAGCAGAGGCGATAAGAGGAGAGGAGGACGGGGGATGGGAGGGGGAGATGTAGAGACAGGGGAGAGCGAGCCAGCAATGAGACTTGATTTTCCAAGTGGCGATCAAAAAAAGCATTCTTTGGGTAGGGGTACTCAATGTAGGGGTACACTAAGTCGAAATGTTGATAGCTAAGGTCAGGGTATACATATTTTCGTTATTGTAGGGTAGGGTAGTATATATATCTACAATGACCCGGTTTATTTTATGGTAATTGTGGGGTGTAACTTTACCTTTCGGTAACAAGTACCCGTTATTGGAATTTTCGGGGGTACCTTGCAGATCAAAGAACAATCACAACGGGGTACTTCAAAATGTGGGGGTAGGGGTACTTTTCCAGTGTAACGAAAGTGGATGACAATAGTTTGGGGTGGGGGTTTCAAACACTACGGGTCAGCGATGAGCTAGTACCCCCTATTTCACTATAAAATCATGGGTCATATTCCACACGGGTACTTAATGAGAGGGGTAGGGTCATCAAAATCTTTATCGGAGTGTCCACCCCTCTTCCTATGGTAAAAATGGGGTGGGGTGGGTAGGGCTCGGGCTTGTGATGAGGACCGGAATGCAGGGAAGCCAAGGATGGCGATGCTCGGGAATGGTAGAGGCGCTCGGCAGTATTGCGAGCAGACAGACAACAACATTGAAGTGAGAATTTCTTGTTTTGTGAATGGAAACACAAAGAATGCTGTGACAACCAAGATTCCGAATGCGATGAACTATAATTTTATTTCTAAGAATTTGAAATCTCTTTTGCATGCCGCAGTGTAAATGATCGTATCTCCACCTTCATCAATGATGCATACAACATAGCACTATACAAAACAGGTGACATGTAGCAAAACTTCACCTCGTTTCAACGCCAAAACTCATGGAGACTTTCCAAGATGCTCATTGCAACTCGTCAATTTCACTATCAGCGCCTTCCACCAGACACATTGAGATCTGGCAGTCCTTTCCAATCTCCATTCATGCCATAACGATTCCCTCCGTGACAGATTTAATTGCGTCGGCTAGATGCCTTGAGGGCTGCCTCGTACCATTCCAGTGCTTTTTCCTCATCATCGGCGACAAACTTGTAAGTGGCACGTGGAACCGATCCACCCATGAGCTCAGCAGTCTGTAAGCAAGATAGAAGAAGTAAAATGTTATTCGGATGACATTCAGTTGAAGATGCAAGCCTTACCTGGATTTCAAGCTCCTTTCCCTTGAGATTTACCAGGCATCCATCGAAGCCTACAGGATGCAACTCAGTGCTGTACAAAACATCTAACGGAATCTTACAGAAGAACTTGCGAGGTTCCGTGTCATCTTGGTTGTCCATGAAGTAAAACTGCGTCACTAGTAAGTTGAGGCAAGAAGGAAATTTAGCAACTCGCACGCACGTTGTTTTCGTGAATCATGCACCAGATTTTTTGCTTCTTTGGCAACGTTTTGAGGTATCCCTTCATAAAGCACTTTTGAAAGAAGTCGGGAGGAACTTCTTGTTTACGGTTTACAACGGGCTGGACGAAAAACAAAAAGAAGAGAGAGAGAAAATCAGCTTCAACCATCTCGAATCATATTCGGAGTAATCACCACAGGATTTTGCTTGTAGGAGCCAGGAACATTGGCCTGAACTATGACGTCAATGCTGACATTAAACTAGCATGAAAAAAAATCTTGCCTGCCATTCGTGTTGGCCAGGAGCGCGGGATGAGCAGCAACCCATAATTCAGAATCCTGTTGAGACCGATCATGTTGTGTATACACGCAGATGGAAATTTCGGAAGTACATGGAAAGCATGGATTCAGGCATCATGTAATAATGAAACAATGTTACGAGAAAATGACCCACAAACCAAACAAGGGACCGAGTGATATGTGTTGATAACGTTCAGTGTGTCATATGCGATCCACGAGGAAAGAGTAAGAAAGCACTACTCTATCACCTTCTTCATGCAACAAAATGGGATGCGGAGGATGCTACACAACAACAAAAAAACAACTTGCTTTGTCCATGACGACATGTGTAATCTCTCATCGCCAACCACACGGAGCAGCTACGCGGCGACAGTGCATACCGAGAGGAGGGAGATGACGATGCACGGCGTGGGGGTACAACGGTACCTGCAGTCATTTCATGGGGTGGGTGGGTTACAGGGCTTCACTTTTTCCTTTTGGGGTAGGGTGCTTTCATGACAGCCAAGTGAGGATACTTCGATTTCATAGCACTTGGAGTTATAAAATGAAGAAGCAAAAGATAGCCATTCCGAACAAGTCCTGGGGGCTGATCCCTCCAAGGGGTAGATGAATTCATTTTGGAGCTCTGTCATGGGGTGGGTAGGGTTGTGTAGGAATGACCGGTAAAAGGGGTAGGGTTCACCCCTCGGACCCCCAAGTGTTGTTAAACTGGCATCTTGTATTTTCAAATTCAGAGAGAAAAGTCGAAATTTGGTCAGATTTCGAAGTGTGATCGGGAGCATTTGGTCCTGCTGTACCAGAAACCATATTTGGTAATTCCTCTGATTCGGAAATTGAATATTAAAAATATTTAAACATTGAAGATATTTTTACTTACTACAGAAATCGTACCAATGATAGCCATTTTTAGTACCACTTATCAATGGTTTTAAAAGGTTATAAACTAGTCCCTTCAAAGTTCTATTTCCGTACCAAAATTATAAGGACCACATCCCCTGACAGACAACAGGTGGTGGGACTGTGGGGGGATGCGGTATCGCCCACCCTGATACTGATTTTTAACTTAACTTTGAGTAAAGTCTGGGTCGGATAAAAGCTGTGCATTCCTCTGCCCTGGCGTTTGTCCCTTGCTCTTTCTTGTTCTTGTCCGCGTCCTCGTGGAACAACCTTTCTTCATCTTGTCTCTCAGTTAACTTGCCTCAGCCAGTGAGCACCTGTCATAGGCCTTCTAGATCTCTTCGAGGAATTGGAAGCATGGAAGAATTTCATCAGGACTCTTCTACTCGGACAGCAAAATTTCAAGCACCGAACCACGTGCCATGGAACTGTAGTGATGAAATGAAGAATGATGCAGGCGAGGCGTTGCACAAGCAGTCAAGTTTGTATATGTTAAGCTTGATGTATGGCTTGTCCATTGCCAGGACCAGAAACATGTGCTTAAAGGTAATAGCAGGAACCGAGTTCGTACCAGACAAGGCATCAAGTAACGACCGTGAAAGAACACAAGCCAGCGGATCCGTTGGATAGCACAGACTGCTTTTGTGCGGTCGTTTAATTATGTTCTTTGAAGCTTGGCTTAGCTGACAATTCCGGAGCCCATCTGGAAATACAAAGGCATGCAGCACAAGCACAAGCAGTGCGCATCGGAGGTCGTTGATTCGATTCTTGCTTTGCTTCTTGAATGCCTGGCATTGTGGTAATTCAGAAGTTATATGAATGTGGCATCAACCTGACCTTCAGATGAAACAACCCATCTGCCTTCACCTTGATCGTACTTGGCCAGAGAGTAATATCCTCCGAGCTGAAACATTTGTGCTCCGGTTTCCTTTCTTGCCGGTCAGTTGAGCTTTTGCAATGAAGCAGAACATCCGACAAATGCAATGACATACGGGTTCTCGGCTCAATTCATAATCTGTGTCAAAGAGAGGACCAGGAACTGAATGAAATTCAGTTCCACACCCGGTTGGTGATGTTAGATCCAACCTGCACGGAAATCCAGGGTTATCCTTGTGTGCTCGGTGTCGTTCGGTATGGTGTAATGCTGAGTTGTGTATCAGTCAAGGAACAATGTTTTAAGCAATAAACTTTCAATGGTGGGGCCTCACCATGCATCGATTCCCATAAAATCTTGCAACTTGTCCTTCCAACACCTGACAATCCATGTCATCAATGAAAATCTTGAAAGTTTTGAAAAAAAACCGCTAAAGGCAAAAAATCATTTTTGTTGGGGGAGCTCTCGATCCACAAAGAATTGGATCCTGTACACCATCTATTTTTAAGAGATTTCAGCTTTCACTGTATCTAGCAAGTCACCATATGTCCTAGTCAATGGGAGCCAAAAATTTATCTGAACAACGCAAGGTCATCATGATTGCATAAATGACATATCAAAAGAGACACCTGACCAGGCTGATGATAATACATGGCATCGCAGTGAGGATGCGTGGCTCTGACTAGATTCCAGGGAGTTTCAAACGTGAAGGGATTTGGAATGGTTGATTTCACTTGAAGAGGGCGGTGCGATCCTCAAACATGGGACGCTCTGAAAATACACAGAAGAGCAGCTAGCTGGACCGCCCATATACCTTGCAACCTCCGGGGCCACAACCTGGAACTTGATACATGAAAAGTGAGACTTCGATCGGAACGTTCACCTCCTGAATGAATTTCACGTAGACAGGTTTCAGACGTCTCATCAAAAGACGATTGAAATTTCCCTGGGTCATTAGATAAGGACTTTGTCTGGAGGGCATGTCAAACCTTTGGAAGCTTCAAATTTCCGGAGCGGCTATTGTAGGATCTCAATTTCAGTAGTGATAAAGTTGTAGGCGACATACCAATTTTTGGAAGGCCCCGAAGATTCCAACTCACTGGCTGCTATATGAATATGACCAAGAGGCAAAATTCTCAGTCTCTCCTGCACAACCAGGATGGTTTGAGGAAGACAATTGAATAACGTCAAATGATCACTTGAAAGGCATTGAGCTTGGCATTATGCTTCTCTCGTTTCCTCATCCGAGAATCTAAATATGCTTGCTTGTGTTGCATTGTCTCTCCTACGTCAATCAATGTTTTCTCACAAATCTCAATTAGTACCGGCCATGCTTGCTTCATTTTCATTTGCCTGCTATGAAAAACCACAGTGGTCATGGACTGTGACGATATGAATGAATGAGCAATTCGCCCCAAAACTCACTTTTTCCGACTTATCCTCGTTGCAATGCAACAAAACTTGCAAAAACACGTCTCGAAATGGAAATTTTTCGACATCGTAGTCAATGATTGCTTTCTCTGCCAGTTTTTTCCACCCATCAGTCGTCATGAGCTCCGGTAGCCTTGTATGGCATGGTGGCTACCCACAAGAACTCAGAATCATGTCATTTAGAGAGGCTACATGTTTTCATACTCCGTCAATATCCTCGGGTAGGTTGTATGCATGTCTCCAACTGAAAGCACGGAAAGGGGCATGTTACATCGAATTGAATGGTGAATCAGTGATGAGGGAGTAGGAGGGGAAGAAAGAAGACAGCGGAGGAGGTGATGGGTTGGACCATTGTGAGGAAGGATAGTTAGGACATGATCTTGGTTGTGTACCTGCTTCTTTCCCCCCACGCTGGGCATGTCGTGCTTGCTGCACGCGCCGCCTCTACGACGTCCATTACAGGTCCATCAGGCGCATCAGGGCAGTAATGGAGCCGGGCGGCTGGCCGGGTAGCAGCCGGGCCGCCGGTCCTGTACGGTCACCCATCTGTTGCGGACTACTAGCAACGGACGTGGAAGGCGCGCCGATGCACAATTTGGACGGGGCGCGCAGGCGGAGAGAGAGGGGAGGAGGAGAGGAAGAAGAGAAGAAGGAAGCAGGAACGATAGAGGAGGAGGAGATGGAGAGGAAAGAAATTGTGCATGGAAGGGAAGAAAGGGAGAGATTGATGCATGCGAGGTGGCGGTTGAGGGTAGGAGGGGAACTGCAATGGTTCAGTGCAAGGTTGAGGTTGGAGTTGTGGTTGAACAGATCTCGTCCTCATCCACTTCGGAGATGTTAAGAGAATGTGTGTGCAGGAATCTTGTTCGACATCCCCGAGATCATGGCTACTCCCCTGGGTCGTCCTCCGTCCCGTGGCAAGGAGATGAGTTCCGCTCGGCCTCCGTCGCGCTCCAACGATGCGTAAGCCGCGAATGCCAGCACAGCCTCCTGCGTGACTGCATCCTCTAGACCTACCCGTCCAACTTCCTCTCCAAGAGTTCTGTTGCAGCCTTTGAACCCGTACGTGAATCCTGACCCACTATGATCCTTCTTGACCTCGCACGCAGTCCGAGCTCGCAAGCCTTCGGTTCGAGCGGCCCAGAAGAGAAGGAGTACTTGTCGATGCTGAAGCAGGAGATCCGAACTGCAGCAAAGAAGGTGGAGCATAGGAATCGCTGTCACCTTCACCACTAACGGCATGAGAAGGCGGCGGAGTATCAGAAGGCAGTGGAGACTGACAAGTTAATGAGCGACTCTTCGTTGCTGCTGCGGAGGCCATTGACGCCGGGAAGTTTGAACAGGTTTCTTGTGCTTCCATGATCCTCTCGTCCGCTGACACCGCACAGGCCGGGCTCTCCTGCAAACCTTCCCAGTTCCACGGTACGTCTACCATCACCTACTGCTGAAGATTACCTGTCATTGCTCTTTCCTCACACTCTCCCCCTTCAGCCCTCCTCTTGTCTGCGTAATTTTCTGATCTCCCTATCACTCTTCTTTTCACTCTCTGGCTTGATCTACTCCACCTTGTTTTTGCATGTTGGCGTTGACTTGGGTTGAGGCAGAATTTCGCCGATATTGAGATGACGATTGAGAGGACCATCAAAGGGAAGAATTTTGAGGTGAATCAAGACGATCTCCTTATCAATGTCTTCTTCACCATAGCCATCAACACCGTCTTTCTTGTCATCATTACATTCATCCTCATCACGAACAACTTGTGACCTGCATGTCAGGCCTCCAAGACGGCGCTTCTAGAACTGCTCATGTCAGGTCAGCCCCAAAACTCCTGCACGCCAACGTCTGACTGGCTGGCCTTCTGCAGTCTTGGAAGAAGCTCAGCGGTTCACCCTCATGCTCACGGACAAGAGGGCTCCTGGCAGTCTGTCGACTCCTGCTCCTTCCTCTCACCCAGGGAGAATGGGAAGTCGTCTTCCTGGTGAGCTTGCTGGCTGCTCTGTCGTGCTCTGCATGGTGACTCCAAGTTGCAGTCTGTGAAGCGATGATGGAGAGGGCGCTGCAGCTTCACGGTGCCCTAAAGCCGCCCGACGCCGAGAGTGTCGGGATCGCGCAGAAGAGGGAGGAGAGGAAGGAAGGGGAGGAGAGGAAGGAAGAGAAGGGAGTCTCGGTGAACCATCTAGTTGCCCTTATTGAGCCCATTGGGAGCTTGTGGGAGAGGATCAACAGTAGGGAGATGTCGACAGAATTCTTGGAGCAAAAGAAATTCGCGATCCAACGGGCTGCACAGCAGCTCAAGGGAGGGATGCGGAGCTCGGAAGAAGCAGCGCTGCAGAAGGTTCTCGATAAGTTGCTTGCCTGCTGTAAGATGGGGGATGAAGGATCGAAGGATGTTCAGAAGCAGGAGGAGGAGGTCAAGAGGCTCAAGGGGGATCTAGAGAAGAGCTTGAGGGCGAGCGAAGAGCTGAAGAGCAAGTCGGAGAAGTCTATGGAGTCGCTGAGGAAGCAGCTGGAAGAGGAGGAGAGGAAGAGCGCGGACTTGAGAAAGAAGGTTGAAAGTCTCAGCTCAAGGAAGACGGAGGAAGTTGTACAACCTGCAACCACATCCTCCTCCTCCTCCTCCTCCTCCTCCTCCTCCTCAAATCGTCAGGCGTCGTTCGAGGCGGAGAATTCGGAGCTGAAGAAGGAGATCGAGGCTCTCAAGGGTCAGCTGTCGAAGGCTCAAGCCGAGAGCAGGAGGAAGGAAGCTGCAGCTGCTTCGTCGGGTGGAGGAGAGGCACAGAGCTTGCGGCAGGAGCTGTTAACCCTGAAAGGGGAGATGGGGATGGTTCGAACGCAGATGGAGAAGACACGGCAGGAGCAGGTCGCGTCGGATGTGAGGCTGCGAGCTGAGAGGGAGAAGGTAGACGATCTCAACAAGGTGAGGAAGAGGAGGAAGCGGGCTGGAGGTGGGAGGTCTTGAGAGGAGAATAAGGTTGTAGAAGAGGCCAGCAGGAAGCAGGAGGGAGGGGCAGGTATTGAGTCTTCTCCTGCTGCCAGGTGATCGAAGCCAAGGATGAGACCATCGCTCGACTCCGCAGCGACCTGCGAGGAGTTCAGGGATCGAGCATCTCCCAGGCAACTCCCGCTCATCCCTGCTCCTCCCGTGTCATCTTCCTCGCCCCCACCCCCATCCCTGCTTCAACTTATTCCTTCACTGCTTCCTCGACTGTTGTCCACCACTCCCATCCCGAAATCCTCTACCTCCTTCCCTCCCTCCCTCCCTCCCTCCCTCCTCCTGTACTCATTCGTCATGCAGCCTGAGGCCGACACTTTTGAAGCTGTCTTAGCTGAAGAAATGCAACTTATGAGAGAATCCTTCGAACAGAAGATCTCCTCCCTCAAGGTTCCTCCTCCTCCCTCTCCCCTATCTCCCTCCCTCCCTCCCCCCGCTTTTCCCTTGCTTGCTTGCTTGCTTGGTTCCTCCATACATGTTTCTTCATCCTCCTTCCCTCTACTCCTCCCGCCGACGCTGGTGGAACAGGCACAGATGGAGCGGGAGAGCGTGGCATTTGCAAAGGAGAGGAAGGAGATGAAAGAGCACTTTGAGAAGGAGAACAAGAATCTGAGGAGGAGACTCGACGTCTTACAGGTCTTCCTCTCCCGCTGTCTTGTCTTGTTCTGACGAAGCAACAGATGCAAGCAAAGCCAGGGACCGACGACGTAGCGAGTTGATCGTCAATGACATGAACGTTTCTTTTCTCTCCTCTCTTAGCCAATCCCGTACCCTCCATGCCTCCTGCTCTTCCCTGGTTTAACCTGTGGCATCCCGCGAGCCAGGGACTTGGCCTTGGCCTTGGCGCCGACCTGGGATGCAATTCAGAACAACTTCCTGATTGTCTCCTTCTTCCTCCTCCCTCTTCCTTCCTCCTCCTCCCTCCTCCTCCCTCCTGCTTCTTCGCCACTCCTCCTGGCTTCAAGTTCTCTCGCTCTTCTTTCTCATGGCCAATTTTCTCTTATCCCAGCTCCTCCTCCTCCTTCTCTACCTCTGCAGTCTCGAAGGCCCCGGCAAGTTTTTTCGCCAGCTCTTTGGCTTCATTGCGTTGCACAATCCACGACACGACGTACATAGGGAGTCTGAGAAAAACAGGGGGGTAAGAGACGAAGAAGAGGAAGAGAAGGAGACAGTGGCAGACGATATGAAACGGTAAGCAGGTATGATGGAGCTGGAGCTGGAGCTGGAGCTGGAGCTGGAGCAGGAGCTGGAGCTGGAGCTGGAGCAGGTTACCTGTAGATTGGATCATTGGCATAGGCGCTCTTGAGATTCTCTCGCAGGAATTTCTCTCTCTCCTCAACCAGGTCCGCCTTGTCCTCGGGAATTCCATACGTCCCCGTCTCCTTCTCCACTGTCATCCCTTCCAGCCCTCCCATCCCCCCCACCTCCTCTACCTCGTCCTCCTCCAACGCCTCCATCTTGGCTCCTGTCGTTCTCATCTCAGAATGTGTCACCAAGCGAAGTGCTCTCCTCACCTGGAAGAGAATTCGCGCAGAAAGTTGCGATGTCGAGGAAGTGGTCCGGAACACGAAGAGGAGACAAGTCCAGCACAACCTGAGCAGAATCAGAATTCATCTTGCATCCCTCTGCTCTCCTCTTCTCTGCTCTCCTGTCCTGTCCTGTCCTGTCCTGTCCTGTCCTTTCCTGTCTTCTCCTCTTCTCTCCTCCAGTCTCTGTCTCGACCTCTCACAATCAACCTCCCCCTCTCTCTGCTCCTCCTCTCCCTCTCCCCTCACCTCATCGTATCCAGTCTTGTCCTTGTACAGAGAGATAACTGGGATCGCCCTAGCGTCGCACCTGCCCAGAGTCACCCACTGACACCTTTGCCTCCTGCTCTGCTACCAGTTCCTGTACGTGTTGGCCAGCGGAGCTCCCCTCCTCTGCTTCCTCCACCCAGAACCAGCGACCTTGAACAACTTTCAACTCCACATGTCTCGACGTTCTCTTCTTCTCGTTCTCCCCGTCCTTCTCGAGCTCCCCCTTCCCTCGATCCTCTTCAATCGAACTCCTCTTCCTCCCTTCCACCCTCAGTGTTCATCTTTCTCCCTCCCGCCCTTATCCCATCACCTCGATGAAGCCCTTCCTCCGCGCCATGTCATACAGTATCCTTTCGTCCTGAGCACTGTCATACTCCCGCCTCCCCTTCCTCTCTCCGAACCTCATTGAGACGGTGGGGAACTCCCCGGGACCCAGTCGTCTTCTTCTTTGCAGGCTTCCCCCACGAGATCCGATCGACGTCGTCGATGTCAGGGCGCCAGCAGTCCATCTCAGCCTGCCGCAGAGACCGTCTTACAGGGCACAACACCTGAGATCCTTCCCACAACCTTGAACTTCTCTTTCACGTCGCTGATGTCGAACTGGCTCGTCTCTACATGATCCTCGTCATCGCTCATCCTCAGCCATGTTGCGACGCGGAAGGTCCTCGAGCTCATGGGAATTGAGCGGGCGGTCCGAGGGACCAAGGAGCCCCTGAGTGCTGCAAGGCATGGAGGAGCGCAGGTAGACAGCCACGCGTCGCACAGTTTCATTCCTGTGGCGATGAAGAGCATGGCGATCAGACTCCTTGCACTCGTTGCTGTCATGTGAGACATCTCAGCTGCTTTTCATTGCCTGTCGTTTGCAATCGTGAGTCGATAGCATGTCAGCAAGCAAATCTGGCAGGGATCGCATTCACTCCTAGAGCTCTCATTCCTTCTTTCTTCGTTAAATACACACTGCCACGAGTCTCGTCTCCTCCCTCGCTCTTACTTCTCCCTCCTCCCCTCCCCCCTCCTCGCTCCCTCCCCCTCCCCTCCCTCATTGCGCGAACTCCCTTATATCATATATTGGCGCTTTGGATAGTTCTCGAGGGTGGGGTACTTTACAGTGAGAAGACAGGGTGGTCATTGCCGTCGGGTTTGAGTAACAAGATTTTGAGGACTGAGGGCAGAATGGAGGGAAGGAGGGGGGCGGGGAGGGAGGGGGCGGACGAGTAGCAGGAGGAGGAGGAGCAGGAGGAGCAGGGGCGGTAGGAGGAGCAGGAAGAGGAGCAGGAGGATATGCCCTTAGACTTGCTCGCAGGAGAGCAAGGGAGGATGCACTGGAGCAGCTACCTTGTCATGGCTTACCTTCTGGTCGGCCAGCGCGCCTTCCTTTCCGTCTTCAGCGAGGACACCCAGCGGCCAGCAGCAAGACAAGGTGATCTTGGAGTGTTCAGAATCCTCGCGCAAGAGCAGGGGATTCTCAAGATGCAGGTGCTGTGTGCGCACGGGAACTAGCAGGGTTTGTTGAAGAGCTTGTCCTTCAGGCCGACGTGACTTCGCTCGTTCCTGGGGCTCTGGTGCTGTACCGAACGAACCAGTCGGAGAATGGGCTGAAGTTGGCCATGGTGTCTTGTTCCTCAAGAAATTGCGCAAAGTCACTCACTCCTGACGCAGGTGATGCGCATCATCGACCTGGAGAGAGATTTGCACAACCAAAGTGAAGGTTCGAGGAGGAGGAGGAGGAGGAGGAGCAGGAGGAGGAGCAGGAGGAGCAGGAGGAGGAGGGTTCTGCTGATGTTGTACACCGGCAGGGATATCCGTTCACTCCATGGAGAAGAGCGACGTAAACTATTCTGATTGGCTGCGAGCGAGTTGCCTCTGAGGGGTCTTGGCAGGTCCACTCCAATCGGTATGGAGCCCTCCTGCGACGCTACACCGACGAGTGCAACTGCGCACAGAACTATCCGAACCTGCCGCGAGACTTCGTGAAGCCTCTTGCTGAGATTCACGGGGTCTTGTACTTCAAGCTGCCTTGGCTGGGACTCCCTATCCTCCTCCTCCATCGCCTCAAAGTTTTCTTCGCTGGAGCCGGCATCGCCGGCGGAATCATGACGCAAGTGTTCAGCGCGATCAACGGGCGCCATGTCACCCTCTACGATCTTGACATCGAGACTCGGGGGACGTCCAAGAGGTCGACCTTCATCTTCTTCGTCATCCTGCTGTGTACCGTGGTAAGCCCTACAATCTCCCTCCTTGTTCTCGCTGGTCCCTGCTGCCGGTTGCTCAAGTTCTCCTTGCTCAACAACTCTGGCAGATCGCATACTTCGTGTATCATGCCACGGTCATGTGGATTGGGGTGACTGCCACGACGGTTCTGGGAGTGTTCTTCTTCCTCTATGCTGGGTAACGAGAGACGAAGGGAGGGAAGGGAGAACTGACGACTTCCTCTTGCAGTCTACATGACGTCACGCTCGACTCCATCGCGTCCATCCGCGAGGCTGTCGAGGACTCGATCTCGTACATAAGTAGGAGAGACAAAAGTCGGACCTTGACCTGGTCGCAGAGCGAGTGTGGGAGGACCGGCATACTACGGATGGCCAGTCCCCGGTGAGTGCTGATGAGTCAAGGGATCGCTGTTTCACCCTTAGCTAGGCCATATCGACCGGTTCTACAACGACGACATCTCGTTCGTGCATGCGCAGGTTGGACTGGAAGGAGGGGAGGGGGAGGGGAAGGAGGGAGAGTGACACTCGGAGCAGGGAGAGGGTTTGAACCCCTTGCAACTGCTACGAGGACGAGTCTTCCGCTACTTTGCAAGTGAGTAGACAAGGAGGGGAGGAGGAGAAAGACGAGGAGGTGTGGTGGAGAACGAGGAGGAAGATGAGGAGGGAAGGATTAGCTCTCTGATGGCACGTGCAGGGATTGCTGGGTGTTGCCATACCTCGAGCTGGATCTCATCGCAGAACATCGGGGTCATGCGCTTTCCGCACCCTGACGCGAAGAGGATGTGAGCTCCCCCTTGCTCGCCTCCGCCTCTCCTGAACCGCCGACAGCAAGTTGGATGAGGAACAGCGGGGGCTGCTATCAGCTTGCAGCAGGTCGATCGGGGTTGACGAAGAGACCCTCGGGGAAATTTTCAGGTAGAGAACAAGGCGACGCCCGACGAGTCTGTGCCGTGCTTGTTCGTTGACTTGTGTCCAGGTGTAAGTTGACCGGTGTGATCATGAAGGATCCGGTGGTTGCTGCAGACGGCTTCAGCTACGAGAGGTTTCAACTCTACCCTCCTCCTCCGGTTCCCCTTGACCCAGCGGCAGGGAGCCAGTGCAAACTTTCTTGCAGCGCTACTCCTTCTCTCCCGTCTCCAATGACTCGCTGGGCTTCCGTCACGTAGTCAACAACAACCAACTTCGCACTATCCTGGAGCATGTGACTGCCCGAGCCCGAGCCTCCTGGTCTCCTGAACCAGCCGCAGGTGCATGCCAACGGCAGTCTGGACGCGAACTTCGTTGAGGATGAGCTCAAGTGTCCGATCACCATGAGCCGCATGAGAGACGCAGTGGTCACCTGTGACGGTCACAGCTACGAGAGAAGTGCTATCCTCCGATGGTTGAGGAGGTTACAACCACCAGTGCTGTTCTCCTTCACCTCCTCCATGTGACCTCTGCACTCCTCAGGCATGCTACTTCTCCCAAGTCCAACCTCCTCTTGACCAACAAGGCAGTGCCATTCCTACCCTCGGCACTGTCAGGCTGACTGGGATGTTTCCAGGCTCTCATCACCAACCGCAACATCTCGTTACTAGGGGTAAGGTATCACAGATTCTTTTTATCCTCACTTGTTCATTCAAGAACTCTCTACCTGGCGGAGTGTGCGAAGAAGATCGGCCGTGTAGCCCTGAGTGCCCGGCGACATAACCTTGTAATTTATCACTTCATTCTCTTGTCTTTTTGTTTTTCACGATTATGTAAATGTCTCTGTTTAGCATGTTTGTCCTTTCAGTGAGCAACGCACACAGTTGAATACTTCATCACTTCACGTTTCGCAATGCCCCGCATCTTGCCTTTCATCCTGGCGGTTAACCTTTATCTCTGCCTCTCAAGGCGTTGACCTTTCTCCTTCTTTTCAACGTCATACTGTCAACCATAGCAGCGTCAAATGTGTGCTGTGGATGGCCGTTTAGTAGCAATGATCTTGTTACTTTCTACCAGCACCTTGTCTCGTCGTCAGTTGACAGCCACCAGACACAAGGAAAGATTCATATCACTTACTTCGAATTCCTTGCCGTTTGGTAACCCCACTGAAACCCATCTCTTCCCTTCATCTGGCCGTTTCTTTTTCACGTTTCCGCTATCCTCCTGCTGTTGTTTTCGTCTTTCTGCCATGTAGAAGAACTTCCCTTGCCTTGTTTGCTGTCACCGAGCAGCAACAAGAACAGTTCCGACCACACCTGTCGTCGCGCTTCAGCCGGAAGGAGGGCTGAGGCATCCTAAACACGAGGTCGAAGAGGTTGACCTTCCTCATACCGTACGTCTGAGAGCAGCAGAGATTACATCCCATGGGCAGATGCTCGCCTCCTACCACCTTAAGTGATTGCTCTGAAGTCTCTAAGTTCGCAGTCTTGGCTCGGATGAGCTGATGGATTTTGTTTTCTCGCTGTTCGTGAGAGTCAGAGGAGCGAACGACAGCGAGCACATGGACCTTGAGAGTTTCTCGGAGCTGTTCGGTTCTCATGTTGTTGGTGTATTCATCTCTCTTCGGGAAGTCACCGGAGAGGAACCCTTGCTTGGGTGCGCCGGACGGGCGTTTGTCACCACTCTTGAAGATATCCTTATACTTGATTCCCTCGTTGTATGGATCTTTTCCCTTCATGTCATCGTTCTGGACAATGCGTTGACTTCAGCATCGCTGGTCCATACAACTCGCTCATCACGCTCATACCGATGTCAGGAAGGGAGAAAGCTTGAAAGTCCCTGGTGCACATACTCTTGTCCTCTCATCCGATCTGTCCAAACATTTCACTAGAATCACAGCAGCAAGTTTAGCATACTTGAAGTATCCTGCCCCGAACGCCTTCCCCTTGTATCTTCCATCCATGATTCGCTTGTCATTGAAAGGCTAACAAACACTCAGTCAGCTGTTCGCTCAGTCACTTGATCGTTAAAATCAGCTTCACCTCTCCTATGCACAGAGGAGGAGGGACAGTGAAGGTTCCTGTCAACTTCTTTGTCCCTGGATTCTCCTCGGGATATTCGATCTTCTTGCCTGCCGGCATCTTGCAAGTCCAGGAACGAGGGCAGCAAGTTCACACTGAGGTTGCTGGATCCCTGACCTGCTCTCCACTAGTAAGAATCAACATTGCAGATCGACTTCAGCGAGTCTGAGATGCGAAAGAAACTCTGCGGTTTCAACCTGATCATTTCACTTCTTACACGTCATAATCCCCCCCCGTCCTTCTCCTCCTCCTCTGTACTTCTTTCTCCTCCACTTTGCGAAGCCATGCTCAAAGTCGGTTGTTCAAACCCCTCATCCCCTTCAGAAACTGCCCTCCCTAACCCCTCTTTATCCCCATACTACAGGCCTTTTGTATGGGGTGGGTACTACCGAGTTTTTGGTCCTAGCAACGCCTTGCATTTGAACCCCGGCGGCCCTACCACCCCACCCCTATCTGAACCTAGTAGTACAGGACACTTACAGGTGGGGGTCCTGATACTACTGGCAAATCACTGTGGTACTGATTGAAGTAGAGCTAAATAGTTCAGTAGAAACATTTGTACCAGTCCTGTCGGTAGAAGGGACTACTGTTTAAGTAGGTAGTCTCAGATCTCTGTCCTTACAATTTTCATATAAGATCAATGAGGCGGGTTGTGTTTTTGATGCACCAATGGGCGCATCGAAACGAAGGCGAGTGGAGAGGAATGGAGGGGCAGGAGGTGAGGTAAGATGGCGAGGAGAAGAGCAAGATGGTGAAGATATGAAGGAGAGATGAGGAACAGCGATCGGGCGAAGAATGCGACCATCAACTTGTTGCTCTGTCGCGTGCTTCCTGGTGATCATGCTTGCTCGGGGGGAGATGGTCAAAGTTTTCGTTGGGCTAGACGAGGATGCGAAGAGGAATTTAGCGAGGGATGCTGAGGACACGAACCAGCACAGTCTTCGAGCCCTGTGGGAGGAGGACGGGGACTTCTGGGACATTCAGATGGAACACCGATGTTCTGTGAGCTGCTCATTTTCTGTGGAAGAGGAAGATCTCAACGACGCGTCCGCTATCCTCATCAGCACCCAGCTGTTCCCTGGCATGGGGACGTTTGATCGGCTGATGCGGATCAGGAAGCCATCGCAGACTACCATCTTGTGGTCGACTGAAGCGCACGATACTTACCGCCTTGGCCCGCAGCTTCCTGTCCTCGGGGCCATGGTGGACTTGCGGGCTACGTACGAGATGACGTCAGACGTACCTCTAGTGCAAGGTTTCCCCTCATGGATCTCTCCTTCTGACTTTTGCAACAAGTTCTCAAGGCAGAGGAAGACGGAGAACGCAATCTTCGTCGCTTCAAACTGCAAGACCACCTCCAACTGCAGGTCGGAGTACGCACGAGAGCTCATGGAGCATGTCGAGGTCCACAGCTACGGGAGGTGCCTCAACAATCGCCCCTTCCCTCCAGCCTTCTCCACTGCAAGGAAGGGAAAGAAGTTCTGGTTGGACAAGGTTCGGATCATGCAGAACTACACGTTTGCTCTTGTGTTTGAAAACTCCAACATGCACGACTATGTCACCGAGAAGCTGTTCCAGGCGCTGCTTGCTGGCTGCATCCCGATCTACATGGGGGCTCCCAACGTGAGGGACTTCTTGCCGGCAAACAACGCTGCCATTCTGGTGTCGGAGTTTCAGTCAGCCGAGGAGCTTGCAGTGTACATCAAGAGGGTGAAGGAGAACGTGACGATGAGGGAGGAGCTGCTGTCCTGGAGGGACAGGCCCCTTCCTGCCTCCTTCCTCCGCCTGTGGAACTTGTCATGGGACACAGCAAAGTGCAGGATCTGCCAAGTACTCGCGGGTAGGATGAGAAATGAGCCGGAGGGGAGGCGACGGGCTGATGCTGCCGCCATTGGCGATGCAAGCTTCTGGCGGGAGCGAGGATGCGCGGCGGAGGATGCAGCGAGGTTTGAGCTTGCGAGGAGACTCTACAGTCTGTGCAGACGAATCGAGCCGAGGGACGAGAAGTGTGGGAGAGGGATGAGAAGAGCTGCAAGGAAAGGTCGCGGGCAGAAGGTGATTGCTCGGACCGAGACGGGAAGAAAGGTTGTCGTCGTCCCAACTCATCAGAGCTCTTCAGCCTTGCAGAGGTCAAACTTGACCTGCGCTGTTGCAGTAGATCCCATCTTTGCGAACGACCTGGACATCGACGTGTCGAGCGTGATGTACGTCGTAGATGAATTCTGCATCTTGAATCAGATCGAGTTCGGGCCGAGGTGTCAGGAGGTTTTCACGCAGGTTGGCAATCAGCTTGTGCGAAATGGAGTGAAGGTAGAGAAGATTGCGATGTGGGAGGCGTCCAAGAATCGCAGGGCTGACGAGAGTCTGTGCGATTCCATCGACCGAACTTTTGCACATGAATATTCGTGACCGAGGTGCCGGATGAACCCTATGAAACTCGACCCCTCAATCCTTATGTTTGTTGCCCTCCAATCACATTCAACTCGCATTTCTATCAATCTTGTTTTCGTCTTACATCTTGCATTTCTGAATTTCTTACACGAAGACAGTACGTCGACATCGCCAGATTTCTCAATCTTCTCAGCGAGGGTTTGCAGGAGCTTTTCTTCGATCGAAAGGAACTGCAAAGTCACCATCATCCCCATCGCCCTGCCTCTGAATCTCTCACGTTTCACTTGTCGTAGGATCTCAACGTGTTTGGTATCTTCTGACCCAGGAGACGAAATCACGAACCTGTGAGATTCAAATCAGTAGGCAAATCTTCAGGCTATCGTCAACAACTTCAAACTCTCCTTGGCAACTCCGCGTCCGGTCATGAACTGGCGCATGGGAGTCAGCAGGGAAATGAAGTGAGCTTGCAGACCTTCAGTTTCGAGTAGAAAGTCTTCGAGTCGTCCTTCATCTTCTGCCGTTCCAGCTCCCTCGCTTTCATCCTTTCTTGCTTCTGCCGCAGGAGATCTGCCTTCAACTTCGCTCTCGCGTCAAGTCGTGATCGATCCTGGAAAGTCTATCACCTTGGATATTCCTTTCCGCAGCTTCACTCCTCTGAAGACCCCTTGTATCTTGGAGCTTGCTAGCACCCTGATTCAACGTCACCCTCACCTTCCTTGTTGCCCTCGCAAAGTACCTTGCCACCTCCAGCGCATGGGTTTGTTCCTCATTCAACGACCCGCCGTACTTGAAGGTTTCTTCATCCTGCTTTCCTTCCTGCCTCAAATCCTCCATCGCCCTCAGGAAGAAACGGTTTGACAGCTGGAAAGATTGGTCAAGATCACGAGCGACAACAATGGAAAAGGAGCAACCATCTTCTTCTCGTAGATCCTCCTCAGCCTGTCCTCCTCCCTCCTCTGCATCATCGCTTGCCACTGCTCCGTCACCCACTCCTTCACGTGTCCCCACCTGCCGCCTCCTTCAGACGCCATGCCCGACATGCCCGCGGCAACCTCGCATGCTCGGGCTTGTTCCATCCGCTTCCTTCCATGCAACCAAGTTGAAACAGGAGCGATATCTTGATGCCAAGGTCTTGGTTCTATCGGCAGCTGTCACAATCCAACGTCCCTCCTCGTCTCCACTCTTGCCTGAGACCCTCGATCAACGATCGCCTTCATCAACTCGATCTGAAAGTCACTGGGCCCTTGCTGGTTGATCTGCCTGCTCATCCTGTTACATTCCCTCCCTCTCCTCTTCCTCTCCTTCCTCTTCCATTCCTCTACCTCTACCTCTACCTCTTCCTCTTCCTCCTCCCCTCGCTCTCCATCTCATCGTCTCCCCCGTCCCTCCCTCTCACCCTCCAAACAGCTGCTCGATGGCTCGGAAAGCTGCTATCCGCACATTGTGCGCTTCGTCGCTGAGGAAGGGAAGAATCTCGAGCAAGGCGTCACTGCCAGGACGAGCGTCAGGATCTACAACGACTGCCATGCTCGTCACTTGTCCTCCTTGTCGCAGAAAGCAGCGTAGTTGGTGATCGCACTCCGGCGGACCAAGTCATCGACGTCCTCCAGACGCTCTTCCAGCACATCTCGAAGGGAGTATCTGATCGAGCTTGATCAAGGGCATTGGACTTCCATCTTGACTTGCTCACCCGTTCTCTGTCGACATCCAGTTCTTCATGGTCCTCCCTGCATACCCGATGACGGTCATCGCCACCAGCCTCGAGTCGGGATCTTCAGGTCTCGTCAAGGACAAGGGAGGGAGCAAGTAGATCGTCTAGCGACGCTTACCGGGATCGTTCTGCACCATCCTCACCACATGATCTAGAGTCATCTTCACACAGCCTTGCTTCCCGCCCGCAAGGATTTTCCTCAAACATTCGCAGCAGGTCCACCTGCAGGACGGTCACATCCCTGCATCTCCTCCTCCTCCTCCTCCTCCTCCTTTCTCCTCTTCCCACTTGATTGCATGTGACTTCTCATCGAGCCCCTTAAGCAGCTTCTGTGCTACGATCACGTTGCCGTCATCGCTGTAGTCCGTCATCAGCTTGAACGCCTCTATCCTGCAGCAGACCATCAACATGGCGGCAGCTCAACCGCTGCTGCTGCCTCACCTCACGCTCTCGTCCTTGCTCTGCAGCAGCCCTTCGATGTTGGGGAGCACTTTGCTTGCCAGCTGCATGTCCCCGATGCCCGAGCTCTGCTCCACCTCCGTCCTCAGCTGAACGCTACCGACAGGAGCCAGCGTCTCATTGCGGAGGGTGAACCATTCCAGCGCGTTGCCGACCATGAGGTCGGTGACTTTGACGTAGCACTTGCCGACAGCAAATTCACTCTCGTGGCCGATGACGATGCCCTGTCTTCTCCCCAGCAGAATCACCTCCAGCTCCGCCCTCTCAGTGTCGAACACGTCCAGCCGGAAGGTCAGGGAGGACCAGCGCTGCCTCCTCTCGAAGCTCATCGACCGGCTCTCGTACGAGGAGCTTGCCCTGTCGTGCAGGATGTTGAAGACGCATCGGATCATACCGCCCTCCATGTCGCTCTGTCGCTCCAGGTCCTTGACCTGGTGGAGGGTGACGTTGAGGGTGGACGGGGCATGGCGGAGGCAGGCGATGGCGGCCCGGACGACCTCGGAGTTCCAGTCGAAGATCCGCTCGTGGACCATGTTGAACACCCTCGCGTCTCCCTTCTCCACCACCTTTGGGACCACGTTGAGCATCCGGATGCGAACGTTGGTGAGCGGGTGCCGTAGGAGAGCTGAGATCAGCATCTCCTTCTGCTCCTCCTTCAGCCTCCTCTCCATCTTTCCAAGGGTATCGATGGCTTGTAACGCGACCTCCTCCTTCAGGACGTCGGTCACACCCAGGGCTCTCTCGACCTCTTGGAAGTTGACAGCGATGCTCTCACTCCTCTCCTCTACCGCTGTCACCTCGTTGTTCTGCAGCCGCCGCTTGATCGTGGCCACCGCTCGCTGGAAGCCTCCTCTTCCTCTCAGCTCTTTGCCGATCTTATGCACCTCCTCCTCCTCCTCCTCCTCATCCTCATCATCATCATCATCATCATCATCATCATCATCATCATCATCATCATCATCATCATCCTTGAGGGTCGTCCTGTACTTGACTTCCTCATTCTTCAACAACGACGCGCTCACTCGCGCGTGACTCTTGCACTTCTCTGTCTTCTTCGGCTGTCCGAGGAGGCTGAAGTAATCTGAGATGATCAAGGAGTTTCGGATGCTGATACTGCTCCTCCTCTGCTTCGCCTTGTGCTCCATAAACACCAGCTGGTCGTCCACCAACCCGGTAGGCGACAGCCCTCCAAGGTCGTCATGGTAGGGCTCTGCAAGTACAACATCACAGGTAGAAGGGGAGGAAGTACACGAGTATCTTCACCTGCTACATTGCCGTCCTCACTCTCCTCCTTTGTGATTCTCCGGGTAAAGAACTCAGTTATCTCCAGCTCCAGCTCTATCATCTTCTGTCGCCCCCCGCTGATGAAGCTCTCCTTCCGCTTCGCAAACATGTCTTCTCCGTCTGACATCCTGACCTGACTCTTCCTTCCTCTTGTCACCAAGAGATCGTGGATCAAACGACCATCATCCGTCACTGGTGGGCTCGCCTTGGCAAGTCGAGACTGTCCTCTCAATCCAGACTTTTCTCCCTCTCCTCCTCCTCAGTCCTTCTCTCTCCTCCTTCGTCTCTCTCCTCCTCCTCAGTCCTTCTCTCTCCTCCTCCTTCGTCTCTCTCCTCCTCCTCTCCTCCTCTCCTCTCTTCCTCCCCCTCCACTTGCCTCACTTTGCCCCGATGGTCCGTTGACTGTAACCCCAATCTTGCTTCACCCCCTTCTTTGACCACAATGTACCCCACCCTACCTCGGGGCTCGGCCCTCTTTGCCGGTCTCCTATCTTCCGCGGTCACCGGAGTCTTTGATGTCCCGAATGCTGGGATGAGAGGGCGGTGAGAGGAGGAAGAGGAGAGAGAAGCTTGAGAGGAGGAGAGGAGAGGACAAGAAGCAGATCACGATGATGAGCTTGAGGATGGGGGGGCTTCGAGCATGGACCTCCAACAGTTTCTGGTCAAGGGCGCTAGGGAGGAGCTTGCGAACTCCAGTGCGGAAGCTCGGCCATCCCGTTCGGACTGGCTGGGGTGTGCATGTACTCAACAGGGTCCATGGAGGGAAGGCGTTCATCTCTGCATCCTCCTCCTCTCCTCCCCCTGTCTCAGAGGTTCTTCGGCTGTTGGACAAGGCTATCAAGGGCGACAGCAAGGACGTAGACGCGATGGACAAACTGCATCAGAGGATAGAGCAGGAGATGAAGGAAGGAGCAAAGTCTCAAGACATCAGCCTGGTTGCTGGCATCCTCTCTTCTTTAGAGTTCGCCGGTCACAGGGACGAGCGAAAAGCTGAGGAGCTGCTAGAGCATGCGCTGGGGCAAGGGGACGCGATGGCGATGTTCTACCTTGCACGCATGCACCTGGTGAAGAACGAGAAGGAGGAGCCCGATCCTGTGTTTGGAGAAGATGAGCAACTCTCGGATGACCTACTCAATACAAGCCACCTCGAGCTGAACGCTGAGAAAGCGAAGAAGGTGAAGAAGCAGATCCTGCTGCTGATCAAGGAAGTCCGTATTGGGAAGAGGGAGGGAGCTCCGGTCAAGAGCTTCAAGACGGTCAAGCAGCAGGAGACGGACGACATGGTCGAGTGGAAGCCGGACATGCAGAAGGGGCTCGCCCTGCTAGCCCAGAGTGCGGAGCTAGGGAACGCCGATGCTCAGGTGATGTTGGGGAATTTGAAGGTTTCCGGGGAGTTTGTGCAGCTGCTTCCCTCGCACAAGTCGAAGGTTGTGGCAGGGAACATCGTGGAGGTGGAGCCTGTGCTGTCCAGGCAGGAGACGGATCCGAAGCTCGTGCTGGAGGATGGAGTCAAGCTCTACGAGCTGGCGGCAGCTCAGGGCACGCGGACGCCTGGTACAACCTGGGGATGCTCTACTTTGACAACAGGCACCCGCAATGCAGAGGAGACGAGCGATGGAATGCCGAGCAATGTCTTCGCTGCATGCAGGAGGCGGCAGATCGCGGCGACAGCAGCGCCATGTACTTCCTGGGATCTGCCAAGTTGGCGGGAGAGCTGGGGGGGATGAAACTTGACAGCTCAGATGGTCTGAGGTTACTGGAGGAGGCGTCCAACAGAGACCATCCAGCTGCGAGCTACCACGTCGCGATGCTCATGCGGGAGGAGGGGAAGGAGGAGGATATGAAGAAGTTCCTGAGCAAGGCGGCGGGTCTGGGAGATGCGGAGGCGCTCTTCTGCCTTGGGGACATGCACTTCCACGGTTCAGACGGCTTCCAGATGGATCATCCCAAGGCTTTTCGCTTCTTCCAGGAAGCTGCTCGTCTCCAGTGAGTGGTTGACGCGTGCTCCAGGTCCTCCTCACCCTCTGCTGCAGGCACTCAGCAGCCATGTGCTGCGTGGGAGTGATGTGCTACAACGGTTTTGGAGTGAAGAAAGACGTCAAGTCCGAATCTCTTTCCTTCTCCTGTCCTGTCGCTGACGTCTGCCTCGCAGCAAAGCCTTCCTCGCGTATCAGAGGTCAGCGGAGCTCGGCAACATCGAGGCCATGCGGAATCTAGCCGCCATGCATCTGAGCGGGGAAGGGTGCGAGAAGAACGAGGCGACTGCCAGGTTTCTTGAAAAAGGCAAGAGGAGAACAGAGCTGACGTCTGAACGTCTAGGTATCTTCTCAAGGTGGTGGAAGAGGCTGAGGCCGAAGCTTCGCAACCTCAATAAAGATGCTGTGAATCTATTCGCTGAGAGAGTCTGAGCTCGAGGAAGCGAGGTTCTGTCGCGTCCTGCAATCAATATGAGTCAACAAAGACTCAAAAGGCTTTCGGGGTGTACAGTCTCTGACGAGTCGTGCGGGTTGTCTCTTGCTTCTCATGCAGCTTCGCTGTCCGTCTAGTCACTCTGAAACAAAGAGGTCAAGAGGCCAAAAACTCCGCATCCCTCGTCCTCACCTCTTCGTCTCTGAATCGCAGAAGTCGCTGTCGCTGTCCGAGGACTCTTGTTCGTATCTCTTCACCTTGTTGACAGTGCGAGTTGACCTCCTCAGAGGAGCTGCGGCGAAATCAGCCCAGCTCCCACCTTCCCTTCTCCTCATGTTGTACCAGCAGGACGAGATTGACGAGCGCGTTTCTGAACAGCCTTCGGCTGAACGTCTCCATCTGAGTTTTCTTCCATGTCCTCCGCCTCCTCCGAGCTCTCCCCGCTGAGCTCCACGCTCTCGCTCTTGGTAGCTCTTGTCCCCTGGGATCGAGTGATCCTCAGAGGGACCGCAGAGAAGATGGAAGCAAGTTTCCCCGGCCTCGATTTCTATCAAGATCAATGAGGCATGCAGAGCATGGACAATTTACAACTTGACCTGTCTGCCGATATAGACTCTGAGCTGCTTCATGAGGTAAAGAAGCGAACAGACTGTGGTTGCCTCCTCCACATCCTTGATCCAGACTTTTTGGACAGTATCCCACCCTTCTCTCATCTTTGTAGCTTTAAGAAAGTTTTGCAGCCTGACAAGGGCAGACCAGTCAGGCAACCTGGGAATGATGTAGAATATCACGCCTGATGAGATGATTCTTCAGACTTTGAATATCTGCAGATGAAGCTGTTGCAGCTCTCCATTCCTCTCGCTTCTGGTGAAAGAAGATTTGCCAATCTTCATACATGTCTTCGGGAGTGGACTCTTCTATGTTCAGCAGAACATCTTGTGCTCTTTGAAATATTGACTTGTCTGTTAGAATTCGTCAATGCCTCCCTAATCGCAAAGTTTTTGACCTTCGTCCCCAGCTGCATCCTCCTGCTCCTCTTTCTCATCTCCTTGGTGATTCCCTGGCACATCGGCCTCGCATAGGGAGTATGTATGAACCATGTCTCGCAACTTCTTCTGGAATCCAATCTCGTTTTCCGGATAAGTCGGGCTCCAGTGCTCATACAATTGATCCATCGGCTCACCTGTTCGCTCAATCACTTCAACTTCCTTTCCTCTCATGGATCTCAGTCAACTACCGGGCTGGATCATCTTCCAGCAGGACTGCTTAGGGTCTGTGCCCTGCATGTTCTCCCAGAGAAGGTTCGCTCGCTGTTTGATGCACTTTCCCACCCAGTACCGCTGCTGCCCCGACGACAAGCACGGAACACGCACGATGGACGTGTGGAAGCAAATTTCTCTGCTTCGTGATTCTGCCCTGTAGAGGTTAAGCGTGTCAGACTGGGAATTGGCAGGCTGCAACTTGAAATGCACCTCTCTTTTCGTCCTATTTCTTCCTTCCTCTTGCTCTCCTCCTCTGCGATTCTCTTCTCTTCACGGAGCCTCTTCTCCTCCGCAATCTTGTGTGCTCGCGCCTCGTCCTCCCTTGCCTACAGACATATTGTTTCAATGAGACAACCATCAGCCGGTCAGTGGGGTCACCTTAACAACCGCTCTCTGGCGGTCCGTCAAGTTCTGCAGGTCTTCCTGAGGTGAGGTCGTCGTTTCTGACTCCACGAAGCAATCGAGTTTGTCGCACACTTCGATCTCTGGTTTCTTGTACCTGGGCAAATCAAAACATGAATTCCAGCTCAAGATCAGTGTCACGGTCGTCACTTCTCAAGGATCTCCTCCATCTGCTGCTCCTTGCGTAGCTCCTCAAGGCGGTCAAGGCTGGAGTCTATGTATTTCCTGAAAGAGGACAACCTCAGTCCGCCGCAAGACGCAAATCATTCATGCAAACCCGATCACTGGGCTTGAGATGCAATCTTCTACAAGGAACTCCAGGGCTTCAAAACGTTCGGTCAATGACAGCTCTGAGTACTCGAAGTTTGACAGTTTCTCGACCAACTTCTGGTGTTCTGGGACATTGCTGTCCTTAAGGTGCTGCGAATATATATCAGCATCCCGGGCCGGAATGTTCACTGGAACCTGGCGGAGAACTTCTGGCCAAGTGTCTTCGTCGATCATTCTTTCTTCGTCGGGAGTCTCCCCACCTCTCACGATGGCACGGAGAAAAGCTACATGCAGCTTTGACAGCACGGGCGAAGGAAACCTTTTGACCGTAAAGGGCTAAGAAATGAATCACAAGAGAAAAGAGTATCACTTGCTGACTCCTTGGTTGAGCTCTTCAGCCATAGTTTCAGTTATGCCCAGAACCTCGCTGAGATGCATATTGAGCTAATCAACTAGAAACGTGGCAAATTACCTAAAAGTGTTGCAAAACTGCAGAATCAGCATTGCTTGCTGATTCAGACTGACTTCATCGCCACATGGATGCTCAGGTCTACATTTTTTCTTCCACACAGTCTTGCCATCGCTCTTGCCTGGACCAAAAATCATCAGATCCCAAGGTTCACCAGAAATGGAAATACCAAAATCGAGAATGCTCTGGCGAGACCCGGTTTCTGCTTCTGTTTGTCATCAAGTTACAATCACATCAAGATGGAGAGGTGTGCAGACGTACTTCTATTGGAGTTTTCCTCCGAAATCTTCTTGTGGTCCGTAGATGACTTCTTCTGTTTCCTGACAGCGTCATTCTTGGCTTCGTCGGATTTCTCGCCATTGGTATCTAGAGGCTTCTGATTCAACCTTTCCTCATTTGGTTTGCATTTCTTCGATGTTGGAGGCGTGTCATGGGCCACTATCTCCTTTTCGCCATCGTGGTCAGAGAGCACAATGCAATCCGTGGATTCCTGTATCGTCCCTGAACATTCTTCGCTCCCCTTCTCCTTCTTTCCCCTCTCAGTACTGTTATCCTGATTCGAATCCTTGACTTCTGTGCTAGCGGCAGCAGCCTTCACGAAGAACGCAGTGATCTTGTTCTTCTGGTTCACTGCAGCCGCCGAGCTCCCTCGTTTCTTCGGCAAACTATTGGTTGCCTTGGATTTGTTGTCAACATCTGACTTGATCTCAATGGGAGCTGCTGGAACCTCCTCGACTTCCATGATCTGAAAAGGAAGGTGAGGAGTCAAGGCGGGCGAAGGGAGGGCTCGGGGAGAATTTGGAGGAAGGGGAGTTGGGGCACTCGGATACATTGAGCATGGGAACAAATCTCGTCCCTGAGTACTTGTGCAATGTCCGCCTAAAGAAATGCTAGTGTTTGATATTTTCTAGAACACTCTCGCAAAACATCCACTCTATCCTTCTCCTCCACACTCTTGCAAAACATCCACTCCATCCTCCTCCTCCTCCCCACAGACCTTCCCCTAGCTCGATCTGCATAATGCAATCCGAGGTCATCAACAACGACATTCCTCTGTTCCTGCTTCCCTCATGCTCCTGCTTTTCCTGCTGTCATGCTTCAATCATTCTTGATGATCATGATGATCCTGCCGTCGCAGCTTCCCACCCTGCTCCTTCCTTGCCCTCCTGCCGCAGTGCTCTTCGCATCTAATCGCCTCCTCGACATGTCCGACGGGCCTTGGCGGGAAAGCAAAGTTTTACTCAATCTTCTTCACTGAATTTTTTGTCAACTCTCTAGCCTAGTAAAAAGAAATGCCATGGTTTGAGTAAAATCGGAGGGCTAAGACTCGCCGACTCGGCGACCGGCGGAGCCCTGGAGGGTCCGACGGTCGGGCCGCCGGGCCGCCCCGGTCACGGCCACCGGGCCGCTGCCGCAGCGCGGCCGCCGGCGGGGGGCCGCGGGGCCCCTAAACTGCGAAACTGACTGCCCCGGGCCGATCGCCCGCCGCCGCCGGCGGCGCCGTCACCGGGCCGGGCCTCAGTGCCCTGGGCCCCAGGCCGCGTCCGATCCGACGGTCATCCGCCGGGCCGCCGGCCGCGGCGCCTCCAAAAGTTTGGATGGCATGGGAAGGATGGAAAGGTTTATAATTTAATAAGGTGATATTTGGTACAAATATATATATACATATTAGCGAGATCTCGATAGCTCCTAAAAGGCCCTTGCATGTCTTGTACCATAATCTTGTACCATAATAAAGATCTCTTCCCCAAGTATGGTACTGGAATTCCAAATCTCAGGTAATCTTGTTCACTACCAAGATTTTTCCTCAGTACAAAAGCACTTGGGAGATTGTACTAGGAGCTCAACTTGCTGTGATACTAGGGGCCCTTCTAACACCATCCCAATCCTCAGAAGTATCTAGGATGCTATGAGCTTCCTAATACCTTCATCTGACCCACCGGCTACGAAAAGTTCTAGGAAGTTGCATAGGAGGTACCACCAACCCTGCTAAAGGTCATTGGTCCCACCCCTACCCCATCATTCCTCCCCTTTAGATCTGATTCACCCCAGGTCATTCCCCCAACTGAATATGTAATGTACCCGTGGTCTTCAAATTTTCTCGTACCCCACCCTTCTTTTTCCCAACACAGTGAATGACTACCCCATGTCAACGTCAGGTTGAGGAAGGGGTGGGGAAGCACGCAGCGCTCAAAGCTGATCGAAAAACAGAATGGCGGGGAAGAGAAGGGGGGGGAGAGGAGCGAGGAAGCAGACGAGAATGAGGCTAAAGAGGATTCTGGTCAGGGAGGACAAGACCACGTGCGCTGTAGACCAGGACTCTACTTAGCGCAGGGCAAGGAACTCCGGGACAATGTGCGGGCAGTGTGGTTACATCATTGTGCAGCAGTACATATCGAAGGGGGGAGGATGGGATGTTCGGAGCAGACAAAAGCAGATTAGGACAGAAAGAAGAGAGAGGTTGTGTACGGTAATCAAGCCGGTTGGAGCGAGTATGAGAGAGGCGAATGCATACTGGGCGATCGTTGTGGAGCAGAAGGAAATTTTAGTATTACACAACACAATACACAAAGATGTGAAGCTAGAGGGAAAGTTCGGGAAGACCATGAATATGAGGCAGGAGAGTCAGGAGGGTTGGGAGACACTTCATTGTAGGTGTGAATCTGCGATATGTCTGCAACTGTGGCCCTTGGTGTAGATTCGCGTTTGAATGTTCAGCGATATGCTCTTGGATCGATCCTTTCAGACTGCTGGACTACTTGCTGTTCTCACTTACCCATCTCTTTTATAGGGAGCCTGTGATTTGTGAGGGGTATGTTTGCTTGAGCACAGTATGATAAGCAACGTTGCAATGTGAGTCCTTCCCTTCGTTGACATCGTTTCCTACACATTATGACTGCTTGTCAATGCAGGTCCCAGACTGTTGACAGAAGACAAGACGGCGCACAGATGGACCTCAGAGTAGGGAAGAAGTATAGAATCACGAAAAAGATTGGAGGAGGATCGTTTGGCGATATTTTTCATGGTGCTGCTGATTTCGCAATCGAGTGGCTCTGTTGATTCTGTTGCAGGTGTGCACATTGGCACTGGGGAAGAAGTTGCTATCAAACTTGAATCTGTTCGTAGCAAGCATCCCCAGCTTTTGTACGAGTCAAAGGTGTTGCGTTACCTCAAAGGCGGGGTCGGGCTACCAGAAGTCCTTTGGTATGGGGTTGAAGGAGACTACAATGTGATGGTGATCGATCTTCTCGGCCCATCTCTGGAAGGTGCTGGTTCCTTGTCGATTTCTGCTGCATGCTTAACTTGTCTTGCATCAGACCTCTTCAATTTCTGCAACCGCAGATTTAACCTGAAGACCGTTCTGATGCTTGCCGACCAGGTATGTCGTGAGTTATACAGATTTTGAAAGCTGACATAATTTCTTGTTTCAGATGCTGAGTAGAATAGAGTATGTGCATTCCAAAAGCTTTCTGCATCGAGACATCAAACCAGACAACTTCCTCATGGGCGTAGGAAAGAAGCTCCACATGGTCCATATCATAGATTTCGGACTGAGCAAGAAATATCGCGACCCCAAAACCTTAGAACACATTGCTTATCGTACCAACAAGAACTTGACAGGCACAGCAAGGTATGCAAGCTTGAATACTCACCTGGGAATCGAGCAAGGAAGGAGAGATGATCTCGAGGCTCTCGGATACGTGTTCATGTACTTCCTCCGGGGCAGCCTGCCCTGGCAGGGTCTGAGGGCTCATAACAAGAAGCAGAAGTATGACAAGATCAGCGAAAAGAAGTTGACAGTTCCTATTGAGCAGTTGTGCGCTGGTTTCCCCGAGGAGTTCTGTACGTACCTCAACTACGTAAGGAAGCTCAAGTTCGACGACAAGCCTGATTACGCCTACTTGCGCAAACTGTTCCGGGATGTTTACACCAGAGAAGGCTTTGAGTACGACCACGTCTACGATTGGACCACCCTCAAGTCTCAGCAGTCAAAGACAGGATCGAGCACCAATGTATATAATGAGTTCCTCGCGAATCAAGTGCAAGGCAACATGGGCATGCCTCAAGGGCAGGGTGGAGTCGCAAACATGCCTGGGGTCAGAGTGCAGGGAGGAGAGCCGCAGAGCTCGCTCCAAGTCTGATCACGTTGTTCATCAAGGGCAAGATGTCGTGTTTTCTGGAGATCTTGTTCGATGGATAAATGATTGGAAGCTTGTTTTCTCGATTTTGGACCTGCTCGTGTATATCATGGAATCCGACTTTTTTTTCATGTTTTGCTATGGATTCATCACCCATTGTTGCCGTCGTTTGGATTGTCTCTTAAAGTTTCGATTCATCGGGTGCTTCATCTGCCAGACACGTCCCATTCTCGGCTCTGTGTAGTACAGTTTAATCTCAGTAATGAGCTTAAGGAGAGTCCCTAGTAAATCTCGTAGACTCTTCGCTTGGACGAGGTGGTTTGGTATTTCACAGGAACACGATGCGAGGTCAGGGAGGCTTCACGAGACTGTATCTTGACCGAGGATGGGCATGGCCTGCCATGAGGAGTCAGGGGACGAGAGGGAGGAGGGGAAAAGACCATCCGAATGTCTTGCGGCAACTTCTGGTTCCAGTTGGACGTGATAGTCTTGGTCCTTGTATAGAACCTGTTGGAGCCGTTAGCCTCCTCCTCCCCCCCGCTGTCGTCGCTCACTGGACGGCATTCTTGCCATAGAAGTAGAGGTCACCTGCCAGGAATGCCGTGAGCTCGAGAGGACTCGGCGGCCTCCCCTGGCCATACCGAGCATGCTCTTCTTGGATCCGGTGAAGGAGAAGTAGGGGATGGGAACAGGGATAGGAACGTTAATCCCGATCTGTCCTACCTGCAGCAGAATGTTTCGCCTCCTGCTCTCCTCAGACCACAGAGTGTCTGCTAACCTTGATGGAGTTCTGGAAGTACCTCGCTGCCACTCCCGAGCTTGTGAAGATCGCTGTTCCGTTTCCTGTATGGCCATGTGACGACGATGGAGAGGATACAGATGCTGGTGGTGGTGGTTGTCATGTGATGACGGCGATGATCATTGCAATGATGATGATGCCGAGGTGGAGTTGGATGTCCAAGAAGAGGATGACGACCGGAAGGACAGGAAGGGAAGGACGAGGACGAGGACGAGCAGGAGGAGCAGGAAGAGGAGGGGAAGGAGGGGGAGCAGGAGCAGGAGGAGGAGGAGGGCGTGCACACTGACCGTAAGGATTGTCGTTGATGATTTGGATCGCCTCGTCTAAGTCCGCTGCTGAGATGCACACAAGCACCTGAGCGCGTGGGAATGTAAGGCAGAATGACACGAGGCGATGAAGAGGAGACAGCAGCAGAGGGAGGAGGGAGGAGGGAGGAGGGGGCGAGCAGTGAGGAGCCTGTAACGACGAAGGAGGTGGATAAAGGAGAGGAGCGCATGGGAAAATATCAGGAGGACATAGAGAGAGAGAGCGAGGAGAGGAGAGGAGAGGAGAGGAGAGGAGAGGAGAGGAGGGTAGAGGATCGAAGAGCTTCTCATCACCGGGGCAAAGATCTCCTTCTGGTAGCACCTGCAGAAAGTCAGGAGGCTTCACTTCTCCCCTCACCGGACTCACTGCATGCTCGTCGTCGCTTCTAGGATGGTCGGGCCAACAAAATTTCCCTTCATGCACTCAGTCATCTTCTGATCCTCCCCTACCCCCAAGGCCCAGCTCTCCTCCCTCTTCTCCTCTTGTCCGCTTTCCCTCCACCTCCCTCCTCTCTCCTCCTCCCTCCTCCTCCTCCCTCTACTGTCCTCCTCCTCCTCCTCCTACTCTCCTCCTCCTCCTCCTCCTCCTCCTCCTCCTTCTCACATTCGGGAATTCCCTCACAACGACTTGTCTCCCATCCAGATGCACTGTACACAGATTCAGCTCCCCCTCGCTGGCAGCAACGAGTACCTGTCGCTCCCTCCTTCACGGCCTCGCCCACTATCCCCTCCACTCTCCTCTGCTCCTCCTTCAGTCCTCCTCCCACTTGGTCACACTCGTCACCTTAGCAGCTGAGCTGATGAGGGGACCAACGTCGGCACGCGGATCGGTCCCCGCTGACACCACCAGCTTCTTCGCCTTCTGCACCAGCTCCGGCAGCCAATCCCTGCGTCGTTATCAGTCTCCCTCCTCCTCCTCCTCCCTCCTCCTCCTCCCTCCTCTTCCTCTCACCGAGCCTTCCCCACGAGAACCATTACACTGATGGCCATGCAACGCTGCCCTGCTGCTCCGAAGGCTGCTCCTACCTGCTCCCGAGCTCATGCCCTTGTCAAGCAGGCAGTGCCCTTTCTCACCATGGCGTTGAGCGCGTGCTCCTTGTCCGCGTCTGGGAGGATGACGGCATGGTTCTTAGCTGCCATATTGCACTGCAAGAGCGATCAGAAGAGGAGAAGGAAGGAAGGCCGAGGAGGAAGTGGAGCAGGAGGAAGAGGAGAGGAGGAAGAGAAGAGCTGTGGACAGGGATGACGACTTGCAGTAGGGTGCGCGCACCTGTACTCTCTTCCCTGCAAGCGTCGCTTGTCTCCAGATGTCTTCTCCAGCTACGGATGAACCGACAAATGAGATGGAGGAGATGTCTGCCTAGTTCGTTATTTCCGGAGATGCTCACCGCTTCTTCCCTCTCGTCCTCGTCCTCGTCCTCGTCCTCGTCCTCGTCCTCGTCCTCGTCCTCGTCCTCGTCCTCCTCACCTTCGTGTTTGCAGAGGAACTGTGCTGTGTCCTTGGAGCCGTGAATGATGTTTACAACCCCTGGCGGACAGCCTGAAGGACCACCATCACAAGGAAGGAGAACTGGAGGAAGGGAAGAGGTTTGAGGGGGGGGGGGAGAGCGGGAAGAGAAGGGCGGGCAAGGAGGAGCAAGAGAAGAGGAAGGGAGAACAGCAAAAGAAGAGAGGACGTCGGATGGAGGATGGAGGGCAGGATGGAAAGTAAAGGGAATGAGAGGAGGAGAGGAGAAGGAGATAACAAGGTATCGCACCTGCTTGCTCGATGAGTTCGACTAGCCGATGAGCCGTCCCTGGCACCATCTCGGACGGTTTGAGGATGAAGGAATTCCCGCAGACTGCTGCCATGGGGAACATCCAGAGCCTGAGCAGGACGCGATAGAGGTGAGAAGCGAGGAAGAGCGAGGGGGAGCGAGGGGGAGGTTGAGATTTGTTTAGAGGAGTAAGAGGATGCGGAGGAGGAGGTGGAATGGGGGGGAGGTACAAAGTCAGCCGGGGGGCAGGGCGGGAGAAGGAGAAGTTTCATGCTCACGGGGATCATTGCTGGGAAGTTGAATGGGGTTGATGCCTGCCCGTACCCCCGAGAGGGACTCGGGAAGGAGAAGATGTCCATGCCCCCTACCTTCCTTGTTCAGGAGGAGTCGGAGCACGGGCCCAAGGAGGTGAAA